CATGAAAGAAAAGTGGTTAGAAAGGGATGAAATCCTCCCCCAGACTTAAATCACACTGTCCTCAGTGTGAAACAAGTCGAGATTGGATGAGAAAAATACATAGATAATCGAATTGGTAAGGACAAAGAGAACTTACCTGGATCCGGGATGCTGGTGGAGATGAACCGGATTTATTCGAAGGGGTTTGGGAAGGTGATTAGGTGGTGATGAAGGTGGTGGTGGTTGATGAATGAGGTGGAGGGTGATTGGTGAGGTGAAATGAGGTGAAGTGGGTGGTTTGGGTCGGGTTTGGATGTCAACGACCAAGTGCCGCGGTCAAGGGCCACACGACCGCGGCAACCAAGCGCTTGGCCGCGGTCAGAACCACGCGACCGCGGTCGATGATAGGTTTCCCGCGGTCAGAACGTCTGCGACCGCGGGGGCTTATATCGCGGCCTATTCCTGCTTCTCCTTGGTTCCTGCTGGGCCGAGCAGTCAGGTACCATCCTTCTTTTTGGTTTTTCTGGTTTTTTTATTTTTTTGGCTTTTTTGTTTTATAAGAAACACCTGAAACTAAGAAAAAGAAAAAGATCAAAAGAAAAAGAAAGAAAAATCCTAAAGAAAACAATACCTAAATGGGTTTCCTCCCATTAAGCGCTTTTGTTTTAAGTCGTTTAGCTCGACTTTTGGTGTTGGACGTGACTTATTCCAATGAAGAAGACCTTGTCCTGAGACAAGTCTTTTTCGACATCTCCTTGCTTTGCTTAGCAGGTTCTTCGTCACTCCAAAGTTCTTCTTCAAACTCTTCTGTTGCAGAACGTTTTCCTGCTTTGCTATTGTATGGAACAGCTTCTGTGAAGACATCTTTGTCAATATTAGCAAATGAAATCCTCCGGTTTGGCCAGTCCATTATAGCTCCGGAAGTTGCTAGAAAAGACCATCCCAGAATCACTGGATATGTTGCATCTCTCGTTTCGACAATGTAGAAGTCGACAGGCACTATGCAATCTCCTATTCTCAAAGGAATTTCATGAGTTATTCCTTGAGCTGTTGCATTTGAATCATCAGCTAGGATAATCTTTGTTCTAGTCCTGCGCAGGTGTTTAATACCAAGTCTCAAGGTGTTTAATTGCCTTGGACATCATGTTAAGACAAGCTCCAGAATCACATAGCACGTTTTTAAACATTTCTCCTCTAATAGAACAAGAGATAAGAAACTGACCTGCACCTTCGATTTTATGAAGTATACGAACAGGTTTACCTTTTCTGGCATGATTGAATAAGTCTTCTATCTCAGGGATTGATTCTTTGCTCTCACAGAAGTAGTGGCCTATCATGAAATCCTTGCAAGCTCTGGCAAACGTGATTCCTTCAGGCAAATTTCGAACCACATCATTAAATTCGTCAAGCTTTTCTTTGCTGATTTTGTTGGTGTAGTGGCTACAGTCTTCCGGTCTTTGGAGATGGATTGAATAAACAGCAGCATCAGGGGATGTTCTGGGGAAAGTCAGACGTCTGGCCCTCCCAAAGTAGGTTCTGATATCCTCCTTTGTCTCCTTGTTGTACCTAAAGAAAACTTGCAAACAACCAAGATGCCATATATCATCGAAACCTGTGTAAAGAGGGATCAATTTCACAAACTTGTTGAATTCAATGAGCCTTTCTCTGGAGATTGGTACTTTTAATTCCACCATTTTGCCTGGATTCCCTCCTTCTATGAACAGACGATAGTCTTCATCTTCGAGGTAGTGCCCTTCACATCATCCTCATATGCTAAAACTATATTGCAAGGGAGTACCTCATTTTCTTCTTGAGATGTTTTGGAGCTGATAGCATACACCATTTGCTCATGAAGAGGGGCTTTGACCATCCCAACAGATGTATCAAATAAGCATTGACATGTAGAAGTGGAAAAGGGCTGAAAGGTATCTGAAGGAGCATTTGCCGCGGGTAGAGGCTTCACGACCGCGGGTGGGGAGGGTTTTGCCGCGGTCAGGAGGCTCACGACCGCGGCTGGAAGCTTGTTGGCCACGGTCACGAGAGTTCCGACCGCGGGAAGGAGGCTCCTAGTTGTTTCCTCCGTTTCGTCTGCTCCTTTGCCATCTGAACTGATTTCTGCACCTTCTAACTCCGTCTCCTCCTCTTTTAGGCTAAGATCTTCGATGAGAAGCGTCGAACCATTCGTTTCACGTCCTTGTATAAGCTTTTCGACTTTCTCTTCGATTTCATCGAGGGCATAGACTACTTTGTTCACGGTTGAGTCTATTGCCTCTGCTTTCTCTTGAACCTTGTGTACTCCATCCCAAATCTCTTCCACGCAAGAATAGGTTTGGTTGTTATGGTAGTTAATAGTCTCTTCTGCTTCATCAAGTTTGATCTCTAAGGTGCGGATGTTCCAACCGGCTTTGCGAATGCGAACTTTGTGTGCTCCAACTCGTTCTTCGATTGCTTCCATCCTCTCCTGGACGGTTTCAGCACCCTCGTTTAGTTGGCTTTCGATGGTCTTGACTTGAGCTGAAAGACCTTCAAGCTTTCTGTTAAAGCGCATTGACAAGTCGTCAATTTTCTCATCGATTGTGGATCTGGATCTTGCTTGAACGTCGAGTAAGTGCGAGACCGTCAATTCTAGTAGTTCCAATCGGTGAATGAGTTGGACGTTTTCATTCTTGTGAGGCAAACGACGAGCAGGTTGTTCAGGGTTGGCCATTTGAGGTGCGTAGGGCTCCTTCTGGGACGTTCTGTAGTCTTCGCTTTGAGTTTTTTCGTAGAGATCGCGTAGATGCTTCTCTCTGCGTCTGGTGGCTTGAGGAGTGTTATAGAAACCTTCCTCATAGTGTATATTTCGATTTATAGGATCCATATCTTCTGAAATGGAAACAAAATAACCGAAAAATGGAAAGCTGCAGAAAAGGGGGTTTTAGAGTCGATATACTAACCTTTCTCGGGGTTTTGCAGAAAAGAAAACGCGTGTCTTCCCCGGCAACGGCGCCAAAAACTTGATGTGTTGTGTCGTGTGTGTCGAGGGTTGTCAAGTTTTACCCTAAATGAAATCAATAGCCGCAAGTGCACAGCTGATCGATTATAGTACTTAGGGATCGAATCCACAGGGAAGGAGAATCTTTTCCTACAAAAAGCCTTCGAAATAAGTATAAAGTAAGGAAGTCTAGAACCAAAACGGTTTTGTGGGGGTTTGGTAGTGTGTTTAAAATGTAAAAACGAAATATTAAAAGAGAATACGGGAATTAAATGATGTAATAACTAAACTTAACGAAAATGACTAAAAATGTAAAAAAACGGATATCTAATTGCTTAAATGAAAATGAACTAAAAAGGAAAGACAATATTGAACTAAAGCTTGAAAGAAAATCGGTGTAAATCAATGGGAAAGAAGGCGTTGGGGTTCAGGGAAGTTTTCTCAGTTGTACGAACGATTCAAAACATTGCTAGAGAGTAAGTTTGATAAGATCTTAGCTTAAACTTTTTGAACTGGAGTCACGGACGTATGAATACGCCACTGTCGTGATTATAGACAACTATCTCTCTCAACCCTGACCAGTAGGTTTCCACTTTGGCCCTAGAAGAGAAGAGATGCATTATGTTTAAAACTCGTCCTAATTCACAAATCGCCCATAGGTAGGTTTCCACTCCTATGTTTGTTTTGCTCTCCCAAACTAGATCTGACACTGGATGAAAACTTTCGTGTCACCAAACATCTGGATCAGATTGTAGTTCATGACGCTACTCTCATGCAGTAAAAACGAATTCAGAAGAAAAAGTTCTAAGATTCGGTTCAAAAGCTCATGGAATCCTCATCGAACATATAAATCCCCATCGAAAATCCCTTAATCCCAACAATAAAACTACTCAGACATAATGAACGAAATCAAAAGCATAGTATTAATAAATAGAATAGAAACCGAAATTGAAAAAGAAAGAACAAGGGTTCAAGAAAACAAATCTCTCTCTCCCTAAAACCTAAAAATTAAGAGTATTCTAAAACAATAAGAAAGATAGAATATGATGATCGATTAGGGTTCCTAAGACATGTATTTATAGTGCTCAAGACTTCTCTGGATGTCACTTAGGGTTTCTCCAAATGAAGGAATCATTGTGGGCTTCAGAAATAGGCTTCTGGGCTCGGAGGTTGATGGCCGCGGTCGGGCGGGCTCTGACCGTGGGGAATGAGTGGTTTGCCGCGGTCGGGATGCTCCTGACCGTGGGGAATGAGTGTTTGGCCGCGGGTAGAAGTGCTTGGCGGCTGGTTTACGGGACATCTTGCTCTTCGCGTATCTTTTGATTGAACCGTTGGATTTCCAAGCTGTAAAGTGCACTGGAAAGCTGATACTTCCATCTTTAAGATCTCCAAATTTGAGCTGGAACAGACGGTGAAAAGACCTTCAATCAGGGGTGAATTTCTGACGGTTTGACTCTGAGCTGAAATGTGGTTTTTTATCCATTTTGTTAAGCTTTTTCCTAAGTTACCTGAAAAGAGTTTTGGAACTACAAATACTAAAAAAACGTAATAAAAGTACTTAAAAGCAATTAAAAACATAGAAAAAGTATTTCAAAATGATCTATAAAAATGGTATCACTCGGCATGACACTAATATAAATCACATATGATATAAATTTTTTTTTTTAAATGTTCTTCTCAAATAATAATAGAAGATTTACTATAAATGTTCTAATCTTACGATTACTTTTTTCTTTTTGACACCCTTATACGAGTTTTGTATGCGTAGTGTGAATAATATTTTGGTTATAACAACAAGTTTCATTAAGTATGTAATGATTGCCATAAAACATTAACCAATAACAAACCTTTTTGGACAGTAATACTTTCTTGGATAAAAAAATGTTACAAAGCGAAGATAGAAAAGAAAATAATAATAATAATAATAATACAGCAGTATTTTCTTTCTTTAATCAGCTGAACAAACGATTTTCTTTAGTGTGGTTCTGATCTTCATAGTCCAAAAGCAAAAGAAAACATATAAAAAACAACAGAAATGAAAATTCCATTTATCATCATCACCTTTACATAGTCTTAAGAAAAGAAATACCTATTTTCCACATCATAAGAATAGAAGAAACAAAGAATAGATAAAAACCTTCCTAAACATTTACACAAGCTATATATGCGTCTATATAACAGTAATTAACAATAAATATTGAATAAATATATATACACACACACAAATAGACCCAGATAACCAATTATATGAACAATGATACGAACGATGATGACGATGATGATCATGACGACTCATGACTGTAAAGAGGCAACGAGAAGAGCAGAGCCAATGCTAGAACCATCTTCCATGGCTTTAACGATGACGTATTGACTCACTTCTTCTCCTAATATCTCAACGAGCGCTTCTTCCATGGATTCTCTAAACATGGTGTAATTCATGTACAAACCTCCTTCTACTGCAACAACTGTTCTTTTCTGCATTTGGACTTCGTTTCTGCTTCTCCCGCTCGTGATTCCTCCGCTTCCATCTCGACCTATCTTCTTCAAGATTCCGGCAATTCCCGCTGCTGCTAGCCTCCCCGCTCTTCGTGTCACCACGTCGCATACTTTTACCACTACTTTTCTCACCTTCAATGGTACATCTGATACCTATTTGTTCATTTTACATGCAAGTGAATCTTCTTCAAATTCCATATAACATTTTCAACCTTCAAGTTCAATAATAGCAAGATTATAACTTACCCCTAAGTCTTTCAAGATTCTTGCTACCTCTTGTAACTCGGATGTGTCATCTTCATGCATAGCTGAGACTGAATTTGTTCTGAGAGATTGGACTATACACGGTTAGTTGTTTCGATAATGCAGAAAAAAACCACATTACTAGTTAGATAGTTGATGAAGAAGATCAAAGTGTGTCCATGTTTATTGAGAAGTTGATGCAGAAGATGCATGACGTGAGATCAAGCATTTAATCAGAATAAAAAAAAGGGCTTTCGAGAAATAGATAAAGAGTATGTGTACCTTAGAACGTAAGGCTCAGATAAAACAGACGAGGATGGTCCAAAGATATCAGATTCTTGTGACATGCGCAGAATTACTCTACGAACAATGTCACCAAGATACATTCCTGCTATCATCTTCTCAAATCCCTATATATAAAAAAAAAAACCGAAAAGATATTAGATCTCACTGCTTGTTTTTCAAATGATAATAACTTATGAATTATAATACAATACAGAAGGGGAAGAAGATGGAAGTTAGGCAAAGATTACCATATCGTTTGAATTTGAACTTTCTGCATCCAAGTCAATGTCATATGAAGTTCTAGGCAGATGTGAGGACCAAAAATTTCCCCACTCCATATTGACCACCTGAAACATAAGAAAGAATGAATCGTTTACATTTATTTCTCAGGGATCTAAAGCATGCTAGCTGATTTCTCGGAACAGCAAAACAAAATGATTCTTAATACCATGCATCCAGAAGTTGTAAGCAGACCCTGGCACTTGATTATGGCGTCGGTTCGTTCCAAGTAGCATGCATTACTACCTGTTCCAAATACAACTGCAACAACCGTATCTGGATCATGATAATATCCAAGTGACAAGGCTCCAACAGTATCATTCACCTGCTCAAAAGAAGAAACTTCATTCAGAAGCAATCATCATTTCCTGCGATTTTCTGACAGATACATAGATAATTTTTCTAAATAGTTCTACCAGGGCATCAAAAGTTTTTTTTAAAAAAAAAAGAGTAGGTAAAAAGGAGAAAGATCAAAGAAATTTCTGTTGGTGTGCCATAATTTTTCCTAGGAAATGAGTCTGTTGCAGTGACAAAGAACTTACAAGAGCCGCAACATGCATATTAAGGCCTCTTCTGTTCAGCGCTCCTTGAAGACATTCAGCTATGTCATTCCCAACCTAAAAATTAAACTTTGCATGTTAGATGACAAAATAACTTTGAATTTGCCTATGTTAAACTCCCACCAGATACCAAGAGATGGATTACATTTTCAAAAAATCATAACACACCTAATGATTAGATCAAGGTCATCCAATCCTATCAACTCCAGAGTGCTTTCGAGATAACAGAGGATATTTTGATAGTAGAAAGAGTGGTTCTATCAAATTAGTATGGGTTGAAAGGAAATAATAACCTTAGAACTATTCTAAAGAGCAACAAACAATATCTGAAAGAAGAGCCACGGGTTGCAGAGAATAAAAGCGTAATGTAGGCATCATTTTACCAACCATTTCACTAATCTCAAAACCTTTGGTCCATTTGATTAGAACTCCTGAAGATATAGAAGTATGTTTGACTGGGAACGAAAACGTAAATGCAAGTTCCCGTTTAACACCTTGTGAATTGGACCCATTTCCTTCTTTTTCGATAAACCTTTCCAAGGAAAAGGCGAGAAAATTGAAAAGAACCTGAAATCATGTGGACAAAAGAACAGACACAACATTAAGCAAATTGCATTATATATAACAAACAAGGATTGATGAGAAATAAAAAAGCGAAATAGTCACCTCGCTGGTGCTATTCATCAAATGTGAAGGTATGGGGTGTCGTTCAACATCTTGAACATCTAGATAAGACCTTTCACCACCCAGATGAACCCTTAATATCCTAAAATATGTGCCTCCAAGGTGAAGTGCATAATAAGTTCCTTTCTCCGTCCTGAAATAAAAGGTATCAGTATAGAACCTACACAACTCCAATTACATAATCCGATAAAGATAAAATTATATTTAGAAGCTTTGTCAATGAATTGCTTAGGAACATTGAAAGAGAGCTGCATGCAACAATAAGGGGAGAATCGAATGGCGACAATATGAAGAAACTAGTTGATTTTCCTTGAGCAGTAGCAATCTAGTGGATAGGAACAAGATACCAAAGTAAAGGCAAGAGATAAGAGAAAAAAGAAGGAGAACTCTTTCAAGCTTTTATAGCATATGTAAACTTCACATATATTTTTTTGTTTTTTTTTTTAAAAAAAAAAGAATCAAAGGATCTGTTCCTGCAAAAATGGTACCCACTGACATTTCTTTAATTCCTTGGCTCCAACTAAAGCTCAAAGTCGAGACCCTAAATCAAAGGTTCACCTTTTAGAGCCACAACGACCAGGAATGAGCTCGTTAATCACATTCTAAAGCTAGAAAAATTATACATTGTGAATCAAGCAAAAAAGCATTCGATTTCACAAAAATTAAGAAAACTAAAGGGACATGGATCATGCAATGTAGAGAAAAAGGTATAAACTTGAGATCGCCAAATCTTTATAAATCAGAAAGCAAGCATGATTACAAGGATCATCTTCACACAAATTTTATCTACAAATGTTCACCAATACAAGAAGTTAACAGATATAGAGAAATCCCCAATTAGAAACAAAAAAAGGAGAAAGAGAAATCTTACCCATTAGGCAAATCATCGACAAAAGTGAGCAGCATTTTAAGCTTGGAGCCACCTTCAGAAGCCAATCCAGCGTGCATCTCCACCGCCATGGCGTCCACCACTTGCCTCAACCTTCCCACCGGAGTATCACAAGCTTCTTCCAACTCCTTCAAAATCTCAACCACAGTCCTCCATTTCCTCCGACTCTTCATTCTCCTTCCCACCATCACCGCCGCCACAGAACAAGCCGCCACAACCGCAGCCGCCGCAAACACAACCGCGACCTTCCCCATCACAAACACCAAACAGAACCAAAAACGATACCCAATCCCCTTTTTTCTCCTCTCTCTCCCTCTCAAAACCTAAGACGGAACCTACTCCAATAAAGAGTTGAGCAGTGAAAACCGCCGATCAGAAAACCCTAAACGAATCTGTTTCACCATCATCAAAGAGCTTCTTTTGCTTCTCTCTCGATGCCGCAGTCAAAACCGACTTTCTCGCTCAGCTGTCACTTCCCGTACCCGTAAACTAACGGCCTCGATTCGATGGCCGTTTCCTTCAATATTCTCCGGCGATTTTCAAAACGATTCAAACTTGAGTTTGTTACCGGCGGTGATACTGACGATAAATATGGAGAGAGAGAGAGAGAGAGAGAGAGAGAGATTTATGGATTTCGGCAGAGACAAAAGCGGAAGGAGAGAGAAGGGGCTGGAAAGCGAAGTGATGAATATATATATATACACACATTTATATATGTATATAGATTCGCTTAATTACATTATACCCTCTCGTCTTTTTGGATGTCGACGGTTTCGTTTTTTTTTTCGTTTGAATTCCCCAATTAATTTTAGTTTATAAATAATTTTATTTTCAAAAATTAAGAAAATCTCTTTTTTCTTACCATTCAAATTTTTATTTAGAACTAATTACAAAAATCACCTGAATGGTTTTTTAGACTTGACAAGAAAATGTTTTATGTGAATGACAATATAATTTATTTCTAAGCTCTTTTCCCCTTAAAGTTTATTCAGTATAATTTTAGTTAACTTACACTTCTTTCTCAACCTAATTATCTTTAAAGGATAAAAATGAGAGGATAAAAATGAGAGGAAAAATCAAGTTTCATCAACAAGTGAAGCGATTATTTTTGAATGTTTTTCCTATTTTCGTAAGGCCACCGAAAGTAACTAAAATACGACCGCTAAGGAAAAAATAAATAAATAAGAAACCATTTTACCCTGTATTCCTGTAATATTTACCGTCGTGCCCAGTCTCCTCTCTCTCTCTCTTTTTCTTTAATCGCACTTTAAGGTGAGTTACAAATAGGGAAATACCAAACGTAACTACTTACATTTAAATTTCCATCATTAGAAATCATTTTAAAATAAAAAATAAAGTAAAAGAGTAAGTAAACCCTGTTTGACCTTTGACCGGTCGATTTATTAAGACTCTCCTTTGAATAACATTTCAACGGCGTGCTCTTTTTGCCGTTGCGAATCTCTAATGATCAATTATTATAATCCGGAAAACTCTAACCATCAAATTAATTAATTAGCAACTAATAATATAAACAGTCCATGAGCAAATTATTGATAATGACTCGTGGCTGAATCTAGTCCAATACCCTATTATGTATAGGGGCTGAGTTGTAATATTTTCCATCTTTTCTTCAACTTTTTGTAGCATGCCCTACGTTAAGCCAACTTGGCAATATTATGTGATTTTTTCGCATTGCCATTATTATTTTCTGCCAGCAATCGTTGCAATTTAATTAACTTAATTAATTCACTTAACGGTTTAGTTAGTAAACTAAGCGGCGGAAGCATGATAACGTAAATATTAAGTATTAGGAAATGATGACAAAACCCCACAACTGTTTCATTATCGATGTGTGTGTGTTGAGAGACTTGAGAATGATTTTTACACCAACCAATAATAAATAAATAAAGAGACCTGTAAAAAAACAAGAATAAGATATAATATAAATTTATGCAATTATCAATAGTATCGAATGTCCTTTGGTGTATGAATGTGGCGAACAGCCGCATCAAAGCTGGCAATTTTAAATTTACATCATCTCTATTTTTTCATTTTTGTTTTTTTTGGCAATTTTTTTTTACTTTTTATTGTTGGGAAATTAAAAATATCTACAATGGTGAGGGACAAACAGCGTCAGAGCCCATGAAAACGCACGTTGCAGTTTAACCCCAAAAAAAAAAAAGGAAGAAGAAGAAGAAGAAAAAGAAGAGAAAAAATTCGCTCTTCCCTAGTTTGACAGCTAACTGCCACTCAACAGTAGGACCCATAGGTTTCTTGATATTTACCATTTTGACCCTTCTTTGGGGTCTACTTAACCCTAGAGGTTCTCCGCGTTTTGGTCTCGGATTTCGAACGTGATTGTGGTCACGTGACATGACACGTCATCTGCTTACCCTTCGCTGACGCAACGCTTTCTTTCCTTTTTCCGGGGCGTTTTGATTTTTCTTTTTTCAATCATCTACATTAATTTAGTTTCGCATTTAAGTGTTTATGTGATTGCATTTATATTGTATGAATTTATACACGTACTGTAGTTGCCCCAAAAAAGATTTTGATCCTGTCTTTATTATTACAAAATACTCGGCATTCGGTTGGGTGAACCCAACAGTCCAACACCTAATCAAAACCTAAACCATAGTAAAACAAATCTATATAGTAGATATATAGTAGATATAAAATACTTTGGTTCATAAATGATAAATTTAAATATTTTAAATCTTGAAAAGGGTTTATAAAAGTTTAAATTACAAACAAAAAATATAAAAATGTTATAAATATCAAAACTAAAACACTAAGAAATAACATATATTTTGAAAAATTACAATGTTGAATCATAAATGGGAATTAGACAAAAAAAAAATATCTCTTTCATAACAAACAACATATAGGCTTATGAAATTAAAAATTATAATTTAATTATATGTAACTAAAAATTCAAAAAAATATTAATTGATTAATAATTTTGTTCAATTGTTTAAATTCGTCTAGAATTATCTAAGACCGCTTAATAACAATAATGCTTATGAGTTATGACGACGTCTAATGTAACCATTATAGTTTATGAATGTCTAAGTGTCTAACGTTGGGCATTATTTAACAGCCGCTTTGACCGTTTTTTAGAACGTTCTTTTATTTAAGTTTAATATTGTCAACAACACAAAAACCTGAGAAAATGGAAAAAAAAAAGAATATCTACGATCGATTTCTCCTTTTAGACCCACGCATTTTAAAGGCCTTATCATTAACTTTATGGGCCGGGAGAAACCCAAAAAATATCACTGGCCTGCTAGTAGCAAAGGTGTTATTTATCCCGTTTAAATTCTGACACGTCATCGAGCACCAGAAGACAGTAGCCACGTCATCGCCGTCGATAAAAACTACTAAATGAGATGAGGTGAGTGAGGGAGAGAGAGAGAGAGAATGGCGCGAGCTCTGCTGCTGCATCCGTACGGAGCGACGGTACGAGCATCTTCATCAACCGCTAAGAGTTACGACGGGGTTCCGGAGGTTAAGCTCTCGGATCCTACCCGGAACTATCGGGTTTTGGTATTGGGTGGAACGGGTCGGGTCGGCGGGTCTACTGCTACTGCTCTCTCTAAGCTATGTCCCAAGCTCAGGATCGTCGTTGGTGGACGAAACAGGTTAGCGAACGAATTTTTGAGGGATTTCTGGTTGATTCATTGTCGAACAATTTGAAATTCATTGAATCCTATTTCTCTGTTGTACGCAGAGAGAAAGGTGAAGCAATGGTGGCTAAATTGGGCGAGAATTCTGAGTTTGCTCAAGTAGATATCAATGATGCTAAGATGCTTGAGACAAGTTTAAGAGGTTTGGATAAATTTAGGGTTTTTTTTTTGGGATTTTGAACTTTAATTCGTGAGTATTCACCGTGTGACTGGTGTGATTCCAGACGTTGATCTTGTAGTTCATGCTGCTGGACCTTTCCAGCAAGCTCCTCGTTGCACTGTTCTTGAAGCTGCCATAAAGACCAAGGTGAGGATAAGGTAAAACAAGCATTTTTCTATGTCACCAAATCTTACCTTGTCTGTATGATAGAGAGAGGTTGTTTTGGTCAAAGAACAAACTTACAGAGAGGTGTTTTTGGTTTGTATCTGAAACAGACTGCTTATCTTGATGTTTGTGACGACACAAGCTACGCTTTCCGAGCGAAATCTCTTGAGGCAGAGGCAGTTGCTGCGAATATCCCAGCGATAACAACAGCTGGAATATATCCAGGAGTTAGCAATGGTGTTAAATCTGATCACAAGCCCTTCTTGATTTTATGCTTGATATATAGTTATATCGATGTAGCAATTTAACAATGTGTTTAACTTTCTCATAGTGATGGCGGCAGAAATGGTTACTGCTGCAAGAAGTGAAGACAAAGGGAAGCCAGAGAAATTGAGGTAAAAACAAAGAACTCTCGTTGATGTTTATTATCGTAGCTAAACTACTTGAATCAGTCTTTTCTTGTCTAACAATGTCATATCAGGTTCTCCTATTACACAGCAGGAACTGGTGGTGCAGGTCCTACAATATTAGCGACGAGTTTTCTACTTCTCGGTGAGGAAGTTATAGCATATAAACAAGGCAAGTGTTAAAGGAGTTTAAACTCTTAGAAATTAAAACATATCTCTGTATTCCACTGTGAGTCTTTCAGTAATTTTCTCAGCCTTGTATTGTGTGGACTTGATCAGGAGAGAAGGTGAAACTAAGACCATACAGCGGAATGATAAATGTGGATTTCGGAAAAGGCATTCGGAAAAGAGACGTTTATCTTTTGTATGTCGCTCTTCTATTTCAAAACTTCAACTGACATCCTGGAAAAGATTTGATTAGAACAGTGGTTGGTTTCAGGAATTTGCCAGAAGTGAGATCAACTCATGAAGTTCTTGAAGTGCCAACTGTCAGTGCTCGATTCGGAACCGCTCCTTTCTTCTGGAACTGGGGAATGGAAATCATGACAAAAGTCTTATCACCGGTATCGTATGCTCAGACCTTTCCTGAATCACTGGTCCCATAATCGAGGGTGATTATCAAACTGTACTGTAATCTAATTTCATGCTTGTTGCTTGCTCTAGGAGGTCCTTAGAGACAGAACCAAAGTTCAACAAATGGTAGAGCTGTTCGACCCTGTCGTGAGAGCCATGGATGGCTTTTCTGGAGAGCGTGTCTCAATGAGGGTAGGGAAAAAAAACAGAGAACTGCCAAAATATTTTACACTAGTTTATTTAGGTTACTCATACGTTGTTTCTCATCTTAATCTCTTTGGGAAGGTTGATTTGGAGTGCTCGGATGGACGAAGCACAGTTGGGATATATAGTCATAAAAAACTATCCGTGTGAGTCTCCTTAACATACCTTATATAGTTATATCTGCATAAACATATAATACAATTATGTATGTACACTACACATGCGAGAAGCCCCTACATAGAGCTATCTATAAGAGCCGAAATCTTTTGGGTTTACAGAGCCGTTGGTGTTTCAACCGCCGCTTTTGTTCTAGCAATGCTTGAAGGAAGCACACAACCAGGGGTTTGGTTTCCAGAAGAGGTCTCTCTCTCTACATATTTGTATAATACATTATATATATGTATTCACAAAACGATCTTAAGGTTTGTTGCTTACATTGAAGTATGATGTGTTGATGCAGCCTCAAGGGATCGCAGTGGAGGCAAGGGAAGCTCTTCTTAGCCGTGCATCACAAGGAACGTTCAATTTCATACTAAACAAGTGAGCCATCTTTATTTTATATTCTTTACAATAGCATCTCCCTAATTTGCTTTCAATAATGTAGATTTTTGGGTTTCTTCTGATTTAAAGGCCACCCTGGATGGTTGAAACTGTCCCCAAGGAGGTGATTTTAGGGATATACGTATGAGTTCGAGCAAGAAGCGAAAAGAGTTGATCATCAATACATTACTTTGTAAACCAATTTGTTTCCGAGGTCTATACTAGTACACATTCACAGTTTCATCAGAATATATAAATAAAAATACTTCAAAAAATTACTTGGAGATGACACAATCGTCAAAACAACCGCGAAAATCAATGAAGAGTATAATTTACAGGTGAAATGAAGAGTGAAGAAGATCCAGCAAGCTCTTTTTCTCGTCTCGTATTTACGCTCAATAAAGTCCCAACATTCTAAGTTCCATTACGTGACTCTGGTCAAGCTCAGGAACGTTCTTGCAGTCTCTGTCTTCCACGATAAACTCCTGATACGATCGACACAGAAACTCAATGTTGTATATCAGAAATGCCAATTACGTAAAAAAAATAAAGAACACAGACGCTCCAAGAAATTTGACCTTTGTGAGTTCTTGTTTAGCAAGAACATGGTAATGCCGCTCATTGATCCTTTGACCACATATAATGGCAATGAAGAACCCGTAAAGTACTCCTACCAAGACAATGGCCAAAACTGCAACATGAAACATGAAACACACCATCATATACACTAATTGGATTAAGACCCATAGCACAAAGATGGTCTTGACCTATAGAAAAAAGCGAGTAGAAGTGTTACCAGCTAATGTGTAGAAACCATAAGGATGTTCTTCATAACCAAACATTTCACGTAGTTCTTCCCCGTAGAACTTGTAAACTAGCAACCCCAAGAAAGCTACAACCTGTTGATACATGAAGACTTTGTTCATCAAGATAAATGCATTGACTTAGCATTACAAGGTACCAACCAATCCACAATCATATAAGGAACCTCCTGTTTCGGATTACATGCAGCAAGAAACTAGGGATTTGGTCAAAGATCAGAAATGGATGTCGCAAATATAACTACGGATTTGCCTGCTCATTAGTGGATTCTAAGTCAAAATCAAGCTCATCAAAGTGTGCGTGGGAAAAAATAAGAGCCAAGAAGCTGGTAGCATAGTAGAAGATAGAGTATAAACACTAAGATTCTTAGAAGGAGAACACGTCATGTACCATCTGGACAGTAATGAAGATGAACGCATGATCTCTAGCAACCAGCAGCTGAAATCTCAGCCTCAACCACCATCTATCAGGAGGCACGTTGGCTCGGAGTTTGAAGACAGCTCTACACTCTGTACAATGCGAAAATGCAAAACCTTCCTGAAACATAATGCAGACACAGGGAAAAAAAAAAGTTTCAGCACATCCAAATCCTAGAAACAAAACACACCTCATAAGCTACGAAAATCATCAAGTATCATAAAATCACCTTGGTGGATCGCCAATTATCGAGACAAGATCTGTGCACATACTTCTGAGTACCTTTACAATTGCAGGGACCAATCAGATCTTCCCCTGCAAAAATCATAGAACAAAACAAAGTCGTCTCATTTATCAGCATATGCCAGATGATCACTCGTTTAAGATTAAGAAAAGGCTTTATTATACCTCCAACATCAAGGCAAATTCGACATTGTGGTTGATCTCCAGCAACGAGATGTGTAGTTTCGTCATCACTCTCAGCTATTTCTGAAACCTCTCCTTCCTCCACAACACGGTCTCCTCTCTCCGCCGCTACGATTTCGTTCGAGGATGTAGCTTCGTCGAATAAAATCTGTTCTTTCCGATCGTCATCATCACTAGGCACTAATTGCATCTCTTGAACATACTAAACGAACTGGAAATGGAAAAACCTGTGAAACGCGAATCCAATCAAATCAACAAACTTTCGAGAAATCGCACCATAATACTCAAATCTAGGGTTTCACGGCGAATTGGGGGCTTACCCGAATTCAACCAATTCTCGAGGATTTTCTTCCAAGCCAAGCATTTCTTGTAGTACGCTCAGGGTTTGCGACTAAGAAAATTGGTGAACTATAGCTGCGATTCAGAGTGATAGGAAATAGATTTGTTTGTCTCGATTCATCACTATGTGTTGAATACAGAGACGAAGATCTTTGAGTTTTGAGGGAGAAGAAGCAAGGGAGATTTGATTATTGGGATGGAAAGAAACGAGAGACGGCAAGAAAAGTCTTGAGGGTAAAATTGTAATTTTTAATAAGCACATGACACGTGGATTTTTTACAATTTTCTCCAGCTCAGACTTAGTGGACCTGTGAAGTGCATCGTCTCCATCGTTAACGTCGCAGAGTCATTGGGTCAACACAGATCAGGATCAAGGTTTTAGCCTAGAGAGAGTGAGAGAGAGAGAGAGAGAAAGAGAGAGTGAGAGAGAGAGAGAGAGTGTGTGAGAGAGAAGAAGAAGAAGAAGAAGAGAAAGAAGATGGCGGAGACTGTGCATTCACCGATCGTGACTTACGCATCGATGCTATCGCTTCTCGCTTTCTGTCCACCTTTCGTCATGCTCCTGTAAGCTCATCATTTTCATTTCTAGCTCTCAGATCGGCTCTCACAATTTGACATCGCCGATATCTTTAAATCGTTTTTCCATTTAGTAGCAATCGTAAAAACAATCTTTCGATCGAAAAAGCGATTCAATTTTCTTTCTGGTATGTGCTTGAGGGCTTAGTTATTCATTGACTGAGATTGTGATTTTTCCAGATTGAAAGCAACAAAAGGTAGATTTGAAGCTGCAAATTCCACATTTATCTATTTGTTGGGTCCATACAATGGCCATTATGATTATTGTTTTTGTTCATATCTCCACCTACTCGTACTTCATTATGATCCCGATTTGTAGACTGGAGTGTGACTGCAGTAGAAGCATATTATTTATTTCTCTGTTGTTGAAATTTGGTTAGCGCCATTTTTTTTTATCTCGAGACCATCATTTTCAGTGAGTTTTTGAGTAAGGCAAACTAGTTTCACTTGTTTATATAATGCAGATGGTACACGATGGTTCATCAGGATGGTTCTGTTATTCAGACCAGTGGCTTCTTGTGGCAGAATGGATTTCAAGGGCTCATCAACATATGGCCAAGACCCACTGCGATCGCTTGGAAGATAATTTTTTGCTATGGAGCATTTGAGGCCACTCTTCAGCTGCTTCTTCCTGGTAAAAGAGTCGAAGGCCCAATATCTCCGACAGGAAACCGACCAGTTTACAAGGTATTGAAATTGGCCTTACATAAGTTCAGTTAGCCTTGTGCTGGACGTTGTTGCAAATAAACAACTGTGCGGTTCTGTTCTTGCAGGCCAATGGTTTGGCTTCCTATTTTGTGACACTAGCCACCTATCTTGGTCTTTGGTGGTAAGTAAACAATGTTTATTTATTTTGAATATTTTACTTTGGATTAAGTTTAGACAATTTGTGCTTACGTATCTTTAGTTTGGTTCGAAGTGTTGCACGTATATCAGTTGACTTTCTTTTTGCTATTCAGGTTTGGGATATTCAACCCTGCAATTGTCTATGATCACTTGGGTGAAATATTTTCGGCACTTATATTTGGAAGCCTCGTATTTTGTGTTTTGTTATACGTAAAAGTAAGTGTCGATGCCATGAATGGTGTGACCCTTTTCTTCATATTCTTACTAATGTAGAATTTGGCTTTTGTGTTTTTAAAATTTGTCCTTTTGTACTGTACAAGGGTCACGTTGCACCTTCATCAAGTGATTCTGGTTCATGTGGCAACCTAATTATTGACTTCTACTGGGTGAGCTATTCCTGCTGATCAGACTCTCATTCTTCTGAAATTAGTGGTTGGGATTTACTCAAGGAATTCACGTGTTGCCAATGTTAGCCATCTCCTAATGATATTTGTGGACCGTAAACGTCAGTGTCCTTTTAGCGGCATTTTTTCATTTAATTGACTTAACATTAGCGTACTAGTTTGGTGTGAATATGGTCTTAAATGTCAGAAGGTGAAGGACAATAATAAAGTATTAAATAGGTATTATAACTATCATAGATGAGATTTTTTTATTTAAAAAAAAAAACACTATCATAGATGAGATCATCTCTCACTCTTTGCATCCAGCTGATCATTAATTCAATCAAATTTGTGGTAATCTTATTCTCACTGTATATCTTTGCATCGTGCTTTGCAGGGCATGGAGTTGTACCCTCGGATTGGTAAGAACTTTGACATCAAAGTTTTTACTAATTGCAGATTTGGGATGATGGCTTGGGCAGTTCTTTCAGTCACGTACTGCATTAAACAGGTACTTTCTAGATAGATTTCCACACTCATAAGACATAAAAGTGGAGGTAACCGTTATTTGATCAAAGAGCCTCACCTCTTCCAATTTGTGGTCACTATACTTTTCTTAACCAGTATGAAATCAATGGGAGAGTATCTGATTCAATGCTGGTGAACACCATACTGACGCTGGTTTATGTCACAAAATTTTTCTGGTGGGAAGCTGGTTACTGGAACACCATGGATATCGCACATGACCGAGGTAGGCCTCGGGTACATATATCAAAATCACATCATCATCAATAAAAGTTTCTGTACTATTTGTCCATAATTTCCTTGCGAGTTCTGTTTATATGGCTAGCAGCAGCATATTTTTTTCCCCGTCTTTAATAGACTGGAAAACTAACTTTTTCCATGCTTTATAATTTGTGATTTTTAGCTGGCTTCTATATCTGCTGGGGTTGTCTAGTGTGGGTGCCTTCTATTTATACCTCTCCAGGCATGTACCTTGTGAACCACCCCGTCGAACTTGGAACTCAGGTGCAAAAGATTAAACTTTTATAGCTGAATATAGAGGAAGAGATACCTTTTGCGTGTTAATCAAATGAAAAAACCTTAAGATGTACCACTTTCATTGGAAAGAATAAAGGAAAAAAGGTTAAGCTAACTGTGACAATCCCAGAATCTGGGTATTCTGAAGTATTCAAATTCTAGATATTGCACTTTAAGTGTTGTAATTGACATAGTGTAGACGGTTTACATAATTCTAGCTGTTACCAGTGATGTAGCAGCATAACCCCGTTCATGAAAACACAATTGATGGTACAAAAGTTTGGACATTTTGCTCTCTTAGACTTCACAGTCTCGTTCCTTGGTTTGCAGTTGGCAATATACATTCTGGTGGCAGGAGTTCTTTGCATTTACATAAACTATGACTGTGATAGGCAAAGGCAAGAGTTTAGGAGGACAAATGGGAAATGCTCGGTTTGGGGCAAAGCCCCGTCAAAGGTGTGATGATAATGATAATATACTTGGTGAAGTTAGCTTATTCTTTTTCCTTTTCAAATCTAAACATTCCAATGTGTCTGAGCAGTTTTTCTTGTTTTCTCGGTTTGTTGCAGATTGTGGCGACGTATACAACAACAGCTGGTGAAACTAAAACCAGTCTTCTCTTAACCTCTGGATGGTGAGTTTATTCTACTTTACACTATTGAAACAGTTAATTTAGAGGTTGTTCATCAGGACGATATCGATCAATGGCATTGACCGTGCAGGTGGGGACTGGCTCGTCATTTTCATTATGTTCCTGAGATCTTAAGTGCTTTCTTCTGGACCGTACCTGCTCTCTTCAATAATGTATATTCTTACTATTATCTCTTTAGTATATTATAAGTTTTTGTTACAAGTGAGACACACTTAACACATAAAAACTTCTGTGTTTGAACCAGTTCTTGCCATACTTCTACGTCATATTTCTCACCATTCTTCTCTTTGATCGAGCCAAGAGAGACGATGACAGATGCCGATCAAAGTAAGCCACCAAATCTGAAGGATGTTCGTATAATATCGACAAAATTCTTCTTTGTTCTTACTTCTATTTGCTGTTTTTTTTTTGGAAAGGTATGGGAAATACTGGAAGCTGTACTGCGAGAAAGTGCGATACAGGATTATTCCGGGAATTTATTGATTGTAGTAAACAAAAGTTGTTTCGTTAATTCGAACGTTGGAATCCAAGAGACCAAAAGAGACAAACGCAAATTATTGCGTTTTTTTTGCTGAATTGTAAGCTACGTTTAAATTTCGAGCTGTATTTCTCTAGATTATTTATATTTAGCTTGCCATTTTAATTTTATAGTTTGAAATGCATAAAACGAATTTAAAAGTAGTAATTAAAATATATTAACTATATCAATATCATTCAATTGTGTATAGTAGCTAATTCTACCGAATATCATGTTAACCAATTTTTTGTTGTTTCTATCACAAAGATCTCACCGCCAATACTAATATTATCAAGTTGACTCCACTAATTTGTTTGATTGGTATAATGCTGGTTGGTAGAATCCACCATTGTAGTAATGAAACAGTTTCACAAAGTCGTGATTTATGTTCTGAGACTATGGGATCTAAAAACGTCAATTAAAAAAAAGTTATCGTTCTCTAATTTTTAGTCAAAAATTATATAAAGCTTCTTACTATAAATTCTGTACTATATTTCGTTGTGCATATTTTTTCATTTTATGCTATTTTACTATTCCTCAGAACAGGTTTCAATAGTAAAGATTTGGGATTTTCTATTCTTTTTCTAAAGAATCTTTGGTCAATGGTCTTTAAGTTTAAAATGTGATTATGTTCTCACACAGTAAAAACAAATAGAGAGAAAAATATGAGAAAAAGACAAAAGGTGGGCATTTAAAAAGAAGAAAAGGATAAATGAAAAGCTATGAAAAGACAATGAACATTTAAAGAAGACAGACAAATCCCACACCCAAGCATCAGCCTCATCTCAGTTTAAATTAAATACTATTTTTTTTTTCAACAAGACAACAAAAACAAAAGAGATGGTTTTTGGGTTATGTTTTGTCTTTGTTAGGGCGTGTTTGGACGTTACCGTCTTCTCAGAATCAATATTTTACCAAAACAGCTTTTTCTTTTTACAAAATAAAATGAACTTTTTAATATAAAAAATAGTCATGATTCCAAATCCACGTCATGTGAAGACAAGAAACCATAAAAGTGGAGGTTCCAATCTCGAATACAGACATGTATGCTGTATCGGTGTATGTATATATAATGAGATAATTCCAGAATGTATAATGACAAATGGGTTCATTGAACTTCTTGCCTCATATTTCTTTTTTTCTTCATTTTTTTTTTCTAGTTTCTCTAAATCAAGAATCATAATCTAACACAAAGAGGGAAATTAACTTCAAACAAAGAAAATTATAGGTGAGACTTCTTTTGTAATAATGACCTCAATGGATACAAAATGACAAAATACACAATGAAATAGACTAGACCAATATTTGCGACAAAAAATCAAAATATACAAAGTCTTAAACATGTGAATGAATATTCATGTAGTAATGATATGTGAACATGATAACTACTAGGGCTGGGCACAAATACTTGATACTTATCCCGTACTCGTTACTTATCTCGTACCCGTCTTGAAAAAACAAGTATTTGTCATTATCAAGCCGGGTAATAAGTCATAGAAATTTATTACTTGCAAGTACAAGTCAAATATCAAATATCATTAATATTTTTAATACTTGTCTCGTTACTTGTTACTTGTTACTCGTTGTCTCGTTGTTTGTTAAAAAAATACTCGTTATCCGTTTAAAAATATTTGTTACTTAGTTTTGATCACATATCGATATTTCAATTTTATTTTTTATTAACATATTTATTGACTTTTAGTATGAAATTTTTTAATTTTAAGTATATTAAATTTAAATAATCAAGTGTTTAAATATTTTAGGTTCAAGTAGTCAAATACTTAAGATTTAAGTAATGAATTTTGGCAAGTAACAAATCGGATCAAGTAACTTGTAAGTACTCCAATTTTTCGCAAACACTTGATATAGCAAGTACTTATTTTAAACAAGTCAAATATAAGTAGTAAATTAAATTACTTGAACAGATCAAACCAAGTAACAAGTACTGGAAAATTAACAATTATTTGTCTCGTGCCAAGCCCTAATAACTACAGTTTAACGATGGGATTGAAAATTTGACCACTTTAAAAAATGAATTCCTTAAAACGAAGGAAAGAAGCGAAGGGGGAGATTTGAAAGAGGAAAAGACAAAGAGGAAGAAGACAAAACCGACTATCACGCATTGTCTGGTACGTAGAGCCAAAAGGAACAATGCCTCTGTTTTAGTGTTTTTTAGTTTTCAATCTTTTCCCCAAAAGACAATAATCCACACACACACACACACGCTATACTCACAAGATAACCACCAGACTCTTCTTCTTACTTCTTTCTTACACATTGATAGATGGATAGATAGAGATAACCAAACAGAACCCCCAAAAAAAGAAGAGAAAAAAAGAAGAAGCTTATTAGACATTTTCTTCGAAATTTCATGTCGGTTTTTCCTCTTTCCATTAATACAAAATCCAGTAAGTTTTCATTTTTCTTGTTATTGTTCTTTGATCTTTACTACTTTTTGTTTCTTTCATGTTCTTGTGTATAAAGAGACTTGCTTTCTTTTCTTTATCAAATTCAGACAGTTTCAATCAGCTTTTGTGTTTCTTCTTCTGTCTTCGAATCATTTACTAATATAATAGTAATTTTCAGGTTTAAAATTCTGTACTTTCTGCATCCAAAAAAAAGTTTAAAACCCTAGTTCCTCTGTTCTCTAACTACTTTTCCCCCTTTTGTTAAATCTGCAGATTCTTTGGATCTTTAAAGAAAATTCTGAATCTTGGGTTTGGTTCTTCTCGTTGTGAGTCTCTCAAAGTTCCAATTTTTCCTTACAAAGGATTAAACTTCTTTTTTTTTTTGAGTAAATCAAGCTTCTCGCTTTGGCCTTCAATGGTGGCTATGTTTCAAGAAGATAATGGAACATCCTCTGTAGCTTCATCACCACTTCAAGTCTTCTCAACGATGTCACTAACAAGACCAACTCTCCTCGCTTCTTCCTCACCGTTCCACTGTCTCAAAGACCTCAAACCAGAGGAGCGTGGTCTCTACTTGATCCACCTCTTGCTAACTTGCGCCAACCACGTGGCGTCAGGTAGCCTCCAAAACGCAAACGCAGCACTCGAGCAGCTCTCTCATCTCGCTTCCCCTGACGGCGACACGATGCAGCGAATCGCTGCTTACTTCACCGAAGCACTCGCTAACAGAATCCTTAAGTCATGGCCTGGTCTCTACAAGGCTCTTAACGCAACTCAGACAAAGACCAACCATCTCTCCGAGGAGATTCATGTCAGGAGACTGTTCTTTGATATGTTCCCTATACTCAAAGTTTCCTACTTGCTCACCAATCGAGCTATAATCGAGGCTATGGAAGGAGAGAAGATGGTTCATGTGATTGATCTCAATGCTTCTGAACCGGCTCAATGGCTTGCTTTGATTCAAGCTTTTAACTCTAGGCCTGAAGGTCCACCACATTTGAGAATCACTGGTGTTCATCACCAGAAGGAAGTGCTTGATCAAATGGCTCTTAGACTCGTTGAAGAAGCAGAGAAACTCGATATCCCGTTTCAGTTTAATCCAGTTTTGAGTACGTTAGACTGTTTAAATGTTGAGCAGTTGCGTGTTAAGACAGGAGAGGCCTTAGCCATCAGCTCTGTTCTACAATTGCATAACTTCTTGGCTTCGGATGATGATTTCGTGAGAAAGAACTGCGCTTTACGGTTTCAGAACAATCCAAATGGGATTGACTTGCAAAGAGTTCTAACGATGAGCCATGGCGAGGCACCTGAGAATGACATGAGCAACAACAATGGCTATAGCCCGAGCGGTGACTCGGCTTCATCATTGCCTCTCCATAATTCAGGAAGGATCGATAGATTCCTCAACGCGATTTGGGGTTTGTCTCCAAAGATCATGGTGGTCACTGAGCAAGACTCAGACCACAACGGCTCCACACTAATGGAGAGACTATTAGAATCACTCTACACCTACGCAGCTTTGTTTGATTGCTTGGAAACAAAGGTTCCAAGAACGTCTCAAGATAGAATCAAAGTGGAGAAGATGCTCTTCGGGGAGGAGATCAAGAACATCATAGCCTGCGAGGGATCTGAGAGAAGAGAAAGACACGAGAAGCTTGAGAAATGGTGCCAGAGGATCGAATTGGCTGGTTTTGGGAATGTTCCTCTTAGCTATTATGCGATGTTGCAGGCTAGAAGGTTGCTTCAAGGCTACGGTTTTGATGGGTATAGGATCAAGGAAGAGAGCGGGTGCGCAGTGATTTGCTGGCAAGATCGACCTCTATACTCGGTATCAGCTTGGAGGTGCAGGAAGTGAAAGAAGATGAAGGATAGTGTGTTTTCTTTTGTTGATGAGCAGAGAGTCCCTTTCTTTTGTATACATAGGGACACAATCTTAGTTGTTTTGTGATTGTGAGTTTCTGTCTCTCTATGCTATTTTGGCAAATGCTTCTACTACCTCTGCATATATTTGGCTTTTGAGTTTTCCAGCATCTCCCAAACATTCAATAGATCTTGAAGATAACTAAATCTATGGTGGGTTCAAGTTCTTCAACAGTGTCCACTTCAATTATCAGAAAGTCTATGGCTTTGTTTATGTACTAATGATTTTATGATCACACAACTCTTTTACTGTTGCAGAGACCAAATTTTTACTTTGTTTCAACACATGATTTTGCCATTTGTGCGTATGTAAATAACTAATTTGGTGTATAAATATTTAGGTTACAGTAAGGACATATGCACTATCCAAAGAGAGTTTGATGTATTTACTATGAAAGCAAATAAGTTATATACATGTTGGCTCATTGCCAATCTGTGAATCTGAAGAATACAAAAAATGCAGCTCAAGATTTCTTCATGATCAAAATTCTGGAAGCAAGTGAAACTTGGTGAACTAGAGATTTAGAAAGGCTAAATCGAGTAGTCTACACCATGAATAGATATTTGAGATCATCTACAGTTAGTCGAGTTGCAGAGTTTCCACCATGATCTTCACCAAAAGCAGAAGCAACCATGTTCCTTTTTTGTTCCTGATAATAAGAAAACCGCAGAACCAGAAATTAGAAACTGAAAGGGAAACAAGTATCAGGTAGAAGGAGAGGGATATAGATCTTCAAACATGCCTGTAGAGCCAAAATTCTATCCTCGACAGTATCTTTTATCGTAATACGAGTTACAGTAACTGGTCGAGTTTGTCCAATACGATGTGCTCGATCAATAGCTTGATCTTCGGTAGTTGGATTCCACCAAAGATCAAGAAGAATGACATGACATGCAGCAACCATATTCAGACCAAGGTTTCCAGCTTTTAAAGACATTATCATCACTTTCACCTGTTTAAGAAACCTTGCACTGTTTAGGGAGTTTCATGATGAAAAGAGGGAACATATACCACTAAAAAAATTGTGTAGGAGAGTATAATTTCAGATAAATTTTTGAAAGATATGCACATGACTTACATCTGGATCGTTGCTGAATTCTTTCACAGCTCTGTCTCTGGCGGCTAGACTCATTGTACCATCTAATCTTCTGAATTCTATAGTGTTTTCAATCAGAGACAGCTCCACCAAGTCAAGCATACGAGTCCACTGAGAAAAGATAATCGTTTTTATTTGCCCTCGGTTAGGAGTTGAGCGCAGACTCGTGTGCTCAAGAATGGTAACATCATCGTCGTCAGACGAGGACGAAGAAATTCGACCATGCTGTGTTGAGTTTGGACTGCCTTGGTTAGAAAGCGACTGCAGAATATCTAAGACAGTTTTGATTTTTGATGAGCTAAACTCGCCATTCTGATAAAATGCTTTACCAAGACCTCTATCATGTGAAGAACTACAACCCATATCATCAGCGATGCAACTTCTAAGGGTAGACTCAGAGAAAAAAACATCATGCGCAAGCTGTTCTCTGCATTCTGGGCACGTGTTCTCATCGCCTGTGATAAATGTTGATACACACTGATAGCAGAATATATGGCCACACATAGTAACAACAGGGTCTTCTGGTGGATCCTGCAACAAGACAGAAGAAAGAATTATGGGTGAAGTAAATCAGAACTAGAAGATGGTGAGAACCTGAAGAGACACTAATTCTAGATCTAAATTATTATGCACTTACATCGCATTCACAACAGATGGGAGATGATTCTAAGCGACTGAGCAAGCTAACTCGAGTTTCCCTAGGAAGTTTTTTACACGCTTCTTCTGATTCTTTCCCAACAGAATCTGAGTTATATCCTTTAATAAGTTGGGGGTGGTCACAAGCTTGGCGTAATCGCAGAAGCATGAGAAGAATGTTTGCATAGTTTTGATTTAGAGTTCCTGCGTCAGCATATGCCTGCATAGAAAGAAATATCATCGTACCAATTTAACAAGAACCACTGCAAAAAAATTTCTTCAATGAAAACTCTTTATAATCATCGAGTTGCTAGTTACTGTACAAGTATCTTATATTCAAAAAAACGTGCAGATCACAGCTAGAAACCAAGGATGAACTGGTAGTTTAGAGGAGCACAGAAAGAGCACCTTGAACTGAGATTGTGAATCGGATTCAAGCTTCGTGTAGAAAGACCGCTCCTCTACCGAGAAGTCCACCTTGCTCAAATTAATTGTCTTTGGTGGCAAATTAATTATAGGCTGACCATCAAGCAATGTTCCTAGATCACAGGCACAGCTATGTAAGGAGATAGCAGGAGTAACATGAAGGTCTATCATATAAAAAGTAAAGATTAAAGAAAAAAGAAACGAAATGAATAATATTATTGTTAATCTTCACAAAACTTGACCTCTGTATTACCTTCAGTTGACAGCTCGACTAAACTCACAACTATTTTCATTATAAAGTATGAAATAGGTAAGCAGATATAATCAGACAAGTCTATGACATAGAACACCGTTATGAATCAAGTCCCATCACCCATCCAACCACTTAAAAAATTAATGAGACAGTCCAAGTACCTTTGGTGCGGCGCAGCATTATAGCCCTCAAAATAGCTTGAAGCTTCTTGTAACCATGTACGGAATTTCTGGAAATTGGACTCTTAATTGTGTTGCAGAATGACTTGTACACGGCATACGGATCATATTTTAGAAACCTGAAATAGCTATATAAATCATCTATCGTATTTTGTATTGGTGTTCCAGACAAACACCACCTCCTTTTGGCTCGAAGACCGCAACATGCTCTTGCCACCTGGGTTCTGTGATTCTTAATTGTCTGAGCTTCATCTAGCACAACTCTGAACCACCCAACTCTAGCTAGAGTACCACAGTCAGGGTCAGACGAAGAATCGTCAGCATTTTTTTTACCTCTTTTCTTACTCTTCTTAGTAGCACCCAATGCGATTTTGCGTTTCTTATTGGTGGAGAAGCCTGAGGCGAGACCATATTTTTCGGAAACTTTTTCATCATTCTCATCGTCATCTTTCAGGGGTTGCTTTGGAACTTCATTTGAAACAATAGCGTAAGTTGTCATAACCACATCATATTTTGCTAGTTCAATAGGATCTTTGGTCCTGTTACCACCGTGGTAGATTAAAACAGAAAGTTTGGCTTCATCAGTAACCTTCTCATCAAGCTCTCTTGCCCACTGTCGCACAACGCTTGCTGGACAAACAATTAAAGTGCCAGCAGCTGGTCTTTTCCCATTAATTTTCCGTGTTGAAGTACTCGCTTCTTCATCCTTGGCTTTCTTTATGCCTGAACTGCAAATCACGCCATTACCATTTGAAGCCTTAGGCTCTGGCTTCTCAAATGCATTTTCTGACTCATCATCAGCATCCAGATCCAATGCTTCAGCCACTTGATTGGTTAGATTCTCAGACTTCAATTTTGCCTCGTGCATTTGCTTTAGGATAAGAGCAATAGTCGAGACTGTCTTACCAAGGCCCTGCACCGTAAACCAAATGGAATAAGGGGAACAGAGTAAAATTTTAGAGTTTAGCGGAAAAGAATTACGATTAAAAGTAACCTGATCATCAGCTAATATCCCTCCCAGACAGGGCGCACTTCTAGTTTCCTTCTGAAACATCCATGCCAATGCAATTTTCTGAGAAACAACAGTGTTTAGTACACAAGACCATTCCGACAGATACTGAAAGATAAACTAACACACGAATACCTGATGCTTCATAAGGGGAACTGAAAGAAGACCGGCAGGTAAATCGATCTCAGACTTGGGTTGATTCAGATTCTGCAGGAAATACGTACTTGATTATCACAATTTTTAAGCACTTACTCATATCACGTTACTCTGCCTCAAGCATCATTGAGAATTTGAGACATACAAAACATTTTATTCATCTCTGACTTCCATTGCTCTAATTCACTACAACTGACATATTAATTTATAATAATGTCCAATGACCACAAATCTTGTGCATTGCACATAGTATTAGAACCACAAAAGGCAAACTAAGACGAGAATTGCACACAAGTAGAAAGTTGAGACAAAGATAAATACCTGTAGTGCAGCCTGATAGATCAGCCTCTCGTCATTCTCTGAAGTCCTGTGCATTGAATCAATTGAACCGTTAAAATGTGAAGTAGAAGAAGCTGTTCCATGCGTCATGGATGGAGGTAGAATCCGAGCGCCATTGATCACACGCCCCATGCCTATTCCATCATGTGCTCCACCATAAAGATCACCAAAGTCACCCTTGTTGGCTGAAGCTATCACAGCTGGATTACTATACTCCCCACGAAAGTGACTCCCACTCCCATTACTTGCACCGGTATCAGGTCTCAAAGGCACAACAGCTGGAGGAGGTATCCTTTTAACAGCTTGTTGATATGAAAACTTCTCATAATCTCCAACTGAGACATTGGGAATTCTTGAACTTCCGATGTGCCCATTTCCAGCAAAACCATTGCTTGAAGAAGGGTTTGTAAGTCCCACTTTAGTGAGGCTATTTGCATTGGAAGAGTTCCCACTAGAAAGGTGCGGTCTTAGCGTAGAGAGGTCCCTTCTATGAGAGCCTGCTAGGTCCAAAGAGAACCAAGATCAAAAAAATTCCGCCCATAAAGATTGGTATTAGCAAATTAACAACTGATAAAGTCAGAAATGTAACCTTGAGCTAACCGTGGAGGAGGAAGAGTTCGAGTTTCTTGTATCTCGATATCACTATCTGAACTTATATCAATAGCGGAATCCATAGCAAGAATCGAGCAGTCAAGCTTCTAAATCGAAAATAAACACCCGTGAATCACCAAAAATATACATACATACTCTGTGCCCAATAAATCGAAAATAAACAATCATAATCACCCAAAAAGAAAAATCAAGTGGGCGGTATCTCTGAAACTGTGTGAATGTTTGATGATTTTGGCAGTGAAAGATCAGAGAAATTCTCTTCGCGTGGATCAACAAACTCCAATTGAAGAAGTTTTCAGAGAAACCCAGAAAAGCAATCCGAAGAACAGAACAGCGACATGCAATGGCGGGACAATATGATCAAAATCCGAAATTCGATATACAAAAACCCTTTTAAGAGCACGACTAAAAGAAGAAGGTAAACCGAAAACGAGAAATTGGGGCGCGAGGCGTGAATCTGTAGAGAGCAAAGGGAAGAAGAAGCAAAATTGAGAAAAAAAGAGTGTTGAAGCCAATTGTTCACATATCATAGGGTTTTCCAGTTGACCAAAAAGAAAACAGACGACAACGGCGCCGTTTTGCACGGAGAGAAACTGAAAATATACTGTATATAGATACGCTCTCAGTTTAAAACTAAAAAATAATTCGACGCAATTTTGAAACGAGCAAAATCTCAATAAATAAAGTTTGACGTTAAAGAAAAATAAAAAATTAGGACGAAAATCAAAATTAGTCAACGTACGTCACCCTCGGGCCCATGAAGAAAGTTTTCAGCCCATATTAGTTCAACTTCACGAAAATGCGGATTGCGATGATACGATCATCCTAGCTGAAAAATTAAGAAAGGATAATTGAGACTAGATCTTTTCATACACGTTTTTTTTTTAAATCCTATCGACTGATCCAGTCGATTCTGGTATGAATATAACAAAGTGCTACAATGTGGATTGATTGCTTTGGTTCAACAGTTCAATGAATCAGGATTAGAATAGACTCGAATTAATAGACCATTAGATTTATGAGATCCAATGGGTTACCACACTGTTTGTTTTTTGGAATATATTTCGGCTAATGTCAAGGATAGCTGGATACCAAATGACCAGGTAAATTGCATGGACGTTTTTCGTACTCGTTTATATAATTAAAAACACAGACGAGAATCTTTTTCTTTGTCTAAAAAAACGTTTAACAACATCAAGTTATTAAATTAATAAAAAAGACTAGTTTTCTTAGAATTTTATATACAGTAAAATTTTGGATTATGTGAAGAAAAAAAAGAAGAGTCTCACTCCGTAAACTATTATCTCTGAGGAGAAACAAAAATAAATTTAAAAAGTTAACAGCCAGAAAAATAACAAGAATGTTAATTAGAGCCTGAAATCGCATGAGGCTTTAACTATCATAGGATTGATTAACCGACGGTAACACCGAAACCAAACTTGTAATCTTTCTTCACATGATCCACCTGGTTATTCAACAAACGGTTTTAATCATATTATCGAAAGCACTCAAAAATGTAATTTAAAAAAAAACATGAAATTTAAGTCATTTTGTTCACCTCTGCGGATACAAGAAAACGGAGTCCATCACCAGGAATAGGCAATACTTCTTCTAGGTAAGCAGAGGTAACTCCATTAGAGTCAATCTTTCCTCTTAGCCGACACTAAACCCAAAAAACAAAACTTTAACAATTTTGTCGTTGCTTGTTTCAACTCAAAGTAAACGGACAAGGAAAGAAGCAAAGATACCTGTCGAAAAACGTAGTCATACCCAACACTAGCTGTAACATCTCTCGACATTAAATTGTACATGAAATCTGCTACAAGTGAGATCTGATGATGGAAAAACAAATGTGATGATTTAGCTTATCTACTCTATAGTGTTTATAGTGTGAAAGACGAGCTAACATGAGACAGAAACATTTTTACCTTCTCTGAAACCACCTTATGAACATAGTTCATGATAACCACACCAGAGGAAGAAACTTGCCCAGAGGCAATCTGTTGATAATATAACATTTTTTTTATAAAATAAAAAAAAAGGATAACACAATGTGAAGTTAGCTTGAAGATTAAGGAACAATATTGTAAACCAAGACTTAGATTATTCTTTCTGTTTGTGTTTCCCAAATTCTGACAATGAAGAAAAAACTATACCATTTTATCAGTCTCATATCGAGCTGCATAACCAATACACGACTGACGATGCTCACCAATCCAGAAAACCTCACCACCCAAAGATAAATGGGGTGTCACATGCTGCAAGAACAAAAATTTCTTATTATTACTATTATTCAGTCAAAAGAAAATGAGTTAATTTCTAAGCATAAATTAACAAAAGATTATATCTAACCTGAATATAGTTAGCTGCATAGAGGGAGCCGCTTCCAATCTGAAGCTTGGTTCTGTAGTCTGACCCCTACAAAAAATGTAAACCACCATTGTCGAACGAACAAAAAGCAATAACCAAAACAGAGATAAAACAAACATATTTTGATGATGAATACAGAAAATTTCTCACCTTGTAATCACAGGAGACCACGCCTTGTGACTTATCTTTTTTACTTGTAAGCTAGCAAGAGAAAGAAAAAAAAAGAATAAAACAATATTGATGGAGCTATTGTATACCATAGAACAGAGACAAACTGTATCTTTACCTGACCATTATAAAATATGGTCAAATTATCAGTTAAATTGCACTTGATTCTCGCGTTTAGGTTACCATCCGTCAAGACCCTTCCGATAAGCATCAACTGTATATAATAAGTTGGTCCATGTTATTAGCTATATAGCTTCTTGGTGAAACACAGTATATATAGTACCATGCAACGAATACATATCAACGAAAAAGAAAACAAAGAGATACCTTTGGGTCAATAAAATTTGCACCAAATTCATAGTCAGCAGTTGGAATTTTGATTATATCAGATGAATGAGTAGGAACCTGTGTTGGTCCCATCATTACGCTGTTTGAAACATATCAATACACACGTGCTTTTAGTTAGGAAGCCAAATTAATAAGAAGGATACGTCACAGAAAAAAAAAAAAAAGAATAGTTAAATTATATCAAAATCTCATTACGTATGGCTGAGGAAAAACTTGTGGTTCAACATCTTGTTAAACTCGAAGCGGAAACCATCGAATAGTTCTGGCTTTAATGAAACTGCAAAGTGAAATAACCAAACCAGTCAAAACACGAAAGGGTTTTAGGTGTTAAAATACTTCAAAACCATAACAAAATCCACCCAAAATGAAAATGTGATTAATTAGCTATTAACAAGAAAATAACTCAGATATATCATATATGTTAAGTCACTATAAAAGAGCTCTAACACGAATTAATATTATTAATTGCCACTTTGTTCGTTCGAAACGCAGAGTTGAAAAGACACTCAGAAATCAGAGAAAACCAAAGACAGAGACAGATTGTGATCTCCAAGAGAATAAACTCATCCAAAACACATGGAAACGAAGATAGTAAAGGAGTGTGTGTGTGTTAATAATTCTGAACTGGAAGCTTCACGGTGGATTTCTTCATAGGGAAGAGGGCAAGGGAGGTTTGAGTAATCCACTTTCTCTTCGACTTTGGTCTTTTGAGCCGTCAAGTTCGGTGGTGCAAGGCCCGCCATCGCTGCTGGTTCCGCCATCTGAAGAACTATTTTGCTCGCTAAAGAGAGGAAGAAATCGAAAGCGAAACGAACAAGGCGAAGAATTGCAAGGGTTTATGTATTAACTACTTTTATTGAGTCACATGCGTGTCTGTCAAGGGTTTGACCCGGTTTGGAACTCTTGTTTGATTTACTAGCGAATCGGACCAATTTGAGAGATTTTAAACTTTTGGCCCAAATAAGATCGAATTTTTTTGGAGTTATTTTTTCTTTATTTTTGGTTCGGTTCGATGTGGATATATAAAAAAAAAAATCATAAACTTTTAGTATATTTCAATGTATTTATTTATACACTCAATTAAGATATCTATAGTATTTTCATTTTGTTTAAAAATTTATCTGGTCAAATGCTCTAGTTTAATTTGTATAGTTAAAATTTTAAATTATAGAATATTAAAGAAGAATTCAATTGATTGAGCAGAGTTCATACAAAGATTGTAAACATTTATTCGTTCTGTTAGGTTTCTCGTCTCAGAGAAACAAAACAAAATGAAAACGTAAATGCAGCTTCTTGAAGCTTAAATGAAAACGTAAATGCATCTTCTTGAAACGTAAATAAAAACAAAATGAAAACGTAAACGCAGAGAAACAAAACAAAATGTCTAAGAGGAAAGACAATAACGAAACTAAACTGTTACGGTTTCTCGTCTCAAAGTCAAGTAATAATGTAAGAAGAGCAAATTGATCATGAAGCAGCTATAGATTGAAGACTCACCGGGAAGCCGGAATCAAGTCCAAAACTTTCATCATGAATGCAAACGTAAATGCATCTTCTTGAAGCTTCTCGAATCTACACGTCACAATCAAACAGCATACAAAACTGGGTCAGTCAAATTCCAAATTGGACTTCAAATCAAAACTTCTTGGCTAGTAGAATAGAACTCGAGTCCAGTATAGATGTGGAAAACGTTTTGTTGAGACAAAAAGAGACTAAAGTCGTACCTTCCAGATTTTGAGAAATGCCCAGCGCCAAGCTCACATTTGAACAAAAGCAAGTTGTTGTCGGTCTTCATTTCTCTCAGTTTCGCCACCAACTTGGCAGGTTCAGAGTACATGACTCTTGGATCTGTTACATAACGTCACAAAGGTCAGGAAATAAAGGAATTTAGCCGAAATCAGAAGCACTTTCTTGTCCAAATCGTATCTGGACAAAATAATGCTTACCATTCAACCCAGCAGTTACAAGAACATTTGGATAACTCTGCGCTGTAACCTGTTATATTTGAAATATATGCATCATCTCAGAGAACTTCCATATCATGTATTGCAGATAATATCAAAAGAAGCGAGATATACTCACGTTGTCAACAGGGGAATATGACTTCATATAGAAGTAAAATTCTTCCTTTCTGGGGTCACCCCACTCCTACAATGATAGAAGCCAAAAAATTCACACATATATAAGGTGAATAACAAAAGATAAAACATTATTTAACCCATAGCTTCTTGATTCCTAAGGAAATCTATCTATCCTTATGCTTATTCCTCCAGTTCTATATCTTGACAGTTTCCAATGCAAGTCACTATAAAGCACATGCATATTATATGTACTACGCAGAAGTACGAAAATATGTTATTCTTTTACGGCATTGATTGAACCAACCTCCCATTCTGACGTCGTAAGCGGAATAGTTGGGTCCAGCATTGTTGTCAAAACATCTACAAAAGGAACTCCAGCGATAACCACCTTGAACAAGTCAGGCCTCATATTAAGAACAGCACCCACCAGCAATCCACCAGCACTTCTTCCTTCAATACACAGTTTTTCCTTTGAGCAATACTTTAGTTCTATTAAACGCTCAGCACAAGCAATAAAATCAGTGAATGTGTTTTTCTTCTTCATCAGCTTTCCATTTTCGTACCACTGTCTCCCCATTTCACCACCCCCACGAACATGAGCAATTACATAGATAAAACCACGATCTAACAGGGACAACCTTGATGCCTTGAAATATGGATCCACAGAAATCTGTAACAAATAGAGAAATTTATAGCTTAGAGCAGAATAAGTAAAAGGACCAAGGATATGAGGACCATAAAAGCTTCAGCGAAAAATACCTCATACGAACCATATCCATAAAGCAGCAATGGATCAGACCCATCGAGCTTTGCAAGATTTTTGTTATAAACAATAGACATTGGAATTTGCGTTCCGTCAGATGCAGTGACCCATTTCCTTTCGGTAACATAATTTGACCCATCAAAACCTCCCAATACCTGAATGAAAGAAAGAAGGTTATCATTAAGATCAAGCGATGACCATATCTAAAGATAAGGCAGTTTATATATAGAAAACAAACTCATAAAAGCAAAGTAACAGCCAAAAAAGAAAAAACAGGGGAAACTTTTTACTTAATCATGTGCCTTTCATGTAAATATGACACACTACCATTTAATGAATAACTTAATGAATTGCAAATTTTAAAATCCGCAACTAAATGTGCAGAGCGCATAGAGCCGGAAAGAATTAGTAGTTTACTTACTGTGTCAATCTTCTTGACAACAGAAGTGCCACTGTCCATGTCATAGTCATACACAGAAGGAGGTGTTTTCATCGAGCTGTAGCAGAACCTTAAAACACTAGACGCAAATTCAGACTCTGTTGAGTCAACTGAATACACCGGATCAATAAAGCTAACACTACGACCATCTTGGAGAGCTCTCAGAGGCTGTCCCTCAGTAGGAAGCCTATGAACTGTTATCTTCTGCAGTCCCTGTTCACGCTCAAATACTGCGAGATGATCTCGAAAAAGCTGTATTTCCTGAATCTTTATACTGTCCATATAAAAGTTATGGCAGAACTATTTAGCTATAGGTGACCTTAAAGTTAAGTAAATAATTCATCATATAACTAAATAGCAATTGGAAACAATCCCAGCCATGCATGGGGTCTAAGCCATAGAATATAGGAACGCTGAAAATGACAAACAGATTCTAGCAAAAATGTTTACCTTTCTCTATGTGGAATCAGAACTGTTGTCTTAGATGTGTCATCAACTGGGCAGGCGACCAGTTCTGAGTTGTAAAACTCAGTGCTCCTTCTCTGGATGAAAAAGTGGTTGCCTCGATGATTGACAGATGTATCAATGCCATCTACACGAGGTGTCAGCACCCTGAGTCCATCATGAGGTCTGGAGACATCAAGCGAGAAGACAAATCTTGTAGTTTTGCTTTCAGATCCAATGAATAAATACTTATGGCTCTCCGAGGCGTGAAGATCAAGAGAAAACATATCATCCTTCTCATGGTAAAGGCATACATCACTGCATTGCTCTGTCCCCAACTTATGTAACCAGACCTGTCACAAAGAATATATGAAAATGATAATATGAAAGCCACAAAGATTAACCGTCGAACTGAGTAAAAAACTCAAAACCATTGCATCTAAGAGGTGTACAATGCCATAATTTGATAGAAACGGTATATCCTAAACTAAACAGTATATCATGCTAAAGTTAAGCCCTGCCTCCAATACAATACACTAAGATATTAGGGTGGGAAAGGTTCAAAGGTAAACCTTGTCAGGTCGCAGGATTTCGTCCATAGTAATGTAGACCAAAGCATCATTACCAGCCCATTCAAGATCACAAGTCACTCCTTTTAACGATTGCCCAACAGGTTTTAGGGCCTCAGAGTCAATGACATTCACTGCATAAATTTCATCACCTTTGGTGTCCTCTGCATACGCCACTAATTTATGATCGGGACTGGTCTGAAGACAGGATCAAGAAAATGAAACATCAAGTTAACAAAGAGCAAATGTGAAACGAAACTATCTGAGAGGATATCAAAACCTATTCCTAGCAAAGTCCCCACCACGGTCTAACCTTAAAGGCACCAATTCTGTAGTAATCATGCTCCTGGGCCTTGATATTCTCATCCAATATTATATGCTCAGGAGGAGCATCTGGACCAGTTAGCATAGTATCATACACAGAAGGCTCAGCTTTGTTGTCAGGGATCAAACGCCTACAGTGCTGAACATATTCTTTGCCTTGAAGATTTTTCTTATAATAGTAGTAAGGACCCTTGCGTAGAGGTGCAGATATGTCATCTTCTTTGATCCTCCCTCTTATTTCAGCAAACAGTTGATTCTCAAATTGCTTAGTCCCTGAAATATTTTTCCAAATCAATTATTCACTAAATTCTCCAAATGCGAAAAACCCTAATCACAGAAAAACCTCACTCACCAGACATGACGGAATCAGTGTAGTCGTTTTCTTCACGGAGATAAGAAAGCATATCGGGATTGCAACGAGAATCATCACGGAGCCAGTAGTAATTGTCAACCCTAACGTCACCAAACATCTCCATCACATGCTCCACTTTCTTCGCCACAGGAGGGGATCTCGATTCCGCCATGTCTCCCGATGATGTCAACCGCAATGAAGCAGCTCCGGTTTCAGAGAACGATGAGGAAGAAGAAGAAGAACACAACCGTAGGATACAGCGGCGGCGAGGGACAAGAGGAACGAGGCAAGAGAGAGGAACAACGAAGTGGAGAAGACGACGATGAGGTGCGAGAAAGTGAGAGCCAAGAGATGCGAGTCCACGCCTTACTACTATCATTTACACAGGTTTAGTGTTTATCTACTGAGCGCAAGACTCGGGACGAGTTGTTATTTGTTAATAGATGATCGGTTCAATCCGGTTTGGTTGTCATACCGGCTTTTGAATCGGTTACACTAAATTCCCATAATTCGTACTCATTTTTCATTTTTTTTTGCTCGATTACTGAAACAAACGACATTGCTGTTTACTGAACTTGAAAATGTTGGCTTCGTGAACCAAAATCTAACCGAGCCGTTCTAAACCGAGAAAACGAGGTATGTGATAATAAAATTTCCTAAAATTGGTCTTACATACAAAAGAAAAATAAACCAAACGAAAAAAGCACGTATAGCAACAACATCCATAGTCTAGATCAAGTTAAAAATAGTGTATCAAAACCACTAAAATTGCCAAAGTGACATTCACTTTCACAAGAAAATGTTTCCACAAAAGAAGACGGAAAAAAAACAATGGGAAGTGTAAACAAACATCAGAAAGATATACCTTGAAAGAACATAAAGCCAATGGCGATAATGGCGCTAACTTCATCAGAACAATAGGAGACTAATAATGTAGGATCATCATCATTCATCACAGGAAATAAGGAACACCTGTCCTTGGCCCTCTCATTTGATTGTTCTCTTCTGTCTCCGTGAAAAACTTCACTTCCCTTTCCTGGTAATTAAAGCATATATTCAACAAATCATAACCAATGAGTGAGGACTAGATCAGATCCTAGACACTTCCCAGAAACAGGTCTATAGAAGAACACAAAGAGCGTGATTGATCTGGGCCGATATAAATTCTAAAGCACCAACTAGGTGATTTCATATTTCATATATATCACAGTAGCTGTTAAACCCATGAATGCTGATACGAGATACTGCAGCTATTATATAAAAACATACTTCGAACTCTCTCTCACTAGAATTTTGTCTAAATTCCCGTAAACAAGAAGTCTGTACATATTTGAGTCGAGAGATAAGCAATACAAGGAGTAACTTAACAGATCAAAAACAGTACGTAGATAAACACCTCTCTTGTTTAGAAAATAAGTGAATAAATGTAATAAGAACATGAGCACGAGAATATGGCACATCAGTAGGAAAATAGGAAACAAGTGACTTACCATGTTGTCATTGAAACTCAATATAGAAGCCACATTCCCACAGCGGTAGCAGTAATTAGGTGCAGACCACACCTTTAGACAAAAAAAAAAAAACAAAGAGAAGAAACATCACCAAGCAGATTATTATACTTCAAACTAGCCAGAATGAATCATAAGAAGCAACAGACTTACAGTTACAAGACCTTTATCTTGGAACATGTACTTTAAACCTTCTTGTACAAGCTGGTGCGCGCGACATACTAGATCAAGATTGTTTATATGGTTAAACTGCACAAGAAGCAAACCAAAGATCAAGAAAATGAAACCGATTTCTTTCTTACACAGCTTATTAAAATTTAACAACAAAAAAACATACCTCAGAGGTAACCCTGGATCCGAAAAGCCAACCAGCTCCACGTGGACTGACAGCCCATGTTTCAATATCTTCTGGATCGCTCCACATAAGATCACAGAAGGGTCCTTCATGCGGAATTTCACAATTCCGCTCAATCAGTCTTATCTAAAGGACACAATAACATCTAAAGTTAATCAATCATGAATAACACTAGCAGGGTGAAAAAGAAAAACAATAAAACAGCACATTTTAACCTGGTCAATTGTCCGTACGTCAGGTGAAAGGCCACCATGAACACATAGAACCTACATCAAGGATGCAATCCTTTTAAATATAGTATACAGATACGCCTATTATACGTCCCAAGAGAAAATACATCATGATACAATGCCACAGATGCTAATGAAATACTTACTGTGCCATCTATAATAGCTGAGAGTGTAAGATAGTCAAAAACATCCGTGCAATATCTCCATGCATTAGCATTACCATACTTTCTTTGGCATTCATCATAGAAACCATACACCTAGCAAATATATAAAATTGGAACAAATATTTAAGACAACAACTTAATTTAAAAAAGTGAACCTGCAGGGGCACAACATACGAACCAAGCGTAGCATGAAAGTTGAACAAGAACATTTTAAACATCCCAAGACTTGTCACCATGTAAAAAATATAACTGATCATATACTGTCAGTAGATTTGAAATACACAACTAATTTGCAACAGGAGGTACAATCCTCGCCTTAGTCATCTTGAAGATTTCCCATAAGTGCATTGAAGTATAGGAAAATATCATTACAACCTTCTTCCTTGACAGTGGATGTTAAGAATTATAAGATATGGGTAGAAATAGAAACACATCAAGAACATCCAAGAAGAAATAATTGGATGCCAAGGACCATGTTACTAACTAAAGCATGGACTTTAGCTTTCCAGTATTCGATTCAAACTAAATGCTCGATTAACTGGCATGGCATTGCCGAATGCACAAATTCAGACTTTCAAAACCAGTTACAACAACTGAGGACGAAAATCAAAATTACTTGACTACTAGGAACTGCGTGAAGAGCATTGCAACAACAGACATCAGTCAAACAGAATAGTGCATACCTGAGTTAGCTGTCTGCTTTCATGATTTCCACGCAAAAGTGTGATATGGGCTGGATATCTAAAACATTGAAATACAAGATAAAGACCGGTTTTTAAGAAAAAGAGAAGCATGAACAATGGCATACGGAGAGCATAACTTCTGAAAATTTAATTGAAAAACATACCTTGCTTTAAGAAGCAAAAGAATAGTGAAAACTTCAAGACTGTTGTAACCTCTATCAACGAAATCACCCTGAGAAAATGCACCACAGAAAATTAAACTCTGTGTACATATTGACTGATGTGTCGAACGAGACGCACAAAAGAAAAGAAGTCAATACCATGAATATGTAATTTGTCTCGGGAACATGACCTCCGGTCTGGAAAAGCTTCATGAGATCATGAAACTGGCCATGGATATCACCACAGACGGTGACTGGACTGTTGACAGGTTGTACATTTGATTCCTCAATGAGAATTTCTTTCACCTGTAAACCAGTATAAACGTATCAGAACAACTTGTGATTACCAATGCATCTCATTGTAACGAAAATCAACCGTTGAGAACCGAAAAGAAGACGAAGAAGGCTTTGACGAGTTACAAAATTTCTGTAATAAGAGTTTGCAAGCGCGTGCAAGCCCTTGTGCATCCGTTACTGAATTAAATTAGCTAGAGAAGAAGTATAAGTTATCCCTAATAACTTGATTGGAGTCATCTCCGTAGAAAGATAGGGAAGAGAGAGAGAGAGAGCGAAAAACCCTAAAATCCATAAACCAAAATGACAAAGAAAACACTAAGGTAGAGACAAGATTCGAAGTCAAGTTCGAGAGCAGAGCAAGCTAAAGCCCTCAATCGAGAACGCAAATAATTGGGTTCGTAGATGCATGAATCCTCGCAGAAGAGAGAGAGCAAGCAAAGAAGACGAAGAAGAAGAAGAAGAAGAAGAAAGCGTACGTATTCGCAGAGAAGCTGAAGCTCGTCTTCAGAGAGATGTTGGCCTTCTTTAACCTTGGATATCCATTGATCCAAATCCATGGCGACTTATATACCCTCTCTCTCTGTATATATATATGTAAGTAGAAATTCCTCCTCTTTCGTCGATTTCAATGGCGACTTTCCACGATCTTTGGTGGAGAATTGAAGCGAAGATAGATCTAGCAGAGCATTGCTCCCTCCGCTTCGTTAGGGTTACGTAAGAGGAAGGAGAGAGAGAGAGAGAGAGGCAGAAAGGGGACAGAACGAACCAAAACAATCTCGACCCAAACCCAATTTGGTCTTCCCCGTCTTCAAACTCGATCCCGTCCATATATTATTACATTAAACATTCATTTTTTGGCAACACAATTAAAACATTTTTTGGCAAACGCATTAAAACATCATTTTATTTTCTGATCTAATAAAAAACATTATATTTACCAAGTTTTCTAGGAAAAAAATGTAAAGTATTATTTTGCTTAAAAATGAAATTTTTGAAGTTTTGAAGTTTTTTTATAGAATATATTTATTGATTTGAAGACTGGCTTCTAGCTCATGGCACAAAATGAGAATTTTAGTTTTTTTAGAATTATGGCAAAAATAGATGTTTTGTTTTTTTGGTGTATGATTGTTGCTTTTATGTTTGGTTTTGTTTTGGTTTTATTTTATTTTTTTATAGGTCTGGCGGTTTTCTAAACTTTCGTGTCTACTGTATTTTTGGTTGTAGTTTTGTATTTTTATTGTTCTTAGTTCTTTTCGGTTAATTTATTTTCTTTGTAATCTTTGTTCTTTGTTAAAATTTAAAAATGGTAATAAAATCTTAATATTTTTACCAAAAAATTATATTTAAAAGAACAATAGATATTATTACAACACTGGTCCACAAGATTTGTGAAGCTTTATTAACAAATCGATATTTATAAAATACATGTTTAATATATAGAAAAAAAAAATTATTTACTGAATTTGCCGGTGGATTTGGATGGAAACGAGAAACGTGACTCTTTTAATCCAATGGAGAGCCTTTTTACTTCTCAACAATAAAACCAAAACCTCACAGAGAACAACAAACGTGTAAAAAAGAGACGTTCGTCTCAAGAAGAGACCAATTTTAATACCTAGTACTCCTCAACCTCCCCCACCACTTCATCTTCGGCTTCTCCACTGAACCACCTGTTTCTTCACTCCCAAGTTTGCTTAGTATCAGTTTCGTTTCCTTTAATCTCCCTCCATAATCCTTCTTCCATGTCTCAAACATCTGTTTCAACCTTCTTAGCTCCCTCTCCGGATTCAAGTTTGCTTCCACCTGACCAGATTTCACTTCCATCAAGAACTTTGTGTCATCACCAAACACTTGTGCTCTTTGTCCGAACTCTTCTGCTAACCGGCTTATCACGCTTAAACCCACGACTCCTACACTTCTTGTCCTGCCATGTGTCCTGAAATCACCACTTCCTGATAAATCCGTCGCATCGCTAAATGCGTTCACCGACGCATCCGAGTTTCTCGCTGAGTCCTCCACTTCTAGGCTTTTCTTTGCAATGGAAAGACTAGATTGCAATGATCTCATCTGCTTTTGCCAAATTTCTTCCATGGATTTCATCTTGGTTTCATATTCAGACCACCGGTTATCATACTGCTGGAGTCTTTGTCGGAGAATATCGTTCTCCTCTTCTTTCTCACGAAGAGCAGCTTCGCTTTTCAGAACCCTGCGCTGAAGTTCGGAAAGTACTGATGCTTTCACTAGCACCTCCTTTGACTCATTTCCCTGCGTAAAAGAATCGCTTTTACGAGTCTAGCAATGTTTCATTTATATAAAACCTTGGCTGAGATGCAAGAAAATAATGGAAAATTTGTTTAGGACCTTAAAGCCTCCAGATTTTAGCCAACCAATATCCCCTGCGCATCTTCTAACCAGCTCGCCACGAATTGCTGCAAGAAAATGAAGGTTTCAGCAATTCTTGAAACTTTTTGATTTCAAGGTTTGTTTCAGAGACGAGAATTAAATCAACCCTTTTTTTTTACCTGACTGTAGAACAATGGATGCATCAACCTTGGCTTTATACTGTCTCTTAGCAATCCTTCTCTTAACATGGCTTTGTATATCAGTACAAGCTCGATGCCTCCGTAGTAACTCTGCGTAATCTTTTCTTATCTTTTCTCCACGAACAACTGAAACAAAAGGATGTATGAAGAAGCCGTAGCTGAAACTGAAACTGTCTCTACTATGAAGAAATAACAGAACAAACCAAGATATGGAAATGAGACAAGGGGCAATACATGATTGAAGAACAGTAATTCCTCCTTTAAGGTCTTTTAGACGACAGCGTGCTTGGTGCCCTCTAAAACAGCTTTGGAGACGTAAAATACCATGAAGAGTGCGATTCCTTGTATCCTCCAGAACTCCAATCTGTAATGGTCAGGCGAAAATATTGCCGTAAGTGTCTCAGATTTTGTGAAGTCAAGACATCAGATGACTAGCTATAGTACCTGGCCAGTTCTGAAAAACAGTTTTGTGTAGCCAACTTGATACATCTCTGGCAAGATATTGAATTGATGAAGAATTGCAACCGAAACACTTAGAGGATCTTTGGCTGCAATACTCTCCAGCAGAAGAAAACCATACCTAAAGTATGATACAAAATATATAAAACAACATTACTGCAACGAAAGAAGAGAGGGTAATGATAAAACATTATTGCAACGAAAATGGTTTCTGATGGAGTTGTTACCTTTGGGCAAATTTCTGATGAGACATTCTCGTAGGAAATCCTGACCGGGAAATTCGAACCACCTCTAAGACCCCACAACATCTTAGCTGCTGTAAGACAAGCCCTTGCTCATACAACCCGGGAGATTGAACATTGTTTGGCTTTATACAGCGAATGAAATGCGGAGTAGTGTTCCCTAGACGTTGCATCAATTGGAAAAGTTGACCCTAAAAATATCCAGTATGGTTATTAATCAAACTTTTTAACTAAACTAAGCAAAAAATGTTAATGAGATGAGCAAACAACAACAAGCGACACAAGCTTAGCTCGTTCAAGAGCAGATATAGAAGCAACCTGTGTTTGATGCAAAAGTGGCTTACCTTAAATTTAGTTGCTACACTCAGTCGCTGGGAATCAGCTCCACCTGCTTTGTATAAAGGACCAACAATAGGTTTTTCAGAATGAATGAGCATACTAGAAGCAAACGCTTGGGGAAGGTGGGAAGAGCAAGATGACAAAAGTTGAATTGAATCCGAATGCAGCAAATCCCGGTTCTTCTCTAGAAAGCCAGTCGTCTCATATGTAACCTGTGTTTGAAAAGCAAGTAAAGATTGGCACATCATGAAGGAATCATTGACGAAGACTAGTTCCTGTTTCAGTTTTGGAACATGAATTAAAGCTGTTACCTCTCCAGCGTAATGAGCAACCGTGAAAGCCTTCCCTCGATCTCCTCTAAAACATGAATTAGCATTTAGATGTTGTTTCAGCTTGTTTGCAAGTGTCAAATCTGTGCCATTCGGAAATGTGGATTCCTCATCCAGAAGTGAGAGCAGACCTAATGGTTTCTGCACAGAAGTGATACTTACTTGTCTTAGAACTTAGAAAACATGCTTTGGAATAAACAATAGACAGGTTCCAACACAACATATCGCAGCAATTGCTCTGCAGCTACAGTAGAGGAGATTGGCTATCCCATTACCTTTTCAAAGAGACCAAGACAATTTTGGTTGTCCTCAAAATCAACCCTTGTCCAGTCAATGCCATCCTGGATATATTCCTGGAAAAGCAGAAAGAATGATTTTATCCCAGAGAACTCGATAGATTGCCTGTCATGTGAATGCTTTTCCTAGATATACTACAAGAACACATAGCAGAAAGTAGCAACTTTACCTCCTGCTCCAGCTTGAATAAATGACGATTAAAGTGTTGCTGCAATCTCTCATTTGCATAATTTATACAGAACTGCTCAAAACTATTTTTCTGCAACATGTGAAGTAGTTATTCAGCAACATTGACATAGGTACAAAACGTAAAACAGAAGATGCATACATGAAACCATTTTCTGTAAAATCTTTGTCCTATCCTTTCCCATCATGCAATGTGAATACAAACCACAAGTTGAGCTTTTAGAAAAGATAAGGTCAGAAATCTCTATAGAGAAAATATGTTTAATGGATTAACTTAGAGACAGTGCGGTGTATACTGAAAACAAACTATCAAGCTTCTAAGTGACAGTCTCATCCTAATTTTCATCCCAGTTGATCTTTCAATATTCTTCACTATGTGTATGAGTTCCCCCAGTTTCCCAGAAAGTTTCTATGATTTAGTAATATCTAATGTGCAGATAGCTTCTGTAAGTTCATGCAGGAAGAAACGTAAGGAGAGACTAAAGCATACATTGAATGATTCAAAGCCATAGATATCAAGAATGCTGATGGATCGGCCAGTTCTCCTCTTTCCCACCGCAAGAGATTTGTTTATCTGTTTAACCAGCCAGTCAAACAGGCAGGCATAGATTGACTTTGCTAAAGCATCTCTTGCGTCAATGGCCTGAAAGCAAATGAGAAAAAGTTTCAGAACAAAAAAAAAGAATTCATTGTCTTCAGTGTGTACTGCAAGGCTTGATGCAAAATAGATAAGAAGCATAGATCATGATACGCATAGAAAGATTAAATGCCAGCAATTCTTTATAAAAGGCCTACCTGCGATAGTGTTAGCTTCTGTACAATAGTATCATTTCCAACTCTCATATTACGCTTCGATAGAGCTAGTTTAAGCTCATTGATGTTGCACCCCATCAATTTAGCAACAGTTGACAAACCTGGAAAAGAAAAAAAAAACAAATGCAACACTTAGACTTGCTCATGCACCCCGCCAGATGAGCCACAAATATTAAGCAAAATAACTTGAAATCAGCAAAACCTTTGTCCAAGAAAACGAAACACAACAATAGGTGAAATTTTCGCTAGCGATATACAGATAAGTAGAATAACGTGAAAAGAGAAAGGACTGAAGACCCTTACTTTCATCTGGTTCAGGTTCAACGTGATTTTCATTGTCAATAATGTTGAAAGAAACATTCCCCAGCCATAATACTGCTGCAAGCATTGCAAATACACTTTCTTGATCTTCTTTACTAACGTGCACAATATCTAGAGCTTCCTGCAACATAGATACTGAATGAAAAAGTATGCAGAGAATGAAAAAATAATTTTTTTTTTTTGGTACTGAATGATGGAGTTTACCTTAACGGCGTTGAAAAGTTCTGCGTCATCAACTCCATTAATTGAATAGCAATTGCTCTGTATCAAATATTTATACTCTTTTGCGCTTCTCAAGTTTAGCTTCTCTGATATAACAATGAATGGAATATAAAAAAAGTCAGATATATGCGATGCAACCGGAGAATTTCTTTTAAGAGAATTTTTAAAAGCTCTTTTAGGAATCAAATATCCAAATCATACCTCTAAGCGTAGGTGAAGCCCCAGCACAAAGTTGATAAAATATGTGATATGACCTTTCTCCTTCCGCACATTGAACCACTCTAGACTATTAAAATATGTCAAGAAAGCATGCCAAAGTTAACCAAACTATATTTCAACATGAAAGAATTTGACGCAGCGGAAATACTATCGAGGAACTTACCTTTTCCAGTAAAACTGCAAAATTTGAAGAAATATAGCAAAAAGCTAAGTCAGCATTTGTGAAGTAAAAAATAACAATCACTTTGAAGCAGACAACTACAAGGTTTATTCTTACATGTTTGAATTTTGGCACCAGAAATCTTTCCTGTTTCACTAAAATGAATCTCTATCAGCTTCCCCTGTCAAAATTTAACATCAAACAAATATTATGAGACAAAAAAAAAGGCCCAAAGTTTAAAAGTAAAAGAGTAGGAGTCTGCATAATGGGGATTGGGGGCTTACGAAACGACTAGAATTATCGTTTCTCAATGTTTTTGCATTTCCAAATGCTTCCAAGATGGGATTAGTCTTTAATATCTCATACTCGATCCCACTTCCACCTCCAAGAGCAGCCAAGTACTGCATTGCAATCTTTGCTGTCTCAGTTTTCCCTGCTCCACTCTCTCCACTGGATAAATAGAAATCTTGTGATAAGAAAACAATTCAAACAACTATCACAGAGGCATGAAAACTTTAAAAGGAGAAATTTTTGACTAACCTGATAATGATAGATTGGTTAACTTCATCTGGAATGGAAACCGAAAAAGATAAGAATCAAAACATAGAATGCAATGCGTCAAAACAATAAATATATTAAGAAAACATGATCTTACCTCGTATCATTTCACGGATTGCTGTATCTGCAATAGCATAGACATGAGGGCTCCCATTTGATCTATTCTTATATGCTTCAATGTTGCGACTTCCATACAAAGGAACCTCCTTGAAAGGATTCACAGCCACCAGAACGGGCCCTGCTTTTGTCTAACACCATAAAGGAAACCAATTCAGAAAAGCAAATAAGAAAGGCTGTAACATTTCACTAAAGAAATCACAGAAAAGACTGTCAACATGAGACCCAAAAAAAAAAGTATATATTAGCACAAACGGCTTACATATATCATGTCCTGGTTGTACCTATACTCAAGGTTGTACAACACTGCTGGCTCATTTAAGTAACTTAGTTGCATGAGATCGTCTACTCCATCAAGAATATCAGGATTTGCAGGTACTAGAGTCTCTGATATGACTTTTAAAACCTGTTAAAATCAAGTGTGGTAATAGATTTCCCATCAAACACCTAAAATAATAATAATCAACATCTAACTAAAGGGAACTGAAAAATTTCACTTACTTTTCCCTCAGGCAGTTTAATAACAGACTCTTCTCCTGAAGTTGACAATACCTTCCCCAGCTCCCAGTTACCGTTTGGAAGTTGCACCCAAAATTGCAGTACCTGTAAAATGAAAACTTTTTTGTTCAAAAGGATTGTTTGCTCTAATGTTTGTTTTTCATCGTAAAAATCAAGAGAAGTTGCAACATAAGAACCTTGAGGATACCTTTTTCCGAGCATATGCGCTTGTGTCGCTCCAGCGACGATCATTACTCTGAGGCAAGGGCACAACAGGATCTCCATCATCAATTGAAGAACGTTCTCCAATTGAAACGCTTTGCACGCTATACGGTGAATCCTCATTAGCATTTTCAGTTCCACTAACACCATTCTTCAAGTAACCATTTCGTGGAATAAGCAAATCGGTCACACAAACACTTGAGCCAGAGGAAGTCTCAAGGGGATCAGAGATTGGTGAACCAAGAAACCTATAATCTGCCGGCATCGATTTAAGTGACTGAACAAATGGTGTAACCTTCTGAGACATTTTCCTGTAAGAGAGAGAGAGAGAGAGAGAGAGAGAGAGAGAGAGAGATTGAGCTGTTCAGTTCGAAAAGAATGAGACCATAAAGAGAAAGTAGTTCTGGTTTCCAACAAGCTTATTGAAGAAGACATAGTCCAAAGTTTATTAACAGAACAATAGAGGGGGACCATACTTTAAGACATAGAACGAAGTGCTCTTTCAATGTTCAGTCGCTATTATAGAGTTCCACAATCAAAAAAGAAAAAGTTCCTTAGATTAGGCAATCTATGAAATACTCTGAGGTGAAATGCAGAGACTTTCTGGTTTCCTTTCTAAATAAAGAAACGCAATTATTGAAGTAAAAAGCAATGCAAGATCCAATGGATTCTCACCAAAGTCACTGTAATAAACATAAGGAACAAATAAATCTAAGGCTTTGATCTTACACAGCTTTCTTGGCTTGAATTGTTAATAGACTATCAAAACTTTGATCTGATCTTAAGACAAACCAATTTTAGATTGAATCTTCATGTCATATCATGATTTAAAAAAGGAAAAGATACAGATTTTATTTTTGATGAGTTCATTAGAAAATATCAAGAGTAAAGATTGAAATTATGAGATTGATTCGATCTACCTTTTAAAATTAGAAACCCAAAAGGAGAAAACCCGCCAATCAGCAACCACTTAAATGTAGAAACTTCAGATGCACAGAAATTTGATTTCCCTGATGAGATCGATCTCAAACATACCCACACAAAAAAACTCGCCCTCTAAATAAATTTCTATGATTTTTCAATGTAAACTCAGAAACGATGAAAAATATTAAGGAATGAGTTTAGAGAAAGAAAAAAAAATGTTGTGGAAGTAAAAAAGAGAAAGGAAAGATAAGTAAGAGTTGAGGTTTCACAGTAGCAATGGTGTGTTTGAGTGAGAAAATTTGAGAGATAATCAGAAAATTGGAGAGAAAATCGGAAAAGGGAAGAAGAAGGAGAAGATGCAACTTTTTCTCTGCTTAGTAAAACTGTTTTCTCTCCTCTTAATTATTTCTTACTTACAATTTCGATATTTAATTAGACATCCGACAATTTTGAATGTCTTTTTTGGCCACCAACAGTGGAATTTTAAGCACCTCACGTGGCCGAAATTCCGATTTTACCCTTAATATTTCCTAACTGATGCTTTTGTTTTTCGAATTATGTGATCAAATAGTTTAATGATAATATTTTCCTCATTTAATGTTTTTTAAAATTATGATTAAGCAGGACTATTGATTCGAATTTTAAAAAACTTTCTCTTGCAACTGATTATCGGGAATTTCACATTTCAAATTCAAGATAACTTCACATTTTTATCATATGGATTATGGAGAAGAACTAACAAGGAGAACTCTATCAAGTAACAATAAATTAATTAGAATTGGTCCATGTTGTTTTTTATATAATATATAAAGAATTGGTCCATGTTTCGATCACATCTCCGTCTTATGTAGTCAACCATATATTTAATATATATCTAACATTTTTCTAAAAAAAACAAAATATTTATCTAACATTACAACCTGAGAATATCTTAACTTATATTCGTTTCGTTGTTACTAAATAATAAAACTTAGGCCTTTTTTTCAACAAGAATAATAATAATTGGTAGTTAGCTAGTATGCCGAAGAACAATATTTCTTTTCTTTCTTTGGCCAAATAACATTAAGATCATGATAAAGAGTGATGCAGACCCGACATTGTTTGATTTATTACATTCTACGAAACACCTAGACATTTTGATTGAACTATGGAGGTTAGTTACAAAAGTTTTTGATGGTGCGATTAAGATTAAATTTAATGAAACGAATATAAATATAAGTTTTGGTTCATTTTGCAATCATGCCCAAAACTATGATTAAGTTTTGTAATCATGCCCAAAACTATTTATTTGAAATTGGTGAAGAAAAAGTCTTAAGAATTTATTACAGAACAACAACCATATTTTGGAAAATAATTTAATAGCAATTACAATACAGAGAAAATTGCAAATTAAACTCTCACTTTCGTAATGCAATTCTAAGGAACGGGTAAAAAAAAATGAAAACGTTAAGATATGTACAAGTAATTTAAGTGAAACCTCACTAAAAAGTAACAATATACAGTCTTCTGCTCCTCCACCATCTTACAAGTTTTGAGTGTGTAAAAACAAATGAATTTGTCTTTTGTAGGGCTCTCCTTCACGTTTGCTTCCATTCCAAGCAAAGACACTTTCGCTTGTGACTGCAAAGAAACAAAACCAACATTAGGTTTACCTTCAAGGCATCGAACAAGACATGAAGCAAACTAATCACCATCTTAAATAACATCAACCCCACGAGCTAGGACCACATTGTGATGGCCTTAACCGGCTCATAGCTTGTCCTATAAAGACCGGTTCAAAGTAGACCTGATTTTTCAAAGTTCCGATACGTTTTCGTGTTCCTATGGGCAGACCCACATTCAACAGTCAGAACACAACATAAGAGACCGGTTTGGCTCAAGCTGGCTTAATGACCACGGTTACCATTTACATAAAGTGATGTGCCATACTCAAATGAATTCTAAATCGACAAAGGTCTGCTTTTTCAGCATCACAGTCAAAATAGAGGCGAACAAGAAGTGAATATTCGACTAATTGATGTGAAAATCACAGGCACAATCCATAGTATGGACTATGGACGAAACCTTGCAATATATAGCTGGTAAGCAGAACCAAGAAGCTTGTAACATATAAACATATTTGCTACAACAATGAACACTTCCCCTTCCTAAAAACCTTGAATAACACCCAAAAGTAATGACTTTCAGCATCATATATATATATTGGATAAGATGAAAAACAAGACTCTCGGGACATCCAAGATTCATGCATCACAACTAAGAGCAAGCAAAAGAAGACCATGTTTTCGTATGCTTAAATCTACAATCTATTATACCTAGTGAGCATTGAGGTTAAGTTACGACATTTGAATGCCACTGAACCTAACTCATATACCACGCATCAAAACAGATACCTAAATTGCCTACTCCAATTTCCAACTATAAGCTGCATGAGCCCGAGCATACCGTTTTCCTAGATCACTACTGACATTAACAAAGCTATTATAACCACTCTACTTATCAGGTCCTTTGTACAATGAACACACTTTGAACACAGACAACACATACAAAAAAAAAAATTTCCCAAAAAGCAGATTTTTATATAAGATGCCAAGATTAGCGGGATTGAGAGTCACAAACCTCAATCCAATTCGTCTTGCCTAGTATCCATATCAGATCCACTGCCAGAATCCGAATTTGTATCCTGTCTTCTGAACGGCCATGGAAACGATATACTAAACCTCCTCGGCGTTTGCTGACCATCACCTGATCCTCCCCCATCTCCGCTCGTCTGACCTCCACGATTCCTGTTCTCGTAGTCAGGATCGTCTGTGGGTAACTCATGTCGACAAACAGGGCACGAGTTGTGCAGTTGCAGCCATGGAAGCAAGCAGTCATGATGGTACAAGTGTTTGCAAGGCATCTCCTTAGCATCGACACCGTCTTCAAACTCATCCATACAAACCGCGCACTGATTCATCTCCGATTGCAAAATGTCCTTGGTCACTTTCACAGTCGGTAGCGCATCGATGGCGGATTTCGAAGCCGGAGGAGTTCCGTACCGATTCGGATCATCTTCAGCTAATTGTTGGATCAGATCCTCGAGACCACGACCAAAGAAGTAATCGCCGTGATTTCCTGGTAAAGGATTAGCTAGATCCGAGAGTTGGTTCTCGAACAAAAGCTGTACATTGATACCGCTTGATTGGAGTTGCTGAAGATGGTTATGGATAAATCTAACCGGATCGAAAGCATCAGGCTGCTGCTGAGTAGACTGTACCTCCATTGATTGTCCCAAGAAGCTTGGGTTCGTGAAGTCCATGGCTGGGATGAAGGGGAAGCGAGATGAGACTGGATCGGAGATCGGGAAGATGAGACTAGGGCTTGGATTAGGGCTAGGCTCCGTGTATTCCTCTAGGAACCCTCCGTTGCAAAGAGGACAGAAAGGATCAGCGGAGGAAGAAATAGAGATTGTGATTGTTTGATTGCATTGATAGCAGAAGAACATCTTCTCCGCCGCCACGACGGAGGATTCGATTGAATTTCCGCCGGAAGACATGGCCGGAATCTGTAAATTTCAAAGAGGTTGAAACCACAAAAAATTGGGAACAGAGGAGAGAGGAGTTTCGAATCTGTGAATTGTATCGCCGACTCGATATCTCTCTCGAGTCGTCGGAGTCTCCGGCGATGACTTTTTTCAATTATGGGCTCTAACAAGCCCGGCCCAATATGAGTTCAATTTCCTTAAAGTATCGGGGTCAAATTGAATGAATAAAAAAGTTTGGGGACCGTAAAAAAAAGTCATCACCTTTAGCCTTCGTTTCTATTCCTCCACACAATAGCAGCAACTGAAACATTGACTGAGGAATTGGAGGACGAGGAAGAAGACATGGATTGTATCGTCTCCAGTTCTACGATTCTTATCCGATCATATCTCACTCCGGTTCGTTCTCTCTCTTCGGCTGCCTCCGTATCCGTCAAGCCTCTGAGCTCAGCGCAGGTCGCATCCTTCTCGGCTAATAGCCACATACTTTCGTTCAGGTCCGGTGGTAAACGAACCAGGAAACTCTTAGCTAATGCTTCTAGGTCGGCGATAAGATGCGGCGGAATCAAAGAGATCGGAGAAAGTGAGTTTTCGAGTACGGTTCTGGAATCGGACCGGCCGGTTCTGGTGGAGTTCGTCGCGACTTGGTGTGGTCCCTGCAAATTGATCTATCCCGCTATGGAATCCTTATCTCAGGTTTTGTATAGCTTATTATCACATTTGATTTTCCGTGTTGCTGATCACAGAATCCGTATATTGTTCATTGGTTCTGCTCTAGAATCGCGAGAATTTGATAGGATTGAAGCTGAGTGAGATCGATTGAATTGTTTATCGCTTGAATTGATGACACAAAGATTTTGATGTATAATTACTAAAAATGTCAGCAAATGCCAACAAAATTTTGAAGAATCTACTGAATACTCAGTAAAATGCCATTTCAAGTTTTCTTGCCTTCTAAAAACTTGAAATGTTTTCCCTCTTCCAGGAATATGGTGACAGATTGACGATTGTAAAGATTGATCACGACGCTAATCCCAAGTTAATAGCAGATTTCAAGGTTTATGGTTTACCGCATTTCATCCTCTTCAAAGACGGGAAGGAAGTTCCAGGTAGCAGAAGGGAAGGTGCTATTACAAAAGCCAAGCTTAAGGAGTACATTGATGGTCTCTTGAACACAATATCTGTTTCTTAATCGTCTCTCTTTCTCTCCACTGGTATTCCTCGGTATCAACACACTATTTATTGTGTAAACAAAATCTCTTCTTCCCATTATGATCTTCATCACCCGTTTCTTATCAAATGTGTAAATCTAGCAACAAGTTTTACTAATGGAAAAGACTTGAGCTCTTCTCAGAATCAAACAAGTATCATAGGGATATATACATCTAGGTTTCTTTGCTCATACTTGGCTTTTTTTCCTTCACTTTATTGCTTTAGTATATCTGTCTTTTTTGTTTAGTTCGGGTTTCATAGCATGACTGATCATTGCAGTATTGTGCCCTATGAACTCGTTTTTGGCATATTTTTGCACTTCAGTTCATTTGGCAGCTAAAGGAATAGAAAAACAAACGCAACTGGATGCGAAGTGGCAAATTCTGCTTGGATTTTATTGGAATGAAACAGGTAAAAGAGTTCAACATTAAAGACTTTTTTTTACAATTCTTCTCCTCTTCCTCTCGGCAGCAGATTCTCACATCTTGGTGGCTTATTCCCTTGAAAAAGCAACGAAACACCAACGGCTAAAGCAAAACCAATGCCTAGGCTTTGAAACCTTTAACTTTCTTGGCTCTTAAACCTCCTTGACATAGCTCTCTTCACCTCCTCCAATAACTGCATCATCTGGGATGTAACGTTTCCAGAACGGATGTTGCTTCCACACTCTTCCCATCTCTTCAATAGGAACCCCTTTTGTCTCAGGCAACAAGAAGTAGATGAAGACGGTCATGATCGCAACCATTCCTCCAAAGAAGTAGAAGAGACCAAACTTCATATGGCAAAGCATCGTGAGGAAGAATTGTCCAATGAGGAAAGTGAAGAACATGTTGACAGAAACGTTGATGGCTTGTCCCGCTGGTCTGATTTCCAACGGACAGATCTCACTTGGTACTAACCATCCTAATGGACCCCATGACCATGCAAATCCTGCAACATATAAACATATGAAAGCTAGGATCCAATCCGCTGTTGCAGGTGTCAAGGTCCCTGATCCTGACGTTCCAAACTTCATACCGATCAAGCTACCAACAACGATCTACAAAAATGACCCATCAAGAGCAGTATATGTTAAGGTACGCAATCATCATCTCATGTTTCAATACGTATACTAAAAGAAACTAAGCATTACCTGGCAAACGATCATTTGGATACCACCTTCAAGGAAGAGAATCCTTCTTCCGTATCTGTCAACGGCATAAATGGAGACAATGGTAGAGACAACATTGACCACACCGGTAATAACCGCAGAGATGAGCGAGGCATCATCAGCGAAACCGAGAGTTTTAAAGAGAACAGGAGCGTAGAACATGATCACATTGATACCAGTGATCTGTTGGAAGAAAGGAATCGCGGAACAGAAAGCAAGCGCGGGTCTGTATTTAGCTTGTTGGAAGATGTTTTTCCATGGATTCTCCACTTTCTTAGCAGCCTCACAAGCATCACAAAGATCTTGAAACTCCTCGTCTACATTATCAGCTCCACGAATCTTCTGCAACATCTCTCTCGCTTGTTCATACTTGCCTCTCTCGAGCATAGAGTTAGGTGTATCGGGCAAAACAAAAGATCCGATGACCATTACAACCGCTGGAACAGCAGCTAGACCTAAAGACACTCGCCATCCGTTCCTAGCCATTTTAGATGTTCCATAGTTGATTAGGTTTGCAATCAGGATACCGATAGTAATCGCCATTTGAAATCCGATGTTGAGCGCACCTCTGATCTTTGCAGGAGCCATCTCCGAGAGGTAAACCGGAGTAGACTGTGGAAAAAAGAACCAGAAAAATCAGCCATACAAAAACCAAACCAAAAGGAGAATTTTCCATATGAAAAACCAAAAGTAGACTAACCTGATTAGCGAATCCAACACCGACTCCAAGCAACAATCTACCGATGATGAGCATTGCGACGTTGGTGGCGAATGCGTTGAACAGAGCACCAATGAGGAAAGCAAGACCTCCAACGAACATGGAGACTTTGCGTCCGTATTTCCTTGTGACAGCAGAAGCTGCAAAGGAAGACACGAGAGCCGCGAGGTAGAGTGAGGAAGTGAACAATTGGAGTAATTGGTTGTCGAACTTGCAGTAAGCAGTCTCGCGCCTAGCATTGTGCATTTGCCTATCCACCTCAGGGAAAAACTTGCTCAGAAACTCCTCCATTGATGTCACTCCTCCTGCACAAGATACCAACATTACATTTCCTTGAAACTAGATTGGTTAAATAAATCAAACCAACGTTTCTCTTTTCAAACTGAAACTGAACAGAATTATGGTGGCAATCAATTCAAAACCAAACAAAAAAATTTCAAACCGGAACCAACCGAATTTAATTTAAAGCGAACGGTAACATAATTTTCCAACAACCGGAACCAAACCAAATCCGAGTGAAGTGAATTTTAAAAAAAAAAAATTATACCAAAATAACATTGTTCTTCTCTTTTTTTTTTTGTCAAGAAACTCATTATCATCATTCCAAGTTATATATAATATTCATAAAAATTAGCTAATCATTTTATATAATTGCCCCTGATTTTAATACTTCTGTTATTCATATTTGAACCGGACCAAAAAAATACAAACCGATTGAAGACAAATCGGAATTTTAATTTTCTTTAAAAAAAACATACACGTCGAAACGAATCAAACTTAGGAAAAAAAAACACAAATGTCCACTCATATAGAGAATATACAAACCTGAGATTCCGAGGTCGTAACCGAAGAGGAGACCTCCCATGGCGGCCACAACACAGGTGATGATGACAAAACTGGTGACTCCGCCTTCATAGCTTCCTCCTCCTCCACCACCATCTGATACAAAGGCTCCTCCAGCCATTCTTTATTCTTCTTCTTCACTTATTAGTTTATTTTCAGCTTCTGCTTTTTTATTCATACACAAACTTGAGAGCTTTTGATCCAAATCTTTGAGAGCTTGTGGGCTTCTTAAATATAAGAATTTTCCTGATCTATAATTAGGAATGGATTGTGTTTATGAGCTGTTAGAGATTTATCTTGGCTTATGAATAGGGAAGTGGTTTTTGTTTTTTAATTATTATCTTCTTTAAACCCAGTTTTAGTGGAAGACTTGACTGTCTTTTTTTAGACTGTTTCTTTGTTTTTTTTACGACAATCTCTAATTGTATTTTTATTACATAAGACTGTGTAAGAGAGATAAGAAAGAAGAAAAAAAAGTCTCTACCCCGAGAATAGAAACCTGTAATAAACTAATAACAAACTGATAATTGCATTTGAATATGATAAATAATTCGATTTAGTAGTTTGTTTGTACATGTTAAAGTCTATTTTTGAGGTTGTTATAAGAAAAAGGAAAAAAAGTGGTCTTGGAGATTATTTACAGTTAGTTAATTTGGTTACGATTTAGAACCGATTTTAATGACGGTTATAAACCGACTTTTACCTTGACAAGACCTATTGATGAATTTAGTTTACCAAATAGAGGAAATAATGAAATACATATGTACCTAAATATCACAACTTTAGAGAAAATGGTAACAACCAAATAAAGAATCAAATACATAAGGAGACCTAAATATTACAGGAGATCTAACAAAGTACTGTACATTTTCTTGTCATACATGAATATTACAGTATATATGACAAAATGTTAAATTTTCAATTTTTACTAGATACTATTGAAACTGAACATTTTCTTGTCATTCATGAATATTAAGTATCTACTTAAAAAAAATGAAAATTTTACATTTTGTTAGATACTGAAATATTCATGAAAGACAAGAAAATGTTCAGTTTCACAGATTTCCCCGATTCATTGACAGAAATGTAAACTTTTGTGATTGAATGGTTGTATATATAGAGATGGTAGTTTGTAGTTGATCGAGAAGACACGAAACAAAGTTAGAAAAAGAAGAATTTTTTGGTGCGGTGAAGAAGAATATATTGAAGATGAACAATTCCGAATTAGTGAGTCTAGTGACCGGAATAATTTGCGTTGTAACGGCTATCATCTCCTTCTTGTTGTGTTGGCGCCTCTATTTCTCCAAATGGATCAATCAGTGTAGTGATACATCGCATTCTCCTGCGTAACTATTATCATGTTACTGCTTTTTTAGCTATCTATTGTTTTTTTTTTCTTTTTTTTTTCTGTAGCATCGGTGCTGCATGCAACTCTCCAATTTATTAATTAAGGTTTTTGGTTCTTTTTTTGCACTAATGAGATATTGTAACTCTATTCTACATGTTCTAGCGATTGTTACGAGTTAATGTTTTTTGTATTATTTTTCGCCAAAATCATACATTTATCATATGATTTGAGAAATTACTAATTAGTTCTTTTGAAACGTAGCTATTAACCAACGAAGAATGTAAGTATAAGTGGAATAGTAGAGATGAAAGTCCATGTTTTTGCTAAACAATATTCTGAAGTGCGAAAGAAAATATGCGTAAAATAAACGAAGATAAAACTTCATATCATACTCTTAACCAATAATTTGCAATCTCCTTGGTCTTGTATTATATTTTACTAGTATTATACTCCGTACTACGTACGATTCAAATTTTATTTTAACTTTTTTTGTTATAGTTTTTATTTAAATTAATTGATATTATTCGTAAAATTATTGACAATAATGATCCAAAAGTTATCAATTATGTCATTGGTTTTTACATCTAGAATAATTTTGTTTCTATTTTAATAGTTTATTATAATAGCAGTTGGTCAATGCTTTCAACACATAATAACTGACCAAAACAGTTTTTCTATTCAAGAAAATCTAATTGATTACATCAAAATTAAATATGTGTTTTAATCTAAATGTACATATGTTAAAAAAAAATACAACACAAATTTCCCCAAAAAAAGAGATTTAAACAGAAGTAAATTGGATTTGAAAACCCTTTCAAGAATAGAGTCAATATAGATCATAAAAACACTATAATGGCTATATCAAACAAATTATAGCAATACATATGTATAAAAATGATATTGGAGGTAATTTACTGATAACAGAATAGGAAATCCATGAAATAAACAAAAAAAACTGTTTTGGGTGCCGCTAGTCGGCTACTTACTAATGCATCCATGGTAGTACGCACATTAGTGTGGATGGCGATGGAAGGAGACTCTTTGGTCAATCTGTCTAGCATGTTCACCAAGAGAATACTGCAAATTCTAAAAATAGATAGAAAATAATAAAGCAATAATTTCCTGAGTTAAAGACTGTGTAACAAAAATAAGATTAACGTTTACGTGGTTACTTTTGAATTAATGAGTCTATGAAGCGATAGAATTAAATGGAGGAAGAAGACTGTGATCATACTTTGAATCGGAGGATAATTTGAAAAAAAATGAAAAAAATGAAAGTTTGAATTTACAATCATTGAAAAAACATCAGAAATATATATGGAAGAGAAGGAGATATTTACGCTAGATCGTGGAAATCGTGTAGATATGAGGGAGTAATTTGATTTTTTTAAGACAGTTACTATAGTTCTAAATAAAACGTATATGTTTTTTAAAAAAATTATTTTATTGTTTTGCCACATGTCACCATGTAATTGGTCATGTGACTTGTGCTTTAGTATAATAAGAACTAGTTAATGTAAGAAAAAAAAAATCATTAGCAGTGATTCACTGATTTTTAAGATGAGAATTTGCAAATTCGATTTTTTTTTGGATTGCCAATAAATTTGAAATTTAAGAGGATATTCTCGGTGGACACATATTAAAGAAAAAATATCATAAATTAAAGGAAAAACAAAGAAAAGTCAATTGCAAATAACCACCACTTGAAACCTTTATTCGTGAGATCTCTCTCACTCGACTTGCAAACCCTAATCCGACGAACTCCCTGTGACGACCTCACACACCTCAGGTGGGGACGTCTCCTCCTCCTCACACTCTCAGCATCATCTGCAATGTTGACGCAGCTTGGCACGCAGACTCAGGCAGCTGCGGTATGGGGTTCATTTTCCGACACTTAGAGGAAGAGAGACCGCTGCATCGTTCTGCCTCACACCAATTTGTACCTTCTGCATTTGCAGCAGAAGCATGGGCACTCTGGGAAGCTTTGATTTCCACTATTGATGCAAGTTACTAGAGTTTGCAGGTTCTATCGGACTCTCAAACCTTAATGAATCTCACCAATTCGCAGGAAATACACACATAGTTCCATGCTATTGTTAAGGATATATGCCACCTGGCGTTATCTTTCTTTTTGATTTCATTTTATTTTGTCTCTCATTCTAATAATGTCGAGGCTGACACTCTCGCTAAAGACACTCTCCGAGCTCTATTGTATCACATTGATTGATTAAATGGAATCCACAGTTCGACCAAAAAAAAAGTTACGAAGGTTAAATTTCATATTATAGCCCACCACTTGATATCCACTACACAGAATTTCAATCTCAAAAGCTCCTTTAAAGATCATTCTTTGTATTATACTATTTGTTACTAGTTAACATATAGACTGTCATTCTCAAAATCTTGGTATTATATTATACTCTTAACCACTACACAGACTTTCAATCTCAAAATCTTGAGTTTTGTGATTGAGTTTAGTCATTGATGCTCTTAACCAATACTCTTAACAAAGTTGAGAGCTTTTGATCCAAAACTTGAGAGCTTGTGGGGTTCTTAAATATACGAATTTTCGTGATCTATTGTTAGTAATGGATTGTGTTTATGAGCTGTTAGAGATTTATCTTGGCTTATGAATAGGGAAGTGGTTTTTGTTTTTAATTATTATCTTCTTTAAACTCAGTTTTAATGGAAAACTTGCCTGTCTTTTTAGACTGTTTCTATGTTTTTTTACGACAATCTTTAATTGTATTTTTATTACATAAGAGTTGATAAGACTGTGTAAGAGAGATAAGAAGGAAAAAAAAGTCTCTACCCCGAGAATAAAAACCTGTAATAACAAATTGATAATTGCATTTGAATGTGATAAATATTAGTAGTTTGTACATGTTAAAGTCTATTTTTGAGGTTGTTATATAAAAAAGAAAGAAAAAAAAATGTCGTCTTGGAGATTATTTACAGTTAGTTTGGTTACGATTTAGAACCAATTTTAATGAAGGTTATTAACCGATTTTTAGTTTGATATGACCTAGTGATGAATTTAGTTTACCAAATAGAGAAAATAACGAAATACATATATATGAAACTAAATATCACAACTTAAGAGAAAATGGTAACAACCAAATAAAAAATCAAATACATATATTGTAACACCCCGACCCGCCGGGTCGGTTGTTACTAAAAATCAATTCCGGTTTATTTAAATTAAACCATCATTCTTAATTAAGCCCAATTCTAATCTCTTTTTAGTCTCTTTTTAACTCTCTGCAAGCCCATTAATCTAATCTATTAAGCCCAGTCCAGATTAATTTTACCTAATATAAATACCTCTGATCCTTCATCAATTTCTAAAACCCTAGTCTCTTCATCTTCTCTCTTTTTCGTCACTTTTTCTCTTAAACCGCCGTTCACTTCTGAGACGATTTCCCGGCGATCCGTGAAGCTCCACGCGACGTATAATATATCAAATCGAAGCCCCGGAGGTAAGCTTTCTAATGAGACCGGTTTCGCCCTGATCCGTGATTATACACGAGAGTTATCGTGAACCGCGTATCGGGTGTCCAGATCTGCTCTCTCTCTCTTCCTCTTTCTCATCCTTGCCCTAATCTCTCCCCTCTCTCCTTTCAGCCGAACCTCTCTCTCCCCATTGCAAGATGTGTGCGCCTCTAACTCCTCCTCCTCTTGAAACCGAATCCAGTGATGGTGGATCTCCACTTCGTCATCCTTCTCCTATGCCATCACCTCCTTCTATTGCTCGCCCTTCTGTGCCAAGGTGAGGACCCTGTGCTTCACCCTCTCTTTCACTCCTGTTCATAGTAGTTAGCCTTCTCTTAGGTTAAGTACTAGATCTGTGTGCTATGGTTAGATTACTAGAACCTGGTTCCTTGTTGATTGATTGTTGATGATTGCTGGTTGTTGGAGGAACCTTGATGACTAAACCTGAACTTGGAACTAATCTATGAAACCCTAAAATATGGATTGATTGTGTGTGATCTGGATTACCTTGTTTGAGATAGTCTAGGTTGTGTGATATAGAACTGTTAGGTCCCCGACCCCTTCTGTGGTGATTGGGCGGTGTTTCTTGCTGGGCTAGTGGCTGGATTGGGCTAGTCCAACGGTGAGCGGGAGGTACGCCGATCCTCCCGGAGCCTGTATGGCTGGAGGCCTGTCTGTGTGACCGCCTTGTGACCCTTTCTGTGTGATTGGGGATGTGTCCCTTTCTGTAGTGATTGAGGACGACTGAGTGACCTTTACTTGTTGAGATCCCTTTCTGTGGTGAATGGGTGACCCCTTTCTGTGGTGATTGGGTGGACAGAGTGACACTGTTGATAAGACGGTGATGCTCTCCTCAATGGGATAAAGTTACTTTGTTACTTGGTAGTTGCTTGTAGGGTTACCCTTGTTTGCTAGCTTGACTTAGGATTAGTCTATCTGCTGTGTCCATGATTGTTAGATGGTGTTGTGGACCTCCTTAAGGTCCATCCTCGCTGAGTAATCCCAATTACTCACCCCTCCTCCTTCTTTGTTTTCATTTTCAGGTAGATCAGTTATGTCTATATTGTTGATTGCTATCTGGGCGTTTTCGATCCTGGCAGACCTGAGGCTCACCAACTGGACCAAACCAGGCGTCTGACCGAATGCGGTTAGATGGCCAACCTAACATGCCCTATTTCTCCGGTTTTTTAGGAAGCCTGTAATAGGGATGTTACATATATAGACACCAAAATATTACAGGAGATCTAACAAAATTATACACTGTAGATTTTCTAGTCATTCATGAATATTTAAGTATCTAAACAAAATAACAGAAATGTAAACTTGTGGGTTGTATATATATAGAGATGGTATAGTTTGTAGTCGATCGAGAAGTACACGAAACATAAAGTTAGAGAAAAAAATTAACTTTTTTTGGTGCGGTGAAGATGATGGACATTTTACGCAATTATTGGCGTTGTAGCGGGCATCATCGTCTTGTGTTTAAGCTACTGCCTATATTTCAAAAAAAATGGATCGATGGGTGTTATCCTGATTATTCGGATTCTTCTGCGTAACAATTATCATGTTACTACTGCTTTTTTAAGGGTCTGATACTGTGGCTGTTAATTTTAATTTTTGACTGTTGCTGTAAAAAATTTTAGCTGTAAAATAATGGATGTGACTTTAAGAAATAAAAAAGCCATATTTTTAAGCTTTTAAAACTTAAGTGTAGATGACATGAAAAAATAGAGAGAAAGCTGTGAGAAATTTTAGGAGCAGTTTTTTTACTTTAAAAACTGTTAATTCAATAAAGTCTGATTGGTTAATTAATGACCTTTAAGACTTTTAATTTTATCTAAAGTCTTTACAGTTTTAAAAGTTTATTTGCCAATCAGAGCCTAAGTTTCTATTGTTTTTTTCTTTTTTTCTTTTTTGCATGCAACTCTCCAATTAGTAATATTTAAGGTTTTGTTTTTTGCACTACTGAGATATTATAACTCTATTATACATGTTCGATCGATTTTTATGAGCTATTATTTCGTTGTTATTACTTTTCGGCAAAAAAAAAATATTTTATCATATGATTTGAGAAATTACACGTATGTATTAACCAACGAAGAAGAAGGTTACTCTAACTATAATAGTAGAGATGATTTTAAAAAGGCCATGTTTTTGCTAAACAATATTTTGAAGTGCGAGAAATATGAGTAAAGTAACTTCATATTTGATATTCCATACACAGTCTTTTAATATAAAATCTTGAGTTTTGTCATTGAAACTCTATTCGTTTTTAAACATGGTGTGGTCTTAACGCAGACGCTGCTGCTGCCAGACGCAATATGTTGGGCCTGTTCTTTTACACGATGCTGCGTCCGCGACGCTGCTAAAACTGATGCTGAGGATGAACGCCGATGAAGATTGCAGTGACGCAGCTGACGCTGAAAATTTGCAGCGTCTCATGTCATACCGTTGGTGACTCATCAGTTAATCGGCGACTACTTTTTTGTTAAGTTATGTTGCTGTTTACTTTTGTGTTCTATCAGCAGTGATATCGTTTTGCTTCGTCGCTGCCGCTGACACAGCGTCGTGTAGAAGAACAGACCCGTTATTATCTGCGTTTTTAGATACTGCATTTTGGCTGCAGCCTCTTACAGCAGATAAACAAATATTATTTACAGTTTCTGGCGGCAGACAAACAAATAGCTCAAACCAATAACTTCAAAGATATTCGTTGTATTAAAAAAAAAATCATTAGCTGTGTGATTTTTAAGAAGAAAATTTGCAAATCGAATTTTTTTTTTTTCCTTTTGGTTGCAAACGAATTCGAAATTTAATACGGCGAATACATGTTGGGGAAAAAAAAGGATAATAATTTAAAGGAAATCCAAAAAAAAAAACAAAAACAAAAAAAATCAATTGCAAATAAGTAAATAACCACCACCCGAAACCTTTATTCGCGAGATCTCTCTCACTCGACTGCAAACCCTAATCCGACGAACTCTCCGTCGCCGCTGGATCCTAATCGCTGGTTTGATCTCTTCTCCGTCGATGTTATTTCTTCGGATTTAATGTTGTTTTACTCTTTGCTCGCTTGTATGTTTCTTATCGATCTCCGTCTTCAATGTTTGTTTATATGATTATAACGCTTGTCAATGAGGAGGTCTCGGTGTTGATTACGACGAACAAATAGTTGCGAATTATGCGTATACATGTTTATGATGAAGAAATTGAAGTGAAAACTCTTGTGGCTATCATTTGCAGATTCGTGGCGGTTTTGTTTTTGATGAAATTGGATTTTAGATGGCTGGATATTCAACGAAAGGAGCTCCTACAAATGGATCTGTCTACGTCTCCAATCTTCCATTAGGAACTGACGAGAATATGCTGGCTGAATATTTTGGGACCATTGGGTTGCTTAAGGTATGGTATTGGCCAGGTACTAATTGTTTGCTTCTATTTGATGTCATTGCAAATTTGCAATCTTAGAACTTCACATGATTTCGAGTTTCTTAACATTTTTGATCCTTCGTGGTTTCTTTTTGTAGAGAGACAAACGAACTGGTACTCCAAAGGTATGGCTATACCGAGACAAAGAGACCGATGAGCCTAAGGGAGATGCTACTGTTACCTATGAGGACCCTCATGCTGCTTTGGCTGCTGTTGAATGGTTCAATAACAAAGATTTCCATGGAAGCACCATTGGAGTTTTCATGGCCGAGTCGAAGAACAAAAATGGAGGTGATTCGAGTGAGTTTGTTGGGTTCGATGGAGGTGATAAGGAAACAAATGGTGGTGCTGGAAGAGGGAGAGGTCAGGTTGATTCTACCGCGAAGCCATGGCAGCAAGAGGGTGACTGGATGTGCCCAAATACAAGGTCTGTGATGTGATATCGGTGAGGAGCTTCATCTAGCTCTTGGTTCCGTTGATTTTGGCAGTTTTGTATTTGCATAGTTTTTTAGCTCTAGCGTTCTCATACTCTTCTATTGGCAGTTGCACAAATGTGAATTTTGCGTTCCGTGGGGTTTGTAACCGTTGTGGAACTGCCAGACCAGCTGGTGCATCTGGTGGCAGCATGGGGGCTGGTGGTCGTGGAAGGGGTCGAGGTGGAGGTGCTGATGGTGGACCACCGGGGAAGCAGGCCGGTGCTTCTACTGGTCTTTTTGGTCCAAATGATTGGTCTTGTCCAATGTAAGCATTCCAATTAAGTCTGAAGTAATAGTTGGTTTACTTTCACATGATAATGTGCGTTTGATACTTGATTGAAACATATAGCTTGTATGTCAATGTTTTTGACGATGTCAGTTGACCCTTCACTTAGACGTGATGGCATGCACTGCTGTGTCATTGAAATTGTCTATGCTATGTGTTTTCTACTAGTTTAACTAAGAGGCTGCTCTTATATGGGTTCTTACGCATAATGGATACTTGTTTTGTGGGTATATATGCTTTGGTTCCACTTGTCTTTGATGTAGTCCAGAAGCAATTTCTTTCCTTTTGTTTTAATATTTTAATGATCAGGTGTGGAAATGTCAACTGGGCTAAGCGTCTAAAATGTAATATCTGCAACACCAATAAACCTGGTCAGAATGAAGGTGGTGTGAGGTATGACTGACTCAATGTCAATGATAAGATTGCGTTTGTTATCGTTCTTTTACAATATTTGAGCTGATGATTTGTATTATAAATGATATTGTGGTGAATTTAGGATACATTATAATTTTCTGTTTGATTTTAGTATTTTTGTTGACAGCAAAGTATTTTTATTCTGCTTTAGACATGGCCTAATAGATAACTTGGAGAAAGGACACAATATTCTCTTCTGCAATTTAAGCGAGTGGTTTCTTTTCCATTGTGATCAGTATGGAAAAGCTGTTGCTACATCAAAATGTTTTTTTCGGCAATTGATATATTTCACTTGTAATGTTATTTTAGCCAAATTAGAGTTGCGTTAAGAAATGTTAAGGTTTCAGGCTGATGTTCTCTTTAAAAGACCTGCGCGTATTCATATATTTTCTCTAAATAGGGGAGGTCGTGGTGGTGGTTACAAGGAATTGGATGAACAAGAATTAGAGGAAACAAAGAGGCGCAGGCGTGAGGCTGAACAAGTAAAATATGCTCTCGCTGAAGAGTTCTTTGTTATCGCCATGTTACATTTGCATTGAGCTTTTGGTATATACCATATAACTTATTGTCATAAAATTTCAGGATGATGGTGAAATGTATGATGAGTTTGGCAATCTAAAGAAGAAATACCGTGTGAAAACACACCAAGCTGACACCAGACCTGCTGTTGCTGCTGGTCGTGCTGGGTGGGAAGTCGAGGAATTAGGTAATTTCTGTTTAACTTTAACTCAGAGAACGTCTCTATGCAATCTGCCACAAAGGTTGAGCTTAAGAATAGAACCTTTCCGCTATGATAGAAATCTGTTTGGCTCGAAACATACCTACTGGCTGTAGTAAATATAGTACTCAGATAATTTTATGCTAGTCATCTAGAGGACAGTTCCAAGTAAAATGAACATAATTGCAGGGTTTGCTAGAAATTTCACATGAAGCTCGAGGCTATTTGCCTATAATACCCAGTCCTCGAGGGGGTCTCCAATGAAATTCTTATAAAAATTGGTCTTTCTCTTAAGAGCTTTCTTCTTTTATTTGAAAAGATGTTCTTTTTACTGCTTTCCCCAAAAGAGTCGTGATCCAATGTGTTAATTTTGGGGTTCATGATTTGTATCTATGTGGCAGGTGTTGATAGAGATGGAAGAGAGAGAAGCAGAGACAGGCAAAGAGACCGAGGCGATAGGCACAGAGATCATCACTACGATAAGGATAGACGCAGAAGCAGAAGCAGAAGCCGTGATAGGGAAAGAGGCAAGGAGCGTGACTATGACTATGACCATGATCGGGACAGAGACCGAGACTATGGTCGTGGAAGCAGGTACCGTAACTGAGAGATTGCTCAAAAGTCTTAGGGTTTATTAGTCTCTCTATCTTTTCCAATGTTTTGTCGATTTAACTTTATACAACCTCCGTAACATTCCAATTCTCTGGCTTTTTCTTTTGATTGTGTCTTAGTAAAAGTCTTTTTGGTACTTTCAACTTTGTCTGATTATGTCTTGAGAATATCCCATGATATCCCTTCCCTTCTTCTTCTTCTTCTTCAAAAAAAAAGCAGTACGTACTTTGTTAAAACACTACTGTATCATATACTAATTTTACAAAAGTTATTGACGGTAAAATATGGTAATCGATGTTATTCGCAAATTCAAATGCGTATTACTTTCTGTCTTTTGTGTTATTTTTAGCTGTCTTTTTGGTTCGCAAATTTAAATGCATATTAGTTTCTGTCTCTTGTGTTATTTTTGGCTGTCTCTTTGGTTCTTTTATTTTGTGTGATTTTTCTTAATGTCTTTTATCCTTTTGTTGATCATGGCCAATTATTTCATCGCTGTATTATATTATTATAATGGAAAGAACTAAGAAGATAGAACATGAAGATTTTTGTGGATAATAATACATTCTCAACTCTAAAAGAGGATAAGAAAAAAGTTGTGCTTTTGTATTCTGCGGGGAAGTGGAGGTGTATTTTCGTGTCATGTCATTGTCAAATACATGTTCGCATTTGGAAATACGATGATAAAAGCTCGTAGTGGACTCGCACATATCACAGAAAAATTCATTTTAGACAGACCCCACACATTCACATGCATTGATAAAGGAAATTTTAATAAAATCATAGATCATGAAAATAGTACCAACATATTTGTAAAATAAGTGTAAATAGAAAAGTAACGACAGTTATTCAAATGTAAAGTTAATAATCACTTCACTAGATATATTTTCGAACACATTTTCTCTGCGTTTCCAAAGAAAAAGCTCCCAAGTCACAAGACAAGTTTTTTTTTTTTTGTTAAATGTTAAATTAATGGGCTTCATAGTTCGATGCAAGGTGTTTGTACGATCTTAAAATCAATCTATGAGGTTAGTTCCATACGTTTTTTGAACTATATAATATACAATAAGTTCTATATAATTTTTAAAAAAAGTAAATTCATTGATACCATCGAACTCATAAATATCAATATCAAATTTCATCAATCGAATCACTTTTTAGAAGTATGAGATAATGAGATGTCTAACTTGAGTTTTTGTAGTAATTAGAAGTTTTTACTCATGTCTGATTTTGAAAGTCCAAGTACAATAGTAAGACTATGGGTTTGAATTATTTCTAAAATTCATACTCTACAGAGAAAAAAAAACTACAACCTGGTTTTTAGACAGTAGCCTAGTACCATGAAAATTTGTGCATTTGGATAGGAAGATATTAAAATCATTAATTTTTTAAAAGTCAATACTTCTCAACGAAACAGGAATCAAAATTCAATAGCATTTTGTAAAAAACAACAAAACAAGACAAACAAAAATGATGGGAATTTGAGATAATTTGAAAATTTTATGCGGTTTTCTATAATTTGTTATAAAATTGCAATAGTTACATAAACTTTTGTCTTACTTCCATCTAAGTTCTCTTTAATTATATATTTATTGGTATGTATAAAGACAAATTAAACACTATATATATCATCTACTCATTTCCATGTGACCACTATAATTATTGCTCTGTAAAATCCAAAATAAAACAGAGGAAGCTCCCAAGTCACAAGACTCATTAGGTTTCATAGTTCGATGAAATGTCTCCTCTCTATGATCTTAAAATCAATATCAGTGGCCAATTCACCTTCTTACTCAATCAGGTACGAATTCACACCTAAAAATTGATTCAGAATTCATACTCTTGAGTCTTGATTACGCACTGTTCTTATATATCTCCGTGCTCTGTTTTAGGATGTTATTTCAGAGTACTGTGGAAGCTTGCTGAAGATAATAAAGCATACCAAAAAGAAGAGAAACAAGACAATGAAATCTCCAGATATTATCACTATCGAGATTGATGATTTTCCAGGTGGACCAGATGGGTTTGAGCTGGTTTCAAGATTCTGTTACAACAACGGAGGAATCTCAATCGATGTCTCAAATGTCTCGACTTTATACTGTTGCTCTGTTTTCTTAGGCATGACAGAGAAGTTCTGTTTCTCTAATCTCTTGCTTCAGACGGAGAAGTTTCTTGAAGAAATGTTCTCCAGGTCTTGGAACGACATCGTTCTGTGTCTCAAGAACTGCGAGCAAGTGTTCCTCCACGCAGATTCGTATGGTCTCCTGGATAAACTCGTTTTCGCAGCTGTGACCAAAATCTCTCGAAATTCAGAAGCTTGTTCCTCTTCGCCGTCTTCTTCCTTTGCCTCTTCTCTTTCTCCTGAGACGGCCAAGAACACGCCGGAATCAGACAAAAGGTCGAATTTGCGAACTGTTTCTTGCGGAAGAAGCAACGAGTGGTGGTTTGACGATTTGTCGAGTCTCTCCCCGAGGATCATCTTGAAGCTAATAAGGATCATTGGAGCTTACAAAACCAACATAAAAAGAATAGTGCTAACCAGATTTCTTCTCCATTACCTCAAGACAAAACTCCAAACCAAATCAGAGCTTGTGAGGAACAAGATAGAGTATTCCGATTTAGCTGATGCAGCTGTTAAAGGAGTGATTTTGGCTGGGGAAACTGCGTTTTCTTGCAGGAAACTCTTCTGGGTTCTTCGGGTCTTATCGAATTTCAGGCTCAGTAAAGGGTCAAGCACCGGTTTAGAAACCCTAATCGGAGAAATACTGGATCAAGCAACACTTGATGATCTTCTGATATCTGCAGGAGGAGGACGCAGAGAGAGTGGATTCTACAATGTGGAACTTGTGATAAGGTTACTAAGAGTGTTTGTGAATAAGAGAGAAGAAGATTCAAGAGAGAAGAACATGAAAGATATTGGGAAATTGATTGACAAGTATTTGAGAGAGATATCTCCAGATCAGAATTTGAAAGTATCCAAGTTCCTTGGAGTTGCAGAGAGTTTGCCAGATTCAGCTAGAGATTGCTTTGATGGAGTCTACAGAGCCATTGACATCTATCTACAGGTCAGTTTTTTTTTTTCTTGAACTTTTATTTTTGTTAAATATTATACCATTTTTCTTCTGCTTTGATAAAGTTTTTCTAGATTTTTTTTCCATTAACTAATAATTGGTGGGGCAAAAAACAGTGTTTTCTTTTAAAACAAAGTGAGACAAAAAAGAGAGAATAATTTATTTTTTATGTGCACTAGACATACAAAAGATGACAAGTGCCAGATAGATTTCAATATAATTTTCAATTTAATAGATTTTGGTTCTTATATTCATCAAGAGATGAAAAGGAGTCAAACTATTATTTTATTCATCATATAGTTTTAAAAGTTTGTGATTAAGTGTATAAGCACATATATACCATTATACACAGATTAAGATTTGGAGTCATCTTTAGATTCTTCACTCTGTCTTGTTACTGCCGTGGGGCTCATGTCAGATTACGCACAAGGCCACAATCTCTTCTGTATTTTTGTTTCTGTCTTGTCCTTTTTTTTGATACCATTAATAAGACTATACTAAAAACTCAAAACTATATTTTTTTGGCTAAGGTACTAATACTATCAACTGCCACTTGAACAACTACATATCAAAACTAACAACTATCCATAATCTATGGAAGACAACTTGGATATATCCATTTTCTCAAATTCTAAATACGAAAATTAAAGAAACAATGATATTTGATCATTTCTTTTTGTAGAAACGTTAAACTTGTTAAATCAAAATAAGATACTTAAAAAACATACAATTGTGACTTTGTGGTCCCAAACTTTGTACAGTCTGCTCGCTTTCTAAGTGTATTGGAACTGATAAATGTCCTAAAACAATGAGTCCTTTGATCCTTTCTAATTTTAGTTCTTTTTGTTGTTGTTGTACAGTCTCATCCGAATCTAACATCCGAAGAACGAACAAAGATTTGTCGATGTCTCAATTACAAGAAACTAACATTGGAGACCTGCAAACAGCTCGCCAGAAACCCAAAGATCCCTCCAGATATCGCCGTTCAAGCACTCAAGTCCAGATGTGACAATCAAGAACACAAAACTCCAGATGTGAAAATTGTAAGCAAGAGTGTGTCTCGTAGTCGTAGACATTCACAAGATAAGAAGCCTGTACTGTTGCATCTCAAAGGCTTTGAGATTTCAGCGAAATTAGCCGAGGAGTTGAAGACTGAAGGAGGATATAACTGGAGGGTTATGGATAGTTTCAGAGAAGGGTTATGAGGTCAAAATCTTCCAATTCATCCCGCAATCTCATTTGCATACCAGCGTTGTCCAGAGTCTTGAACAAATCATCAGATTCGACACATTTTTTAGTATCGAAAGCTATGAATTCATGGAGCTTACCTTTCACTTCGATCCAGCTACATCCCGGCGACTTGACCATCTGTTGATCTTTCATTTGCTTTCTCACACGAGCGACATCATTCCAGTTTTGAGATTCTGAGTACAAATTAGCCAAGAGCGTATATCTCCCGCTGTGACTAGGCTGCAGCTTGATCACACGGGAGGCTGCGTATTTACCTAACTCATAGTCTTTGTGAATCAAACAAGCCCCGAACAGAGCTCCCCATACTGCATTTGTTGGCTTCATTGGCATTCTCTCTATCAAAGCCTTTGCCTCTTCTAGCAAACCTTTTCTTCCAAGTAAATCAACCATACACGCATAATGATCCACATTTGGCTCCAAATTGAGACGTTCCTTCATGCTCAGAAAAAGCCTTCTACCCTCTTCCACAAGTCCTCCATGAGCGCAGGCGCTTAAGACAGCGATGAAAGTAACTTCATTTGGCAAAACATGACTCCTTAACATCGTCTGAAAATGATCAAGTGCGCCTCTTGCATACCCGTGCGCTGCGAATCCATTAATCATCGCCGTCCAAGAATACACATTTTTCTCATAAAGTCTCTCAAAAACCAATCTAGCTTCCTCTAAATACCCACACTTGGCATAAAGATCAATCAATGTCGTTCCCAGTGTAGTGTTTATCTCGATCAAATTCTTAATCATATAACAATGCACCCTTCTTCCTTGATGAAGTGCTCCTACGTGAGCGCAAGCCGAAAGAACACTGCTTAGTGTCTTCTCATTAGGTGTAACGTCACTCTCCAACATCTCCTGGAAAAGAAAAAGCCCTTTATCGAAGCAACGGCTTTGCACGTATCCAGCAATCAATGCGGTCCAAGTAACCACATTTCTGCTCGGCATTTCATCGAACACTTTCTGTGCATCATCATAAAAACCACATTTTCCATACATATCTACCAGAGAACTCCCTATGAACACATCACATTTCACTCTTCCTGTTTCCAAGTAAAACCCATGAATGCTTCTCCCAAATCGAACATCTTCAGTCTTCGCCGCAGCGCTCAAGACGCTAACAACAGTCATTTCATTCGCCGCAATTCCAGTCTTCTTCATCTCCACGAAGTACGCAATTGCTTCTGAAGCAGAACCGTTCCTCACAAACCCGTCAATCATCGCAGTCCATGAAACCACGTCCTTATCTTCAGTCCCATCGAAAACGCGATATCCACAATCGAATAGCCCACGATTACAATAACCCGAAATCAACGAATTCCTCACAAAAAGATGCGAATCCAACCCGAATTTGAAGATATGAGCATGAAACTGAAACGGATTAGAGTCCATCAATCTGAAAACCGCTTTGAGAAGCGGAGGAAACGTGTGGCGGCTAGGGAAAACGCCGTTTCGCCGCAATTGAACGTAAGAAAGAACCGATAACCGACGGCTAAGTGTAATCCCGCCGGCGAAGTGGCCAACGAGCGAGTCCCATAGATGAATGCTGGGAGTTTGGATTTGACATAATAGACGGCGAGCGTAGAGGAATTGAGTTGCGGCGGTGCAGCGGCGGATAAGACGGGAGAGAAAGAGATCGCGGCGAGTATAGAAGATCGGAGAAGTGAGGAGTAAGCAATGGATCTGCTTCAGATGAAGAAAGTGTAATGGAAGGTGGAGGAAGCTGTTGAGGTGAAACATGCATTGCCCAAAATCTTTGCTGGAAAGTTTAGCAAAAGAGGAATAATAGGTTTAGATTTTAAGAAGAACCGAACCGAATTTAATTGATAATCTCATAAAAGTATGACATACTTCTAGACATGTCTCTAATTAATCAAGGTTACACATTGTTCAAGATTCAATAACCTCTAAAAAAGGCTCGCTCACTAAAAATGGTTATAACCAAAACTTAGAAATAATCGAATTGTAAATGTAATTAAACACATTTTTTGGTTCATATCGTGAAAGTATCACATTGGTAATTAAAGAATTTATGAAGTAATATATAAAGGATAAAAGCCAATTAATTTTAAGTTGGAAGTTTTTTTGTTTTTTACAACAAAAACACCATTTTACTATGATTGCTGCGAAAAAGCTCTCCTCTAAGAATAGCCAGGAAGGAGCCGCGACGCTTACATGGGAAAACTTGACTCCTCGTGTCTGAGCGGCTTTAGCCAATCTGTCAGCACATATGTTACACGATCTAGGAATATGTCTTAAGCTGAAAGATCTGAAACATGAGGATAAGGACTTGAAGTCTGCTAGCTCGGATGCGAATGAAGGCCAGTCCGCAGGATGTGTGGTCATAAAAATCAAATCCAAACAGTCCGTGAAAAAAGATTCGCAAATCACATGAGAGGAGAGGATACATTTTATAGCCCAAAGGAGTGAGTCTAATTCAGCGTTTAATGGAGAAAGGCTTCTATCTGCGCCCTTGAGGCCCACTAGAATGGTGTTCCGACCCGTTGTAACAATCCAACCATGGCCACTAACAGAGGCAGATCCTAGCCACGATCCATCAAAATAGCATATAGTCTCCTCGATGACTGGACGGATAGGCGGCACTTCTACCTGGTCTTGACGAACCTCTTCGGTTTCCTCTATATTCGCTCTCCTCCAAGCTTCTTCTTCCGATCTTGCATGATCTAAAATGTCAGGTGGGGGTTCGTCCACATTCTCAAACATCTTTCTATTCCGAGCTTTCCACAGGAACCAGAGAATCCAGGGGAAGATGCGGAGGTGTTCTTCGCTAAGTCCTGACTCTTTCGCTCTCCAAAACAGGTAATCAAGGTTACCATAAATGGAGGATTGGGGAAAGAAGTTTGGAGCTGAAGGGATAGTCGATAAGGCCCATACTTGCTTCGACGGTGGACATTCTGATCTAGAAAGCCATGATTAGAGATTAGAACTTGATAGAAAAAGTGAGAGGTTATGATATATATATATATATATATATATAAGAAGATTAGTAGGGTTAAGATTTTATAATTGTTTTTAACGTGATCTTTTATTTTTTGTTTCTAGCGTAATTTTATTTGTTTTTTATTTTTTTTACCCAACCGCTACCGCCCGCAACCGCAAACGCTGGCGGGAAGCAACATTTTGGATTTCAGCAGTATAAAATGACACATAGCGGTTTGCAGCGATTTCTATGATTGTGATTAAACGCCACTAACCGCTACCAACCGCAAACGCTGCGTTTTTGTCAGCAGAGAAGCGAAGATACATTCAGACACTAAATCCCTGCGTTTTTGTCTGCAATCTAAAGTAGGTTTGGAACAGAGTCGGATATCTGAGACCTTTCAAAATATTCGAATCTGCATCTGTATTTGCCGGATAATCAATTTTACTATCCAAATCTAAATCCAAAAACTCCAGATATCTTGAACCGAATATTTACGGATATCCGATCGTATATCCGGTTTTGTTGATTTATTAAAAATTATTCAATTTTTTAAAATTATAATAAAATAAAATTATAATGTCATGGGTAATTAAGTATTGATGATAATGAGCTTGAATTTAATATGGGTCCTTAAAAAATATCATGGGCATTGATGATTATGGACTTGAAATTCTAGTTCAAACATGTTCTAATATAACAAATTTAATTTTTTAAAATGAATAAATATTATAAAAATAAATAAATACTTAACAGACGGATATCAGATATCGGATATACGTTTTCAACAATTTTTATTATCCAAATCCGTATCCAAATTTATCGAATACTTAATTTCACTATCCGAATCCGTATCTGAATTACACGAATATTTGTTTTTACGGATCAGATAGGAACATATACTATATCGGGACCGAATACCAGATAATAATTCCAGACCTAATACAAAGGCATGTCCCATTGAGTCCCCAGATATATATTTCATTCAACGGTTATATATAGTTTTCAACAAACATTTTCTTAAAAAAGTTACCTTTCAACATAGATTTTCAAATTATTTAATTTATAGGTCTTCTTTTCAAATTATTTTCAGATATAATTTTATGAAACTATTATCTTAAAGCCCTGTTTTAGAATTCTTCTGTTGTTATATGTACAAGGTGAAGACCCGCCTGTACAGGCGGGTTTGTATACTTACTTTATAAATTTCTAATTTATGTGTAGTATGATATGATAGGTTTTTCATCTAAACTTTAGGAATTAAGTTTTTTATTTGTATGAAAAATAACGTAATAAATACAACATAATTCGAGATAAAATGCATGAATTGATATATGTTGAAGTTATTTGTTCGGTTTTATTTTTATTTAAATTCAAACACATTTCTAAATTTGTTGTAGTTCTTACTCTAAGTTTCCAATTAGTCTAGGTTGTAATTGACCACATATTAAAAAGAAAATAATTAATGTATTCTAGCTTAAGTTATATGATCACTTAATTGGAGGTTTTAGATTATGCACATGAAATTTAGATTATCAGTTTAAACTGCAGGAAACTTTCTGACTTATTTGATATCTTAACAGTTAGCATTAACAAAAAAACACTTATATCCATGCAAGGTACACATCGCCATATCACACGTTCATATATTATAATTGTTGATTTCTTTTAAAAAGTACGAAATCATACCTTTTTATAACTTCTAAAATTACGTAAAGATCTAGTCTTACCAATCGTTCTTTGAGAAACCTTGCACCCCAAGAATCGAGCGTAGAAAGAATTATGGCCTTATGGGAACTACATTCTATTAGTATCTAAATATGAAATCGTTTATTAATAGTACACTGCCTAATTCATGTTGTAACAAAATACTTAGATAATGAATACAAAAAATCCACAACCCTTCATGATTGTAAGTTATAACCCAAACAATCAAAGAAGAATGAGGTTAAACCATACCATCAATTCATCATAATGGCAACAAACGGTGATGATATTAATATTCACCTTTACCATTTTATATTTTTCTCGTTTTAGAAAAAACACAATTCATTATAATGTTTCAGGTTAGCTAAAAGAAGATACGCAAAACCCACTCTCTACAAATAATATTGGGCCAATTAATCCTTCATAAACCCCTAACTGAGTTTTCGTGGGACCTTCCTTCTCCAATATCTTTTTTTTGGTTCAAATCTTCTCCAATATCTGAAGATAACAATAACCACCTCTTGAAACCATAGCCATGATCACCATTACTTCCTCCACTCACAAACTCGTTATAATCCCCAGTGAAATTTTCAAAACTTGGTTTTCGACTTTGCCATTGAAATAGCGATTGAAATTCCGACTGATTAATCAAAGAGGAATATGGCAGTAGTAAAGACATGAAAGGAGTCCCAAGACTCATAAATTGATGACATTAATAATTGTAATCATGTCTTATGAGTAATCTTAATAGGATTAATTATTATTAAAAATAGCAGATTTTTTTTTAGAGCTGATGTGTCAGATAGAAATGCTGATTGATGTGTCGTGTGTCGAGGGTTGTCAAGTTTTACCCTAAATGAAATCAATAGCCGCAAGTGCACAACTGATCGATTGTAGTACTTAGGGATCGAATCCACAGGGAAGGAGGATCTTTTCCTGCAAAAAGCCTTTGAAATAAGTATAAAGTAAGGAAGTCTAGAACCAAAACGGTTTTGTGGGGGTTTGGTAGTGTGTTTGAAATGCAAAAACGAAATTTTAAAAGAGAATACGGGAATTAAATGACGTAATAACTAAACTTAACGAAAATGACTAAAAATGTAAAAAACGGATATCTAATTTCTTAAATGAAAATGAACTAAAAAGGAAAGACAATATTGAACTAAAACTGAAAGAAAAATCAGTGTAAATCAATGAGGAAGAAGGCGTTGGGCTTCAGGGAAGTTTTCTCAAGGGTACGAACGATTCAAAACATTGCTAGAGATTAAATGAGATAAGATCTTAACTTAAACTTTTCGAACTGGAGTCACGGACGTATGAATACGCCACTGTCGTGATCATAGACAACTATCTCTCTCAACCCTGACCAGTAGGTTTCCACTCTGGCCCTGGAAGAGAAGAGATGCATTATGTTTAAGACTCGTCCTAATTCACAAATCGCCCATAGGTAGGTTTCCAATCCTATGTTTGTTTTGCTCTCCCAAACTAGATCTGATACCTGATGAACACTTTCGTGTCACCAAGCATCTGGATCAGATTGTAGTTCATGACGCTTCTCATGCAGTAAAAACGAATTCAGAAGAAAAAGTTCTAAGATTCGGCTCAAAAGCTCATGGAATCCTCATCGAACATATAAATCCCCATCGAAAATCCCTTAATCCCAACAATAAAACTACTAATGAACGAAATCAAAAACATAGTATTAATAAGTAGAATAGAAACTGAAATTGAAAAAAAAAGAACAAGGGTTCAAGAGAACAAATCTCTCTCTCCCTAAAAGCTAAAGCAAAAACAATAAAAGTATGAAGTAAAAATTCGGTGGTGATGATAGATTACCCTGTTTAGGGTTCCTAAGACATGTATTTATAGTGTTCAAGACCTCTCTGGACGTCACTTAGGGTTTCTCCAAATGTGGGCTTCAGAAATGGGCTTTTTGGGCTCGGAGGTTGATGGCCGCGGTCGGGACAAGTGTGACCATGGGGAATCAGTGGTTTGCCGCGGTCGGGATGCTCCTGACCGCGGGAAATTGCTTGTTGGCCGCGGGTGAAAGTGCTTGCCGGCTGGTTTACGGGACATCTTGCTCTTCGCGTATCTTTTGATTGAACCGTTGGATTGCCAAGCTGTAAAGTGCACTGGAAAGCTGATATTTCCATCTTTAAGGTCTCCAAATTTGAGCTGGATCAGACGGTGAGAAGGCCTTCAATCAAGGGTGAACTTCTGACGGTTTGACTTTGAGCTGAAATCTGGTTTTCTATCCATTTTGTTAAGCTTTTCCCTAAGTTACCTGAAAAGAGTGTTGGAACTACAAATACTAGAAAAACGTAATAAAAGTACTTAAAAGCAATTGAAAACATAAAAAAATTATTTCAAAACGATCCATAAAAGTGGTCAAAATACGGTGTTATCACTGATGTGTCAGAATTGTGAGACACAACCCACTCTTTATATTATAGATTTGTGCAAAATAATATGCATCATGTACTTTTTTAGAAGATAATATTAGATGTCTTCTTTCAATACATATTCAATTTTTCAAATATATTTATACGAGGCTATAAAAAGTAAAAAGAGGTTTTTAAATTCTTCTGATGTCTTATATATATATATATGCCAAATGATATATGCATCATATGCTTTTTAAGAAGAAAATATTTTACAGATCTTCTTTCAGTGTGCATGAATTTTTTGAGACTTAACTCTTGGTGATATCAAATTCAAGTAATTAATTTTAGTAAACAGGTTATGTCATATTGTAGACTATAACTTTTTTTTTCCAACAAACAATTTCATTAATTTCAAATTGGAATTATAAAGTCATACAAAACTTTCGGAAAAAAATTATTACATAAACAGATATATGCACCATATAATGAAAAAAATATAACAAAAGAATGATTTTAACGATGCTTTCCATAGATAAGTCTTACTCGCTAACGAATCATGAAAATCTATTATTTCCTTCTCCATATTTTTAATCTGATACAAAATGTATGCGTCGGTAGCAACTCTAGGCTAAACCTTTAAAGTGCACACATCATGTAAAAGCCGATGTTTTCTATAATAGTTCTGGAACTTTGACAATCTGATACCAACACTTCGGTATCAGTGCTTTTTTAAAATATTTTGACTTTGTTGTTGTACTCCCAATTCGATATATAAAAAACCTTATTCCCTCTTCTAATAAAATTATTTTTCCAGTGATTCCAGGATAAAAAAACCCAAATGAAAACTTCATACCATCAGGTAGGAAGACAATCACCGGTTAAAAACCAGACTTTTCACGGCCAAAGAAAGAACTCACCGAAAAGTACTATACTCTGAGAGACAACAGGGTTCCACCAAACATTCACTAGAATATGAAAAGGAATAGATGGATTCCACTTACTAAAGAAATTGCCAATAAGCAAATTGCATTGAGCGACGTTCTTGATTCCGTTCTGATTTTGAGATTTCACCACCCATGCAACTGACCCACACATGAAACAATCAGTATCAGTAGGATGTAATCACCACCATGAAACGATGTTGAAACCACCATAGGATCAACAAATCAGTAACCCATGTAGTCACGAGAGAAAAGTTAACTACATCAGAGATCATTGGCAAGAGCATCGAAGAAGAAGAGAAATTGACACAGTATGAATTTGAAAGATCTCCCGAAGAACTCTCTACCAATTGAAATATTTTACACTCTCTGATAAGAATTTATTGGATGAAAACTATTTACAAACATAAGGAATACAGCCGGCATTGGAGGTGACACGGGCCGAAGAGAAACCAGTCGAAGACTTGCTGAAAAAGTCAGAAAACTGTTTTGTCTGGATCGCCAGCAACGGTTTTTTAAGACTATAACTTTTAATTTCAGATTTTTTTTGCTGTAGAAAAAATAACATAGTGAACTAATGTTAAATATTCATTTTTTTGTTTGAAAAACTTAATTCATGTTGTAGATCAATGTTAAGTTTTTAGTTTTAGTAGACATATTTAATCATATCATAAAATAAATATAATTAGGAGTTTTATTAAAAAAAAATCAGTTCATGATCGATGAGCCAAATCTATATGTTTTATTAAAAGTCTACGAAAATTTTGCAGTCTCTTTGAATCATGATGAAATCTAATGAAGTTTATATAATGGACTATATATGTCTCAAATCATGATTAAATTTTGCAGTCAAAAGAAAAAAGCGGTTCTTACAGAAATAGAAAGCGCTCCACTAATGAACAAATAAATGAAGAGAGAGTGTCCGCGGTCGAATGTTCCAAAAATTATAAAAGAGTATGTATATATATATATAGTCCACGTATAAATACAATAAAATTGGAACTTCACAGTTATCGGAAATCTTAATTCTATAACGGGAAAGGAAGAGAAAGAGACTAAGAGAGCAAGAACAGATCTCTAGTTTTTAAAACCGAGAGAGAGAGAGAGGGAGAGAGACGGTAAAAGGAAGAACTATCTTTCTTGTCTGAACTACGACGACCTGTAGAGAGATCGAAAGTCCTCAATCTGCAAAGTCGAGAGAGAGAGAGAGAGAGAGAGATCAAATGAGTCCGCGAGGAGGTGAGAAGGAGCAGAACCGTGCCTACAGTGTAATGAAAAAGGCTTTTGCCTCAAGCCCCAAGAATCTATAAAGTTTTTAGAGCCCCTTTTTTGTAATACGTGGTTAGTGTGAGTGATGTGATTCAAGGTTTTTAAATTCAACTTTTTTTGTTGATAAAAATATAAATTGGAGAAATATGTTTAGGAAATTCAACTTTTATAAATTAAGTTGGAGGAATATGTTTAGAAAATTGACTAAGATTTATTTAGGTTATCGCCTTCCTCAAACTTTCTAAGACATATTTACTTCACCATTTTTTTATTCTTTTGTTTCAGCTTGTTATTCTATTTTTTATGAGCGTGTTTATTTGCTATATTATTTGTTTTCATCATTGATATTAGAAAAGATACCTCCAAAATCGTATTCAAATGGAGCAAAAAAGAAGAAAAATGATTGAATGATTTAACTATCATAGCTATAGAATGAGGATTAGTTAGAAACCTCGATTATGAGAGTTTGGTGAAAGAGTTTATTGAAAAACAAGGAAAAAAAATTATGTTTTAGTTTTTTAAGATATAAGATTTTATTTTGAATATTTTATATAGTTTTAAATTTATATTATATTTTTTTGTTAAAAGACTCCACTTTTTTATTTTGCCTTAGGCCCCTATAAACCTTGGCACACGGCACTGAGAAGGAGGCAACGCCGATGTCCTGTTCGCCGGCGGTGAGGAAGCCGGTGCTTCGGATCTGTCTTATGCTTCTTTCGCTCATGCTCCTTCAAATCACTTCAGTCGCCAATGCTGCTTCTAATCAGGTTTATTTCTAACATAATTAGGGTTTTTTCCTAACATAATTAGAGTTTTTCTGAGTATTTACTTAATTAATTCTTGAGTTTTAAAGAACTACTCCGTCTCCAGATTAAAAAACTACTCCGTCTATAGCAATTATTATTTTTAACTCAGAAAACATTCTAGCAAACGACACTATTTATGAAACTTGTTGATTTAGGAGCTTTGCCTCATAACGCATCAGTTGATACAATACGTAAGCTATAGTTTTAGCAAATAGGACGCATACTTTTAATACTACTAAGTTAGTACCTGTAAAATTTCACAATAATTGATTGCACATGTTTCTAAATTCGGTTTGATATTTTAAAATCATACTAATGTATAGGGTATGGTAATTTATATATCTTGACAGGCTTCAGAGGAAGATGTCGAATGCGTTGACAGATACAAGCAAAAAGCATTTCAGCATCCTCTTCTAAAAAATCACAAAATTCAGGTTTTTTCTAAGTTTTTTTTACCAGTTGTTTAGTCATTTTTTTGTTTCATAATCATTTTTTCTTTCAGTTCAAAGTTTATAATATTATTTATTCAGAAAACTAATTATTTTTTCTTAAAACAAATACAGGAAATGCCATCAGAAATTCCTAATGTGATCGAGATGCAAAAGAAAAGCTCATGGCAGACATTGGAAGCACGGGTTTCCACGGTTCAATGTCCCGTAGGAAAAGTGCCGATACGACGGCATGAAGCTATTGTGGATGATCGGATATACCCCAAAACCGGTGGTAATATGACATTTACTCCCAAACATGAGGTATATATGTAAACCTATATCTTTAATAAAAAAAAATATATGTAAACCTACAACATGAGGTATATATGTAAACCTATATCTTTAACCAAAAAAATATATGTAAACCTATATCTTTAACAAAAAATATATATGTAAACCTATATCTGTGTATCAAAAAAAAAACCTATATCTTTTACATACATATATGGTTACAGTAATATTTAAATGACAAAAAGTTTGTCGATTTTTAATATTTGATTCTACTATTTATATTAAATTATTCTTATGGAGTTTTGAGAATTTTTTTTTTCATCCCTAAACAATAATTTATAGACTCTGCAAACTAAAACTTATTTTTAAAATATTTATTTGTCTGTTCAAAATATTTTACTGTTTGCAACAAAAAAAAAGTTTTAAAAGAGTACGTTATGAATTTCATATTATAGGAAAAGCGAAATAGTTTTTTTCTTAACATGAAAGGATCGATGTCTCCTATTTTTTTTGTCATACCGAATACAGAAAAACTGTTTAATTTACAAACAGTACAAACAGTATCAGTAAGTAGTATGCTTTAAAAACTAACATTTCTAATTATGGTAAATTATTATCGTAGTATGCGGAAGCTTATACGAATGCCGGACATAAATTGTATGGAACCAAAGCAACAATAAACGTTTGGGATCCGATGGTTGAAGACAGAGAAAACGAGGCAAGCATCTCTCAAATCTGGCTTACCTCGGGAGACTTTGAGACGAATGATCTCAATACCATTGAAGTTGGATGGCAGGTTAGTTTGTATTGTTATTTCTCTCCTAATCATTCAATTAAATCAAGTCAATAAGTCTGATACAACAATTTATTTAATTATTCACCCATTTAGGTATGTCCGGGGTTATATAACGACAGCAAACCAAGATTATTCGTATATTGGACGGTATGTCTGATGTTTATTTCATTATCAATTTAAATCTTTTATTTAATCTTGATATTATTTTTCTTCTTGGGCAACTTGATTTTCTTGGTTCTTTATATGGGCTAGTTAGAAGAATGGGCTTTTTTGGCTACAACTATATACCCGAGTCTATATATTAAGTCAACATTCTTCTGAAAAATCGACTTTTAAATATATATAAAAAATATAATATTGAGTTATTGACATTATTCATTTTGATTATATATATATATATATATAGTGTATGTCAAAAAAAAAATGTCATACGTGTGATATAGGTCATATGTGTGATATACATATGACGTATGACGTTGTCTAGACTAGCTAGCTTACTAAATGAAATGTTTGTAGGAACTAAATCAGTAGTATACCTTAATAAGTATTGTTCTACTAAAATATTTCGGATTTTTAGACTATACATAACAAAACAAACTATACTATTGGAAGAAATCATATTAAACGACAACAAAGTGAATATAACTATTCGTTTATTCTAAAATATTTACTGTAATAATTTTGTTTTCTTCAAATTAATTTGATAAACAATAAACTCTTTATTTAAGTTAAAAATAGATAAAATTAAACTACTTTTAATCTTAATTATTCAATATCTATAATATAAAACTTGGCTAACTTTCTCCAAATTTGTGCTACATCAGCACATGAGAGAGTGTCACGTGTACACCCAAATTCCACTCTTGCGCTTCCTTTTTTTTTTTCTTAAGCGTTTTGCAATTTCCAAACGGAATTCCAATTTCTCTGAAACCTTCGTTTTCCTGTTGCCTGTAAAACTTCTGTTGGATTAACAATTATGGGTGATGAATTTGTCATCCTTTTTAATATTCTCCTGTAAGAACACTTCTACAAAACTTTCAAGAAGTAATTCAGCGAAAATGGTTCTGCATTTCATCGCCGATGACAATGGCGAAGCTTTTTAAATCCTAAAGGTATGATTCATCAATTTTTCATGACTCTATGTTTGTTGGATCAAGGGAAAACAGATTAGCTTATATAAGCAAATTGAATTTGTAGAATTTGGTCCGTTGTAGGAGTGTTACGACAAAGATTCTGGAAACAAATAAGAACTTGAAAGCTTAAGGACGAGTCATGCTTTATTAGTGTGGCCAATCCTAAAGGTTTGCAGCGCATATGCTATGATTTGTCTCTATGCAAATCTGTCTCGGGGAAAATCGACTTCTTGTCCAGCTGGTACACTATAAATCTCTATTTGTTAAACTCGAAATCTTGCTTCTGTTTTGGTTGCATGTTATGAGATGCAAAAGGAGAGAACGAGAAGAGACTTATATAATCCACTTTTACGTTTCTGGCAGAGAGTCTTACAGTGTGATGGGTTGTTTGCACACATTTTCCTTTCCATATCTCTTTCAATAGATTGCTATGAAGCCTAACAATATAGTGCCTGTTTTATGAAATGAAACATAGAATATTAGTATGTACATGTGATAATCAGAGGTGAAATAGTATTGACAGACATTGAATTATGATGACAATCAGAGATTGTGCTTGCAACAAAGAACTACCAGAATAAAAGCCTACATGTGGCGCCATGGAGGAGAGCAGAGTTTGTGAAATCCACATTTTCCGTGAAGTTGATCAAGGAATGAGAGTCTTGGATAACTCGTATAATTTGCTTACAAAAGTGTGGGATAAATTTCTTTGAATTCTCATTTAAATAGAACAATTATATGGAATATCATAGAATAAGTCATTCAAATTCGGCATGATAATTTCTTAAGTATAATATGTTTAACTCACTATTTTTCAATGCCCAAAAAATATATCTCCAAAAGTATATACACCAAATACTTAAAAATAAAAGTACAAAATTAACACCTGCGTGTAACGCGGGTTCTCACCTAGTTACGTTTACAAAAGTCATTCAATAAAATCGTCTCTCATGGCGTCATTATATACTTAGTTGGATTACGATAAAAGAAATATACTTGGTTGGATTTTTTTTTTTGCAAAAACATTATCTCTTCAATTATTGAAATGGTATTGAGTTAACTTGAGTTAATTTTGCATATATATTTTCCAGGGTGATGGATACAAAACATCCGGAGGGTATAACCTTCAAAAACCTGGTTTTATACAAACCAGTAACAATATTGTCTTAGGAGGCGCTATTTCTCCTATATCTAGCTTCGGAGGTACCCAATACGAGATTACCATTCTCGTATGGAAGGTTAATTTCTAAGTACTTTTTAAATATTTATTTTATTTTATGCGTATTACATTCTTGTTTTTCCAAACTAATAGATACAAAATTAAATTATAGGATTCAAAAATGATGTAGTAACCGATAGGGGTTGTGGATTTGATCGTTTAGTCTAAGAATGCCCAATCAAAACACACGCATTTGAGTTCGTTGAGAATGTCGTTCTAGCCGAAGTCAAGAGAACAAGAGAGCAAAAGCTTCTTTGATAGATAATTCAATAAGTCGTGTTCCTCACAAATCAAGGCATCGACTATTTATAAGTATTAGTAAAACCTTAAGCTGTTTAGAAAAAGGAAAATAACAATGCTTATCTCTAAATAAGAAAGAATAAAAGAAAAGGGAAAAGAACTAAAGTTTAAAAACCAACACATAATAGAAATAATGGTCGTACGCTGCATCAGGTCACCCGGGGTAGAGAAAGATTCGCCCTCGAATCGATGTCCTCATCTTGAGCAATATAAGGAGTCAAATGCTTGACACTGAAGACGTCAGAAGATCGAATATCATCGGGAAGCTTCAAACGATAAGCATTTGCGTTAATCTTCTCGAGAACCTCCAATGGTCCGATCTTACGAGCCTTGAGCTTGTTGTATTCGCGAGCCGGAAATCTATCCTTGGTCAGAACAGCCCACACTAAATCCCCAACTTTGAAGTGCACATCGCGACGATGCCGATCCGTAACAGCCTTGTATTTTGCCGATGAAATGTTGAGATTATCATGGACCTGCGCATGAATAAAAGCAAGATCTGCAACAAAGTCCACCGCATGACCATGATCACGAGTTTTGTCTGAAGCGACACCAAGATCTACCGGTCCGCGAGGAACAATGCCATATACAACCCGAAATGGACTGAACTTCGTACTCCGATTTACTGCATGATTATGAGCAAATTCTGCTTTGCATAAAACAGAATCCCATGACTTAATGTTGTCACCTACCAAACAGCGTAGCATATCTCCCAAAGAACGGTTAGTGACCTCTGTTTGTCCATCAGACTGAGGATGGTAAGCAGAGCTCATATCAAGGCTAGTACGGAGGAGACGCCAAAGGGAACGCCAAAAGTGACTAAGAAACCGAGAATCACGATCGGAAACAATGGATAAAGGAAGTCCATGAAGTCGATAAATATCCCGAAAGAATAAAATAGCCACCTGAACAGCATCGGTTGTCTTTCTGCAAGGAATAAAATGCGCCATTTTGGAGAAACGATCAACCACCACGAAAATAGAGTCATGGCCTCGTTGCGTGCGCGGTAAACCAAGCACAAAGTCCATGCTAATATCGGTCCAGGGCTGAGTTGGAACCGGTAAAGGCATATATAATCCACTATTAGAAGCATGTCCTTTAGAACGCTGGCACACCACACAACGTTCGACGAATCTAGCGACATCACGACGCAAAGAAGGCCAGAAGTACGAGTCCGATACAAGCTTCAGCGTTCGATTGCGACCTACATGTCCCTCTTCATGGAGATCTTTGATGATTTTCAAACGCCAACTACAATCCGGAACACATAAGCGATTGTCGCGAAAAAGAAAGCCATCAAGAAGAACATAGTCGGACGAAATCCCAGCTGTTAAATCCGTCCAAATGCGCCCAAAGAATGCATCATGTGGATACAGCTCCGTAAATGTAGCAAAACCCACGACAGAAACCTGTAAAGTCGCAAGTAGCGAATGACGCCTACTCAAGGCATCCGCGACTTTATTAGTCTGTCCCGACAAATGCTTAATAACAAATGTAAATTGCTGTAAGAAAGCTATCCAAGAAGCATGCCGAGCCGAAATTTTATCCTGTCCTCCCAAATGTTTTAAAGCGTCATGATCTGGGAAAAGAACAAATTCCTGATGAAAAAGGTAATGACGCCAATGTTTGATAGCCTGAACAATAGCGTAAAACTCCACATCATAGGTGCTATAGCGAGCACGAGAACCCGCTATCTTTTCACTATAGAAAGCCACTGGGCGACCTTGCTGACTCAACACAGCACCAATGCCGTATTTGCAAGCGTCACAATGTAGCTCAAAGACCAAAGAAAAATCGGGTAGGGCCAAAATAGGAGCCGTCGTCAATTTCTCCTTGATTGCCTCAAAGGCGCGATCCACTTCAGGAGTCCATACGAAAGAAGAACCCTTCAAACAATCTGTCAGTGGTGCCGAAATACTGCTAAAATGGTGCACAAACCGGCGATAAAAGGAGGCAAGACCGTGAAAACTCCGCACAGCACTGATTGACTTAGGCGTTGGCCACGTTTTAATAGCCGCTACCTTGCTCGGGTCGACTTCCAATCCACGATCAGAGACAATGTACCCCAAAAACAGCACCTGAGAAGACCCAAAGATGCATTTCTGGCGTGCCGTAAAGAGCTGTTCGCGACGCAACACCAGAAGTACAGCCTCCAAATGATCTAAATGGCTTGGCAAGTCCAAACTAAACACCAATATATCATCAAAATAGAAAACGACGAATTTGCCAATAAAAGGACGAAGAGCCTGATTCATGACCCGCATAAAGGTGCTCGGGGCATTAGACAAACCAAATGGCATCACCATCCATTCGAACAGACCTTCACGAGTTTTAAACGCAGTCTTCCATTCATCACCAGGCTGAATCCGAATTTGATGATAACCACTCTTGAGATCCAGCTTCGAAAAGATGCATGCGCGTCCAATCTGGTCCAAAAGATCGTCAAGACGCGGAACAGGAAAACGATAACGCACCGTTATCTTATTAATCGCGCGGCTGTCAACACACATTCTCCAAAAACCATCCTTCTTGGGAATAAGCAACGCAGGCACAGCAGTTGGGCTAAGACTCTCTCGAATATGTCCCTTGCGAAGTAATGCCTCAACCTGACTGCGTAATTCATCATGTTCCTGCGGGCTCATACGATAATGTGGACGGTTAGGCAAAGCTGCATTAGGGACCAGATCGATATGATGCTGAATATCCCGCAATGGAGGTAATCCTTGAGGTAAGTCTTCGGGAAAGACATCAGAAAAACGATCAAGTAACTTGACAAAATCCAGAGGAATGGTTGCTACGGTAGAAGCGACCAACGGAGATGTAACCAATGCCCAAATATTCGGGCTCTCCCGTAAGTGCTCCTCGAATTCTGCTTTTGGAACAATCAACAAAGTCTGGGAAGGAGTTGGAACGCCCTGCTCTGTTTTTGCTGACGTTGAAGAGCCTGTAGGCTCGAGCTGATCCGGTGAAGGAAGTAGCGTGATCGTACGCCCAGCAAAAGCAAAACTATATGTATTAGACTTGCCTTTATGAACGACGTCATGATCGAACTGCCGTGGACGACCTAACAGGAGGTGGCACGCGTCCATCGGAACATCACACCCAACTTCATCTCTGTAAGCGCCAATAGAAAAAGGTACGATAGTCTGCTTAGAAACACGCAACTCAGACTCGTTATTTAGCCAAGCTAGTTGATACGGAGCAGGATGCGAAGTCGTATGAAGTCCCAATTTGCGAACTGCTTCTTCTGCAATGACATTTGTGCAACTCCCAGAATTAATTATCAACTTGCAGATTTTCCCTTTTATCGTACATGTGGAACGAAAAAGAGTTGTCCGCAGCCAAGACTCGGTGGCCCCGCGGGGCTAAACAGCTGCGACGAATCACCAGAACTTGAGATGACGGCCCTGTGTCGCCACTAATAACATCTACGTCATCCTCGTGCTCAGACTCATAATCATCAAAGCGCGGCTCCCCTGCAACATCGGCGGTTTCCTGTGTAAGCATTGTACGACAATTCTGCTTTGGGCATGCAGTTTGACGATGACCATTCTCCCCACAATTAAAACATCGTAATGCTCCTGTCCTAGGTGGACGTGATGCTGCAATAGAATCCCCTGACGGTGCCTTTTCTCCACCAGTACGGACATTCTGGTCGTCACCCAACTGGTTCGGAGACCCAGTAGTGGTTGTGGACGAGAACGCGACGATGAAGCCCAATTAGTCCGAAATTGTTGCTCCATTGCGACGGCACGCTGATGAGCCTCGGACACTGATGTCGGATTGAACTGCTGGAGAGCAATCTGCAACTGATTTCGGAGACCACCAATGAACCGAGAGATCAACTGCTCCTCTGTTTCATGAATTGTTGCTCGCGCGATGAGTTCAAAGAATTCTGAAGCATACTCGTCCACTGTAAGAGCTCCTTGTCGAAGATTCTGTAGCTTATTGTAAAGTGTCCTTTCATAGTTATATGGTAGAAAACCTCTACGCAGATGCTTCTTCAGCCTCTCCCACGAGTCGATACGCGGTTTGCCGGAACGACGCCGGAACGACGCCGGGACTCCTTCAACTGATTCCACCAAGCTGAAGCACGGTTCTTAAATCGTGTTGCGACCAGAGGCACACGCATCTCATCGGGAACCTGCTTAAACTCAAGAATCTCTTCCACCATATGTAACCAATCGATAAACTCCTCTGGGTTAAGAGAACCCGTAAACTCCGGAATATCCACTCGAAATCCTGATTCCCAGCGAGGAATAGGATTTGCACGCACACCTTGCAAACGGTCATCACAGAGACGGAGAAGATCACGCTGATTGTTAGGTCGTGCATCTCTGTCATCATTACCTGCCGTAGGAGGATTATTATCACGAACGGGCACAGCAAAGAGATTTTCTGCCAACCCATCATCATCGTCTTCCTGCACTCTGTTTTGCTGTTGCTGATTTTGGACACCATGACGCTGACCCTGCTGATTCTGCAGAACCCGTGTCATAGCTTCCTCCACTGCGTGCAACAAAGCATAGTGCAAACCGGCCGTAAACGTCTCCAACGTACGTTGGAATTCATCGTGTTGTTCTTCAAGGGTAGGTTTTCGAGGTGCCATCGTAAACGTTTAGCGTAAGATCGTGTTTTAATTGAGAAATTAAAGCTGCTGGGCTCTGATACCAACTGATGTAGTAACCAATAGGGGTTGTGGATTTGATCGTTTAGTCTAAGAATGCCCAATCAAAACACACGCACTTGAGTTCGTTGAGAACGTCGTTCTAGCCGAAGTCAAGAGAACAAGAGAGCAAAAGCTTCTTTGATAGATAATTCAATAAGTCGTGTTCCTCACAAATCAAGGCATCGACTATTGATAAGTATTAGTAAAACCCTAAGCTGTTTAGAAAAAGGAAAATAACAATGCTTATCTCTAAATAAGAAAGAATAAAAGAAAAGGGAAAAGAACTAAAGTTTAAAAACCAACACATAATAGAAATAATGGTCGTACGCTGCATCAAAAAAGCAGAAATTGGTGGTTGAGTTTAGGTTCAGATAACTCAATAGTAGGATACTGGCCAGCGGAGATTTTTACGAGTTTAGCTGATCACGCATCTACAGTAGATTGGGGTGGTGAAATTGTAGATTCTCACAAATTTGGTCGACACACGAAGACTCAGATGGGTTCTGGTCATTTCCCTGAAGAAGGATTCAAAAAAGCAAGTTATTTCCGTAACCTAGAGTTCGTAGACAACAACAACAGCCTCCAAAAGATCCAACAATTCCGGTTAGTAGCAGAGGGTATCTATTATAAGATCAAGAACTTGCATACAGATGAGTGGGGAACTCATTTTTTTTATGGAGGACCAGGATTTAGCCATATGCACTCAGGAGTCCTCCCCCTAAGATTGAGTTTGTTTTATTTATTTATTTCAGTTTTAGTGTTTTCATTATCATTTAGTTTCTTTTTTAATCTTTAATTGTTCCTTTGTGAAAGAGCTCTGTTTATAATGAACATTTATGATAAAAGTAATATAAAGTGTATCAAGTTTTGGTAATATGTTCATTCGAATGCATGGAGTGTATCAAGTTTTGGTGCAGTATAATTGGTCTTGTTATAAAATATCAAAGAAGATTATAACTACGTTATATATTGATAAAACATGCCAAATTAAGATGTTGCTCTCATGATGAAACGATAAACCACATGTTGTTTACCTGCCCATTATCGATCTCTACCTGGCGTATATCGAATTTACCGACACCATTTGGTTTTGCTCCATCAACCGAGTTAGAAGATAATATCCAAGCTATCCTAGATATTCAGAATAACCAAGGTTTATCGGAAAACCAAAAACTATTAACTTTCTGCTTAATGTGGTGCATATGGAAAGTTAGGAAAATTTTGATTTTCAATTAAAAAAAATATTAAACAACGCATAGATGTTGCTTCTGATGTGGCTGATGTAAATGAGTGGATTACAAATACACAACAACGGATTCTTCTCTGAATTCAGGCAATCCATTTCCTCACACTAGCCAGAATATAGCTCTGCCTGGTCAAGGCCATGTATAATTGTAATTATGATGCTTTATTTGATTTAGCAACACGACGTGTTAAAGGTGGTTGGATCGTTCGAGACCATTACAGCTATGGAAAGTATTGGGGTGCGGCCATTTTACATACATCTAGCTCAAGTCTTGAAGCGGAAGGAAAAGCATTGCTACATGCTCTACAACAGATGCACAACCTTGGATTTGATTCAATATGCTTTGAAGGGGACAGCAAAGTCTTGGTTGATACTTTGCACAATAATAAGAATTACATATCTCCATATACTAAACTTAGTTGAGGACATCAATCTCTGGCGTTCAAAATTTAGATTGCATACCATAACATATGTTAAAAGAGAGTCAAACGAAGCAGCCTATTTTTTTGGGCAAAGAAAGGCCTCTTAATTGTTCTATGTTTAATTAATTGATTGATCATCTTACCCTAATTTCTGTAATATCTTCGAGTTTTAGGTTACAGAAAGGACAGTATAATTTTAACAAAAAAAAAGAGCAGATTAATTAATGTTTATTCCACTATCAAGAAATTGAAAAACAAAATTATTAAAGTTCATCTAGTAAAATCACCAATTACTCATAAAGACAAATCGATTATTATCATTGCTTGCAACAACACCTTTCGGGATTTCCACTACAGAATCCATAGTTGAATCCCTTCCTTCCACATTCGTAGTGGCATATACGATCATCAAGTCTAAAACCATCACATAGAAAAGGGCAAGGAGCAGTTTTTTCTGGCTCGATCACTGCACATATATACAATTCCACATTAATATTATAATTCTATATAAATATACATTTTCAAATAATAGTTTTTTTCTTTTACGTTCTTAAAAATATATATTTACTTTGTTGGAACGAATTCTACTCTTGATAGGATCGAAGATATTGAAAAAAATATGTTTTGTAAGAACAACATACCTGACACAGCCAAAACGTTGAAATCAGACAAAGAAATTGCCAATGTTAATACAAGAAAAAGAACTACAGAAGTTTTTTTGACATCCATTATATAAATTTTGCAGTACTGTATAATTATGGTGAGAAGATATATGTTCTACACTTTTCTAGCTCTCCATGAAGAGTTCTATTCATAGGGTTTTTTATCAAGGAAAATTTCCTATTCGATCTGTTTTCATTTGACAGTAATTGGATCTTCCAAATTTGGTTCATTTTATTTCGGGTAAGAAAATCGCAACATGCATCTGTATATTAATTAATTTGCATGTATGATATAATTCCTTACTATTTGATGTGAATTTATGGAAATACAGTATATATAGTCAATATTATCTATCTATGCCATAGAATAATATTTCCGGCGTCTAATGTCTACATTGTCAAATATTTATTGTCTACAACTTTTCAAAATCATTCCATATATATACAATAAAATGCTGTGTAGGCTCTCACAAAACTATATATCATTTCATATATTTTTTTTTTGTAGTAATCAATTAATTAAGTAATATTGTTGAATTACTGTAAAATATAAAAAATAATCTTGTTGGATAATTGTGAAATAAAAGGAATTTAGAAACTTTAGGTTGTTTCTACCCATGCTAAAGAGAAAAAGATCAAGAATCCTACTATGTAGTGTCCTAAAGAGTTCCATTTTCTTAAATGTAGAAATAATTTTAATTTTCAATTGATAAAGTACAATACATCAGATTGTATTTAGGCCTGGCATAATATCCGAACCCGAACCCGAAATATTTAACCTAAACCGACCCGAAAATAATTTCTAAAATATATTGAAATATATCAGATTAGGCCTGGGCATTAAATCTCCTTAGAAATAAACGGTCAAGCCTTTTTATCGTGAATATTTAAACTGCTTACTAGATTGTGGAAAGGTTTAAGTTATCGACAATTGCTGGTGTATGAAGATAATTTATCCCTTTCACACATCTTTTTTTCTTGTGTCATGAATGGTTTGAATGATGACATCAGGAGACAGGAATTCCTGTTTTATCAACGTAAGTTCTGTTGTGGCTGTTACTTGTCGTATTTTATTTGTTGAAATAAACTGTTCCTCTCAATCTTTAATACTTGATATGTAAAATATGTTTAGTGCTTGGTTAATGAAAGACCACTATGCTAGCTTGGGTGCTGGATTTCTAAATTTGTGTCTGAATAACCTTATTACTTTCTTATCCCCAGGTTGATCTCAGATTTCTTCAAGATACGGTTCCTACAGAGACAGAATTGTGGTTTTGCATGGCGGCTGGAGTTTGTTTGAAAAGGGAACTGCGGGTGAGATTCTGTTACGGCTTACATACAAAGCATATGTGGAGGAGGAAGAAGATGAAAAGACCAATGTCAAAGCCATTAATGCATATGCTTCTGATGATGAAATGCCTGATTCAGAAGAACTTGGCTCATTTGTGCGGAATGAAAATGTTTCTTCGGATGATTGGCTCAAGAGTCATTTATGAACGTGTTGTCTAATAAAGTTTCAAGGCATAGTTTCATCTGAAGCAGGAGACTCACCTGACGATCCAGTATCTTTTAAGGCTGGGTTGGACTCAAGATCTCAACTTGAAGATCCTAGTATTGGGTCTGAAAGTAACACAGGCGTATCAGATTCAGAAAATATTGGTAGTGGTTCAGGCGATGATGGAGGTATATCGAGGCTTGACGTGTTATGATGATTTCCTTTATATGCTTTTTTGACCTGAAACCGTAAAGCCTTCCTGCAGATTTCAGGATTTGCATTACTGTGGTTCGGTATAATCACGGTTATAATGGTGCTCGTCGCTATCAACATGGAAGGCTCAAGTTTCTTCAACCCGTACTATAGTCTTATAAATCTCATTGGAGAGTTTTATTGCAAGTAAGTCTCCCAACCTATACCAAAAATAGTTGAAATGTCGATCTCTGGTTTTGACAACCACATGCTTTTTTGTCAAAATAATATAAGACTAGATTCTAACTTGCGTCCGCCCGAGAATTATTTTTTTTTTTAACAAATTTCATAATATAATTTATGTTTTTTGAGTTTAGATATAATTATTTTATAAATATATTTTTATTAATAAGTGAAAATATTTATTTTTTATTTGTAGATATAGCTTTTTTTGTAAATTTGTTCTTTTATATATAGTATTAAATAATTGTAATTATAAAATGATAATTCTAACCCGACCGTTCATATTAATCCAAAAAAAACTATGATTACAAAAGTATAATTTTAACTTATCTTTTCATATTATCATATAATATAAATATTTATTAAAAGTTTAAGATGTATTAACGGTATGTTATTTAGCATAGAATATTTTATATAGTTTTCTAAAAATTTAATCTAAAATAAGTGCATGTTTTAATTTTTTTTATTTTGTATGAAAAAATATATTTATGGTATATATGTATGATTCAAAATTATTGATTTTAGCTATCAACATATTTTTAACCTGGTTTTTTTGTATATATTTTCAGTTCTATGGTTTATTAAAAATATGTTTTTAATCTTTAAATTATACATTTGACTCTTACCCATTATTTTATTATTAATTTACAAATATATCTTAATCATATAAATGCTTTATATAATCAACATAAATATCATATCATTTACATCATCATAAATATTTTATATTTAAATATTATTTTCTATAAGTGAATTATTATTTTTTTCAAAAAATTATTGGTATTTTTGATAAAGTTTTTTAATAGTAAAAAAATATTTAAATTTGAATATTTAAATCAAATCTTAATTAATATCTGATTTCTTATTTTAAATCAAATCAAATAAACTCTAAATTACCTATATTTAAGGAAATCGAAAAATATTTAAATTAATTAATAATTTTCGAAATTAAATATAAATTATTATTAAAAAATTCTAAATACTTTAAAAAAAAAATTTAGAAGTATTTGGAAGCAAGTACTAAAAGTGTTTCTGTTTTAATATAATAGATATTAAACTGCATATGCTCCTCTCCGTTTGTTTTGCATTTTCTTTTTCTTTTTACGTTTTTCCCATTTCCAAATTCAATAAGTCAGTTTCTTCTTTCTTCAAGCATTCATATTTTCCTACCAATCTCAATCATTTTTTTCACACTAAAGTGAAGAGGTATATTTCTTATTTAATTATTTTTTTGTCAATTGAAGATTTTAAACTAGAGTTTGTTTTTCAAAAAAAAAATCATTTTAGTCATAGATGTTTCCATATATATATATATTCTAATGTGTATGTATGGTTTGATATACATGTCCACAAGTGTTTAATAGAAATTTTAATTATTTTCTTTGTAGTAATGATTCAAATTTTTTTTATTATGAACATATAAATAAAATCATTAATACTTGTTTAGAAAAGTTCATGCATGTTATTTTAATTTATTCTATAAACATTCTAATACATGCATGTGGTTTTTATCTTTTAGTAGTTGAGTTTTTTTTGTTAAACAATTTTCAGATTGTCTTATGAATAAAATCATCAATACTTATTTAAGAAAAATAATTGTTATAAAATTAGTGACGAAAAATATATTAAATAAACCACAACAAAATAACATGTATCAAAATAACATGTTTATACAATAAAACTGTTTACAACATATTCATTTCCAAACACGCACTATATCTTTTATATAAAGCACAAATCACATGGCCAATCTGGCTTGAGCTTCATAATCTTATACTAATAAAAGTTAAAGCTAGATGCTTTTCAAAGCGTCCACATAGGATTTAAAAGACTAATTTTATTGGTCCACATCAGCATTCAAAATTAAGGAAAATTTCCAATTTTTATTATTGTTAAATAAGAAAATTAAGAAAGTTTACAAATTTTAATATTATTTCTGAATAAAGAATTCTGTATAATATTTTTATTGGTCCACCTCAACATTGAAAATTAAAAAGTTTCCAATTTTAATTAATATTTTTAAAATTATTAAAGATAAATAAATATTAAAAACTAAAATAAATAATATTAACATAAGAAATTTTAAATTCAAATTAGATGTATATACACATATTTAAAGGCTCTTACAATATCATCCAAATTTTTGTGACATAACTATAATAATTTTTAAGTTTTTTTTCTATATGTTCAACCATTTCAAATAAAAAAAGAAACATAAAATAGAGTCAGATTTCATTTAAGAATGAGTCATTAAAAAGAGAGTGTAAAATCTCCAAATCTTTGCCACCGAATTTGAAAAGAATGATAAATTTCAAATAATCCGAGAAACATGTCAAGTGATTGATATGCAACACTTTTGAAAAACGAAGCACTAAAAATAGAAAAAAAAACTTCCGTCATTAACATGAAAGAGATTAAAGTACCCAAAGAAGATTTTTGAAATAACATGATATCTGATGGGGTTTTCACAACCCAACCTGAACCACAAAGATAACAATTAGCTGACTAATCAGCATTAGAATACATTCGGTAAACCTCAAAACAAGGAGGAAATACCAAAATCATTTGCCGCAACGGGCCTCGTGTGGGATCTTCCACCTTTGATTTATAAATCTATCACTAATAAAAGTTAAAGCTATATGCCGCTAAAAATGCCCACATATGATTTAAAAGTTTAATTTTATTTATCAACATCAATTTTTAAAATTAAAAAATTTCCAAATTTTAAAATTATATCACTAACAAAAAAATTATATTTATAATAAAAAATAAAATTTGAAGTTATATGCCTTTAGAATATCCACATTCGATTTAAAAGATCAATTTTATTAATACAGATTAATAACTAAAATTAAAAAGTTTCTAAATTAAAAAATTACTCCCTCTGTTTCATTATAGTTGATTTTCTAGGTTTTTTTTCTTGTTTCATAATATTTGATTTCCTACATCTAATAAATGCATATCTCTTCTTTAAATTGAATGAATAATATTAATGCATGTTGCTTTACTCTATTAATGCACAGTTAAAAAAGAAAAAGTAATAATATAAATAATGAAATCAGTTATAAAAGTAACTTAATTAATAAAAATAAACAGTAAATAATTGAGCATTTATAGTTTTCTTAATCTGTGTGTAAATATTCAGAAAATCAACTATAATGAAACAGAGGGAGTACATTGTTAATACAAAATAATAGAGAAAAAATTGTTAATTAAAATTCTTCTATTATTAGTAACAGTTTAATATACATTATTATCAAGGCATCCTTATCAGTATTTAAAAATTCAATTTTATTTATATATATCAAAATTTTAAATTAAAAAAAAATTATAATTCTAATATTATGGTTAGGAAAATAAATTAAAAATAAAGAAATCTCTATTAACAGAAAAAAACAACATGATATTAAAATTTCTTCTAACTTACAAATTTAATTTTTTTATCTATTAAAAATACATGCTACTTATACAAGTTTATGTTACTTAATTATAAGGTTTTTCACCAAGAATTTCAAATAATAATAATTATTTAAAATTTTTAATATATGCAAAAATTATTTCCACATAATCTCATGTAATATATTATGCAAAAATAATCAAAAAATTATATTTTATATATTTGACTTGGAATTGCAATAGATTAATGTAAAAGTTCTTAGTTTTGAGTTATTCAATTAGTTATTTCATTTTTCTAAATTTGTATGTATTAAAATGTACCAGTTTTTCCTACTTAATTATAATTCGAAAAAGTGAGAATGAATATGATGAAACTGAATATATCATAAAAAATTATTAAATTAAATAAATATGATATATTCAATAAAAAATAGATATAACAATAATAATAATGATTATAATGAAAAACATTTTCATTCTTATTAGAAGAGATGCCGTATAATCATTGAAAAATTATTTAGAAGTTTACACAACCAATTGACATAAATATATTTAATTCATAAAGTTTGTGTAATTTTATTCATTTCATATTAATTCAACTATTGTTTACATTTCAATTTTAAAGTTTGTTATTAATCTCAAAACAAACATTTTATTTATTAGTTTGTTTTTTAAATTAATATATCAAATAAAAATTTGTATTGGTTAAACAAGAGAAGAAAAAAGATTAAATTTTAAATTTGATTGTTTTTAATTGTTAAAAAAAACGCATCTGTAATTAGAATAAAAGTGAAAAATGATTAAAAAAATTATCTTCTTGATTTATGGAAGTGAATGTATAATATTTTATCATCATGTCAATAATATGTTTAAATGTAGCATTTGATTAATTTGTAAAAAAAATAATTGGTTTGGGTATATTAACTTAAAAGTGTTTGACAAAATAATACGTTTTTGAAATATGACATATTGTATATAGATTTAAAACAAAACCGTTAAAACTTCACAATTTACATAAAAATTATTAGATTAACACCATAATATTTTTAATATATTGTTAAAATACTAATATATAAAATTTATATATTAATAAATATAATTGATTACATATAAATTTTATCAACAAACTATCCACGCGTAGCGTGGGTGCAAAATCTAGTTATCTTAAAGAAAGAAAACGTGGGGGACCAATTCTTTCAGTTACTTGCAACTGTCCTCCTCGTCTTCCCACTTTTCCATTATCTTTTACAAAAACTAACCACCTTTTTCAAAGTTATTAAATAATCTATTCTATTAAAACAGAAACACTTTTAGTGCTTGCATCTAAACATTTCTAAAGTTTTTTTAAAAAAATTATTTAGAAACTGTTTTAAGATTATCTTA